TTCAGGTCATTTAAACATGATATCTTTATGGTGGAATTAAACAAGATTGGCCTTAACCCCTATGATGACAAACGCTTTATTCTTGATGATGGAGTTGGTACACTTGCACACGGACATTACAGAATTCAAAAGTGAGAATACAATATACTGCTCTTTCCATCTTTCCACCTCCTCCTCCTCCTCCTCCTCCTCCTCCTCCTCCTCTCTTATTCTAACTGGTATAGCCATTTTGTTAAGTAACTGATAATTAAGCCAATCAGATTACAGGATGAAAATATGTAAATTTAAGCCCATGTGTTCTAGATTATGTTCATTCTAAAATAAGATCTTGAAGGAGCAACATGTCTTTTACTTGCTTTAAATGTAATATAGACTTCACAAGAAGGGATAATTTGAGCAGACACATGAATCAACTTCATAGAGATTATAAAGATGATGCTGGAGATGTTAAGACAGAGATGGTATTAAAACACCCATTTACTTTGATTGCAGCTGGTCCAACATCGTCAGGCAAAACGTGGTTGATGAGGAAGCTAATTAAGCATGTAGGAAAATACATAACCCCCACTCCTAAGAGAATAATTTGGTGCTACAGTCAATGGCAACCAGCCTACGAAGAAATGAAGAGCTATCCTGGCTTAGAATTCATTCATGGAATACCTGATGAATTAGACAACCCGAGATTCCTCAATACTACCATACCCAATCTCCTTGTATTAGATGACCTCATGGGAGCAGCGACTAAAGATGAACGCATTTCAGACCTCTATACAAAAGGAAGCCACCATCGGAATCTATCTGTGATTTGCCTCATGCAAAACATGTATCATCAAGGAAAGGAAAACAGAACAATGAGTTTGAACTCACACTATTTGATTTTATTCAATAATCCAAGAGATCGTCAGCAGGTGGCACATTTATCAAGACAGATGTATCCAGGCAGTGGTGGAAAACTTGTAAGAGCATACAACAATGCAACTGATGTACCATATGGTTATTTACTATTGGATTTAAAGCAACAGACACCAGAGCACGAAAGGTTGAAACCAAATGCATTTACTTTCGCTGATAACAACGCAGAACAACTCAAGTCTTCTCACTCAGATCAACCAATAGGAAAGCATGTTGATGATGACGTAGCACTACAAACTTCAACTGAAATAAATAGCAGCATCACTCAGGGGTTTCCTCATTTGGACCATTGGCATAGAGAAGATAACATGGTATCTTGTGATGATTGTGGAGTTGTCTTTGAGAGTCTTCATGATCTGCAAAGACATATTCGAAAATGGTGCCCAGAACAGAATGAGTTGCCAGCTTTTAAAAAGAAAAAGATGGATTCAGAAAATGATGTAGAAAATACTAGCCATTCAACCAAGTGGGAAGTTCTTGGCGATAGTGATGATGATGGTGATGATAATGAAAGTGCAGCAGAAGATGATGAAGATATAAGAGAAAACAGTACTTATCTCTATTTTAAAGTGAATGCTAGAAAAGAGAATGAAAAACACTTTCAGAGTAAAGTTAATAAGTATTTGGACAATGGCTTCACAGAACAGGAAGCAGTAGAAAAAGCAGAAGCAAAACTGATGACTCAGGATATTAACCAATTCTTGGATAAATACAGACATTTCATCAAACTCTATATACACATTGAAGAGAGTACAGTGCATAGAAAGATCATAGATGCTATTCAAAAGAGGCTCTCAAATGATGTATCAGAGAAAGTCGCTATTAGGAGGGTGTTGTCCAAGTACAGACATGAATTTGATGAACTGTTTAGCCAGGACTCAGAAAATGAATCAAGTGATAGGTCAAATAGTGAAGCAGAATCTGGTGGAGAGACTGATTCAGACAATGAATAATCACCACAAATATAAACTGTGAACAAACTACTTATCCTCATAATAAAAAGAGTTTTCAATGAGGAATGATGTCCTGGAAGGATCAGTTAGCGAATATCTATTTCCATCCTGACAATGCTGCCAGTTTCAGCGGTCCAGAAAAGCTGTATCGAGCTGCACAAGAGCAGGGGTTGGACATTTCACGTTATAGAGTGAAAAAATGGTTAGACAGCCAAGAAGCCTATAGCTTACAAAGACCAAATCAACAGAAATTCCGTCGAAATAAAGTCTATGTGTCTCACATTGACCAGCAATGGGATGCAGATTTGATGGATGTATCCAACATGGCCAAATGGAATGACGAATACAGATATATATTAGTTGTCATTGACATTATGTCGCGCTTTGCATGGCTGAGAGCTCTGAAAGACAAGAGAGGACAAACTGTAGCTGCCGCATTTGATGATATATTTAAAGAAGGCAGACAACCTGACGTTATAAGATCTGATAAAGGTCAAGAGTTCAAAGCCCATACTACACAGAGACTATTCAAAAAATGGGGTGTAAGACATTTTGTGACACAAAATTCCCCAAAAGCAAATTATGCAGAGAGACTTATTAAGACTATTCGCACTAAAATCAAAAGATATGTAACATATAAACAAAATTATAGATTTGTAGACCAAATGCAGAGTTTTGTAAATAGCTACAATAACACTTGGCATAGGGGGATAAATATGCCCCCTAATAATGTAAATAAAAATGATGAAATGACTATTTGGTGGCGAATGTATTATCCTAAAGGTGTTGTAAAAACTAAATCGAATCAAATTTTCAAGTTTCCCATTGGAGCATTGGTAAGAATCACCCATGAAAGATCTATATTTAGTCGAGAGTATGATGAGCATTGGACAGGTGAAATATTCAAAGTAGCCAGTAGATTTATCAGACAAGGATTACCAATCTATCGTTTAAAAGATTATAATGGTGACGAGATCACTGGAACATTCTATCAACCAGAGCTTCAAAGGGTACATATTGATGAAGATAAATTGTGGAAAGTTGAAAAATTTTTAAAAACTAGAATAAGGAGAGGCCAAAAGGAACATTTTGTTCGATGGAAATTTTGGCCTAAAAAGTTTGATTCATGGGTGAAAGATTCTGACATAACACCATTGTAATTATAAAATGTTTATGTATAATCTTTGATATTTTGTGTAAATAAATGAATAGAATATATAAATATATACATTAATGAATGTGTTATGTTTAAGTCAGATTGTGGTGATGTCTAGATATCAGGAAGATTCAACTATGAGAATAAGGACAGAGATTGTAAAAAAGTAGAATCATACTATTCTGAATTATAATCCAAATAAGCTCCATATTATGCTATCGTTAATTCAAATGCCCTGATACACTGATTGAAAAATGATGTTGTTGTTCTTATCAAATTTTCCTAAAAACGAAGAGAATGTCCTTAATTACACTCCTAGTAACTCGAGATGACCCCTAGTTAAATATATGCATTATTTTATACTAAATGGTTATAACACATAAACCCGGATTAAACCAGATTGTAGAAATATGGGAATCCCCTCGATGACGTAGTTGATTAAAGGGGAATACCCTTTATTATCCCCCTACTTATAATTATCACCCTTCCATAGAGTTCTGTATAAAAGATGGTTGAAAGCCCCCTTTTTCTAACTACTGACTATAGTAAATTCTAGAATACTACCAATCTACAGTAATGCATTGCCAAACAACAGAAGAGGTCAAAATCTAGGTAGGTCAGACACCAGGACCGAATATAAATGTTATGCCGCCAATAAAGAATGTCAGTATGACATGTGAGATATGGCATGCAGAATTACTTCAAAACAGTTATATCCATTTTGTCTGTCAAGAAGATAGATGCACCTTTATGTCAATGTTGTACAAATAGGCTTAAGGACAGGGTGCATGTTGGGAAATTTTCTACATTCCTCAATAACGCAGATGCGAGTAGGTAGTTACTAGATTCACCACCAGGTGGCTCGTTCGGGTCAGATAGCATGGCGGGTATAGTAGAAAGTTCCCTTTAACTTAAATTACATCTATTTGCGTGGTTCAATTTTTATATAAACTTCATGTATCTAATAGTTATGCAAATTAAAATATATCCAGTAAAAGAAAACGGTATCTGTCCAATACAAGAACAGATAATTCACTTTTTGTGATTTTGTAACATGGGGTCTATGAGGATTCAACCCGAACAAGAAGTCACATTTCAAAAAAATTAAATTTTCAAACTTGATAGACAATTTTCGAAACCATATATTTCTAGATGAACTTAAACATGTAGATTTCAAATATGACATCACTTTGACTGAATTTTGAATATTTAATGACGTAAATCAAGATTATTTCTACTCGCATCAAGTCTATTGAGTCAAATGTTATTTTTCAAACATGAATAACTCCTTCCCCACATTGTCTACATCTTCCAAGTTTGCACAAAGAGTGCACTTCTGTGCCTAGAAAAGCCTTGTGAGAAGGTTTGTTTTGTAAAATGTATAAAAAATGAGAAAATTCAGTGAAAAAATTTCTGATTTTTTTTCACTGAATTTTCTTGTTTTTTATACACTTTATCAAAACATTCTTCTCACAAGTCTTTTCTAGGCACATAAGTGCACTCATTGTGCAAAACTGGAAGATATAGACAATGAAGGGAAGGAGTGATTCTTGTTTGAAAAATAACATGTGACTCAATTGAGGAATGCAGAAAATTTCCCATCATGCACCCTGACCTTAAGTGATGTTACGTTTTCTTCATTTTAGTGCTTTTATCCCCCTCCATTAGGAAAAAAGCTAGCTTGTTCACAGTTTCATATTATTATGACATTTTAGAGAGAGCTACATCTAAAGTGGACCACCTGGAAAACGGTGAACATGTAACTAAATCTTCTCTGGCGAGAAATTTACAATTTGATTTAGACTCTCTATTTTTGAAGGAAGAAGTCTGTAATTACCTGCTTTTACAAGTTAGATAGCAAAAATCTGGAAATTAGTAAAGAGTGATATGAAAGATGGACATATTTCTTGGCCCAGTCTGTATTTACATACAAGGACAACGCTAGCCATGTTGGGCTTTATGGCTTAGTCTCATCTTACCTGTCCCCTGGGGTTATATTTCATGACATCTGGTCCTTTATGTTCCTTGTTGCCAAAGCTAATCAGTCTGCTGTCATATTTCACTCCCTTTTCTTCAAGGACGAGCATAGGTCTCCAACAAGGTACGCTACCGCTTCCCCAAAACAATATTGTATCGGCCATTTTGAACGCTCTTAGTACAGTCACGTGTATAAGTACGATCAGATGTATACTCTTATCGTTAATTATGTATGAATAACCTATTCAGTGGTCTACTTTTCAAAACATCCAGTCAGTCTGACCTTAAGTTTAATTCGAAGGGGTCTTTCACTCAGGTAAAGTACATGTATGTCACATTTAAGTGTGATGAATGGCCACGAAAATATTAATAGCGAGTAAAAATAAGCCTAATCCAGGATGGAGAAAATCCTTTTATTGTTTCCTATGTGTTCGAAAGGCGTTCTATTTTCAATAATGCCTTGGTCACATTTGCCCTGATTTTCACTACGACGCCCGAACTCCTATGCAGTGTCTCGGTATAGACACTGCGGCTGGCAGATTATGGAATCCCCAAAATTTGGGGAAGATAGTCCCCCTTTTTGTCACAGATGTACTTGTTTTTCACACAACTTATAAAATATATGTTCTTTTATGTTCACCAATAATTATTTTGTCAAAATATTCCCAAATCAATGAAATATAAGAGGAAATCACCGCGGAAGGAATTCTGAGTAAAAGTTATGTTGATAAAAGTTTACCGCACGTGTTGTTTATTAGTTAATACGCGCAATTCAACCAATGAAATTGTCTAAACTTTACAATCACGCGACCTGAGCATGGGACTAGAGCCAATCACGTCAGTTGTTTATTACGATGTTACCATGCTTACGGTGAGATACCTGCCCGCCGCAGTGATATATCACTGCACGGGAGTACGTACGACGCCCGGCCGATTGAGTATTTTGTTCAAAATTGAATACAATATTGAGCAAAACACTCAATCGGCCGGGCGCCGGCCGATGGATCGGAGCAAATGTGACCCAGGCATAATTGAGATACTTGCAACATGGAAGTCTATTGTATAGTACTTTACAGGTTACTGGTTAAATGAACCCCACAAGTGGAACATCTACGAATGCCTGGGTCACATTTGCTCCGATCCATCGGCCGGCGCCCGGCCGATTGAGTGTTTTGTTTATTCTGTATTCAATTTTGAACAAAATACTCAATCGGCCGGGCGCCGCAGTGAAAATCGGAGCAAATGTGACAAAGGCATTGGTGGAACACATTTTAGAGGTACTAATTTTGTTCAACTTAGGATTACTGTATTATAAAATCAAAGGGCACCGCGACAATGTCCAAATTCTTTGGATTTGATTTGAGAAAGAAGGCGTCTAGTTGCAAAGATACTGCACTTGCAAATCAGAATCCTCTCACCAGCTTTTGTATGTTACCGCTTGTTATGAACAACAGAACAAAATATTATATTGGTTTTAAGAGTTTAATGATAAATCAAAGCATTTAACGGGATATACATAATTATAATACAAGCATCTATTGGCCGTATACAGATGAATATTTACAGAATCAATTGCTAACGAAATTCGAACTAACACATGAGATATGTTGCTACAGCAGAGCAATGGACCCATTAACCATCGTTCTCTAGTCTATATTCATAACAATACTACTCAGCAATTTTTAGCTAGTTTGCTTTTGTGCCGTATACATTTTTTTTTCTTCGTAATATTACAAATTTTGAAAAACCATGCAAATACCCTATCAAATCTTTGTCAGCTAGTAGTGCTTTGACTTTCAAAACTAGAGGTGCAGGAGATAATAATGTCCGCTGTTGACTAGATAATATTAAAATGTGATCTCCTGTCTCATCTCCAGCAATCTAAGCATCTTTCAACCAGTCTTTTCCGACAGAATCAACCCAATGAGGTGGCCATGTTGCTTTCACCGATGGTCTCGTCACCAAGTTTTCATAATACTTATTTATGTTTGGGTACTTCTTTAACTGCAGCCCTAATCTCACAAGGAAAGCAACAAGTGGGAAGAACATCACATCCGCCATGGTGAAACTTTGACCAGCAATGTAACCCTCGGACTTAAAAATAAAAATGATTACTTAGACAATATTGTAAAAAATGGAATACTTGAAACGTGAACCATGTCCCAAAAATGGGACTCAGTTCCCAACAATATCGAAAATAGCCCAACTTCTTACTCCCTCAAACAAGAGATCAAATAGATGTATAAAAACAAAAATATATCAACTTCCAGTTTAACCTTATCACGATCTCAAAAATCATACTTAACCGAATGAGAGTTGACTTATTTTTAAAATCGCAAATGTATGCTCATAATTTCACGACTCACTAAACTGTCAAGCATATATCTTTTAATTGTAGTCTCAATTTGAACTCTCATAACCTAAATGTTAATATTCTCCACTTTTTAGGTAGCATTCAAAATTAAACAAAGTTGGTCTGATCAAAACATTTTCATTTGGTCATCCAGGCCTCACAATTGAACAGAATATTTAGAATTTTAAATTTTTACCAGCCTATTCTACTTAAGTCCTCAAGATGGCCTCTTATTCCTTAAATACATCATTTTATCATTTTGCTCCTGCACCATTACCAAGCAAATACCCGTAAACCAATTTGTCAGTAAAATACATCTTTTCACATATTCTGTTCTTCTAAAATGCTAACCTCTGAGCGACTACAATTGTAAACTATGATATAAGGAAATAAAACAGATTATAAAAGATGTCAATCTTCGATACACGTCTGCTTTACTGTTAATATAAGTGCTTGAAAAATGACTCACATAGCAATTAAATAGTAATTGCCTTTTTTAAATCATAAAGGTAAAAAAGTTCGAATTATAAGACATACCGTCTGCAAATAGCCTTCCCACAGTTTCAGCTCATCTGATAACACCTGTAAGCGCGCCTTCAGTGTCTCCTGTAAGTACAACATCATCTACAGTCAAACTTAGGTGAAAACAGGTATTTCATGACTGAAATATACGGATAATAGCAAAATGGCGAAATGGCCAACATTGGAAGATATACATACCATCGAATCGGACGACAAGCAAATCAGTGACTTATTATTCTACAATTGCCAATAAGTGTTTATAGTATACTGGTCGGAGACAGTACACTATAGCCGGCCTACTATCTTACCTGGTCCTGTAGATCTGGCGAGTCTTCCATGAGTTCGTATATGAGTTGCTCCAGGCCCTTTTTAAACAAGTTGAGTGCCTAAAAATGAAACAGAAAGGGTAAAAACGGGTGAATCATTATCATACGAACATAGGACGATAATCGTTAGAAAATCAAAACGCTTTGTGAAAATGTATTCGTACATTTAACAGTGTTACATTTTAGAGCCTTACACAATAGTAATAACAGCATGAAAAATTGAGATTTCTAGAAGGACAATCTTTCACAAGACTAAGGACAATCTTTCACAAGAGTGGAAAAAGTACAGAATTTAGAGTTATACTGTAACAACTCCAAAACCCGTGTCAAGAACAGAGTAAAACTGAATCATTGCTCGAAAATATAAATCCGTTTTTATATTGCTCAAACTGATCATGGACTTGGTGAATCTAACACTATCCATATGGTATTCAAAAAAAATCATTAAGATACACAGTTTTCATGTACTAGATATAGTTTGTTTAGTTGAGAGAAATAGTAAGTAGTATACAGTGCCGTCAATTAGTATTACATGTACCTCGTATTGCCTCTGTAAGACCACTGCCCTCTCCTTGACGTCTGTGGGTAGAAGTCTGTTCCCTTGATCATTGTACTTGAACTAAAAACAGAGAAAATGTTACAAACGATGACAAATGCATATAATGTAAATCAAATCGGTTGGTTTAAAAAATTATGTTCTCACAAACCTCAAGATAGTCGCAAATTGCCATCGACTCATTAACGACAACATCGCCATCCACAAATGTTGGAACCTGGAAAAGGAATCATAATACTATGGTATAGAATATATTATGGTAAACAAAGATGTTGTATACCATGTATAATTAGGATCCATCTCATTGACAACCTGACAACTCGTCCACTAAATTGTTTTTCAATTTTGAGAATTTAATTTTTTTGAAAATGTGACTTCTAGTTCGGGTTGATTCCCCATAGACCCAATGTTACAAAATCACAAAAAGTGAAATATCTTTTCTTTTGTTGGACAGATAACATTTTCTTTTACTTGGCATATTTTTATTTGCATAACTATTAGATACATAACGGTATATATGAAATTAAACCGCGCAAAAAGATGTAATTTAAGTTAAAAGGACCTTCCCAACATTGGACATGTCTGAAAATCTCTGTCAACATCAACAACAGCACTTACATGTATTCTAATGGACTTTTTCTGTAAGTCTATGTGAAAGAAATTATGGTCCCCCAGGGATCATGGACATGGTCCCCTTTCTGACCGGGCCCTTACTGGCCATGATTGTGTATAAGATAATAAGGGAAAGAGGTCACCATATAAAGAGTAGTATATGAAGAGTAGGACCATAATTTTATCAAAAATGGGCCTTAATTTTTCAAAATTTGGGATTCTAGAGGCCTAAAAAAAATTTCTAGGAAATCTTTTCGCACTCAAATTTTGCCCTCCCCCTATAAATTTCTGGATCCGCCACTGATGCCAGCTAGTGATAATGAAAAATCCAATTTCTATTTTCAAACCCCTTGCTCTTGCCCATGTTGCCAGTGAGGAAAATGTGAAGATACCAAAATTTTCTATAGTATCGAATCTCTGCTTCTATATTCATATTACCTCCCGGTATTACCTCTGGACTATCTACAAAACTGAACTGACACTAGAGCCACTAGGTACTCCCCGGGTAGGTACTTGTGTCACAAAGGCTTGTAGCTAGCTAGACTATCCACTGATGGACAAGGATCCAATCCACTTTTTCACGATCAGCATGAAATTGCAAAACATGATTTATTCATACAATACCTAATTCTTAGGCCTCTGATTGAGACCGTTAAGAAAAAGAAGATCAATATTTTGCACTTTCACCTCTCCTCTGGGATTGTATTTCATGACATCTGGTCCCTTCGTTTCATTCTTGTCAAAACTGATCAATCTGCCATCATACTTTACTCTCTTTTCTTCTAGAGCAAGCATAGCTCGCCAACAAGGCACGCTTCCACTTCCCCACCAAAGAATCGAGTCAGTCATCGTAGATGCCTTCCGACTGTATCTGAGAAGAACTTCCGGAATATTCAATAACCTTTTACATATCATCATGAGTTTATGTATGTCACCAATCGAATTGCAGTATATGGTCACGTGAACAAATACTAACACGTGTTAGTTTACCAATAACAACGTTGTACTATTCAGATATTTTGCAATTCACATTTTTCAAACTACACATTTATCATTGATTAATATTCATAAGAATGATAAGCAAACGGGAGTAACATTAACGTCAAATTACTCGAAAGTGGCCACGTCGCCCTATATTGTATTGTATCCTTTATTACAGCAACTGAAGTACATTTACAAAGTACAATAGTAACATATTACATTTGCATAAGCATATTACGCTTTGTGTACACGTTAGAAATACGGCTTTGGCTTTCAAAATCATTGCTTCATCCTCGGATTGATCACGTCATCGTCACCAATTCTAAATAAATTAGGAAGTGCAACTCTCCTCATCTATGGAATTATAGAAACGTAAAGATGATCCAATGTTTCTATTTCGTTAGTTTCACATATATTACATTTCCTGTCACAATGATATTTCAACATTGTCAAGAATTTTTGTGACACAAAAAGATGCAACATTATAATGATTAAATACGTCTGCAGTACTTCCAAATTAAAATGCATTAGCACTTGAGAAATGGCCAAGGTATGGACAAACATCTCAGAATTTGTTGATATAATTTGAAAGGGCAACATTGAAAAATGTTTTGAATACGTGTTTCCATAGCGATAGTTCGAACCAATAAATAAAATTGGCGTTCAATTATTATGTTATTTTATTCGCATCCCTTATGAAATACCCCTGTATTTAAAGTTTTTAAAAAAGGAGATAGACTTGCCAGATTGTCATAACAAATCCCACCTTTTTAAGGGGGTCAGTATCAGTATGGTATATTAAATCAGGTTTGCGGTTGCGACCAGATAAATGTGATCTGAAAAATTATTCAAAGATAAGCAGACCAGATCAAACCTTTTAAATGGAATAGTAAAATTTTACGGCAACGGCCTTTCTATTTTCATAAAAGAATTTGCCTGAAGTTTAACGTGCATCTCTCGTTTGCTCAACATATGGAATAACACACTTCTCATTTGTATCTTGTGACACCCCCCCCCCCTCCCTCCCAACCTCTCACATTACCAATAACCATCTATGATTACTGAAATTAATCCTCTATTGTAATTTAAACTACCTAGAATGCTTATGGCGATTGGTAGTAGATATTTTGTGTATTTTTTTATTATGAAGGAAATAAATTATATGTTAAAAACCACAAACTCGTCCGTCTGTCCGGTTTTATGAAAAATGAAAATGAACTAACTATAGCTAATGGCTATGTCCATTTTATGGGGTCCATACTGGTACTTTAAACCATTGGTCGCGGCTCCTACTTTTTCCTCGTTTTGAAGAAATCGTCATCAAAATATAAGGAACCACCATGACCTCATCGAACGATGCCGTTTTTTATTCATTATATTGAATTTAAATTTTCACAGAATATGCAGTTCTTTGCCTTACCACTAGGGTTTATAACTTAAAAGCAAAAATTATCGATTTACCCAATCGACCGCAAAATGAAAGCGGAGACGATATATGAGAGATAGCAATGTCATCAGATGCTCCTAAACAGAAAGTAGTTATGTTAGTATGGATTGGAAAAACAATTGCGAAAAACACTGAATGCTTTTATCAAATGAAAATTTAATAACCCAAGATAATAGAATAGTTACAGAAAACTCCATCAAGATTTTTAACAATATCTATGACGATTTATATGATACTGATAACAGTAAATATCTTCATGATTTGGAAGGTGATATTATCACTCACGTATTCTCTGTCAAACCTTTCAGTTGGAACAGTTGAAATATCCACTAGTTCAACCATGATAACAGGCTCATATGATGTACTATTTACATGTTAGTCATGTCCGAATGTTTCTTTGATTTTGGCAATATCATGTTCCAGCTGTGATGCCTGCTCGTTCCATTGACGTTTTCTTGACGTCAGTTCATTTACTTGACGTTTCAGTCGTGTTAGTTGCGCTGCATTCCTCTTCTGCAATCAGTCAAATAAAGGAAATTTTACATGTTTTCATCATTTCATTGTCATTGTGTTATATTTTAAATTTTCTGGTCTTTGCCTTATTAGCTTGTGTCTTCCGATATATGACTAGTAAGAACCGTGTATTTGTTTGTGCTAAATTGGATTTTATGTATTATTCAAAGAGACGTGAACAGTTTAGACACGTAATGTAAAAAGATCTTACATGAAGAACATCCGTATCTTGCTTTGTCTTCCACTGTTTTCCTTTCTCTTTCTCTATCTATAAAAAGCGAAAACACACCATTCGAATTTATACGAGCATCCCGCGCTTGCATCTTTTTATTCAACTTTTTTAGAAATGATATAAATAATTACGGGCTACACTGGCGGATCCAGCCCCCCCCCCCCACCATTTTTTGGCCCAGAAAATTTTTAGGCCTCAAAATGGGCCTTTTCAGGACTTTAGGCCATATTATAAACACTGCCCCCCCCTGTTAGCTTCTGGATCCTCCAGTGGACTATATACTGCACAAGTCTCGCTCCTGAGGTAAATTTTTGTTAATGAAATACAAACGTCGTCAAGCAAAATAAAGAAAAATACTTGGACGCCATACTTCATTGTACCTGGTCTTTCTTCTGATCAACAAGTTTCTCCAATCGTTTATGTTCTTTCGTGAGGGCTGTTATTTCTGACTGCAAGGCACGTTCCTTCCCTCCAGACAGAATAAGACTAGTCTCCAATGGGTTCCCCTCTATAGACCTTTCTAAATGATAAGTATTTGATGAGAATTACAGGCCCATAGCCACGGGGGGGGGGTCCCCCATGGCCAAAAATTCTTTCAATATCCTGCAGTTTTTCACCATTTTAGTACGTTTTCAGTAATTGTGGCCATATTTGGACAAATATTGTCAAAAGTGAAAAAAAAGTGAAAATTTTCAAAAAGTACACGCCCTTGGGAAATCCTGGCTACGGGGCTGAAGTACATAAATGCGCCTGGAAGCTACACTTTTTGAAGATACGAAAGATTTGTCCGCTGTGACGTAGTATGCTATTTTTCATAAAAAACACTAAGAATACTTCACGATTTATTAACTCAAATGTCTCGTTATATTAAAGAAAATTACTTACTTCATGCAATGGATATATCATTTGCGGGTAACCTTCACTTCTGATTGAAGTCCATCCAATAACGCTACATGTAAAAGCCAGGCCTATTGAAAACGGCGCCAGAGTATCAAACTCTATAATTGATAATGTACCATTTCTTTTTTAGCTTTTTAATGGCATGATATATTGACACGATGATATTAACATGTTTTCAGCATAACCCTGAATGTATTAATGAGATATTGATGTATGGGGTCTTTTTAATTTTTTCACAAAAAATGTTTACATTCTTTGTCCGCTGTGATGGAGCAGTTTCACAGTTCACATTTGCAACTGCTCCGTCACAGCGTACAAAAAATATAAACATTATTTTTTATAAAAGAATTAAAAAGACCCAATACATCAACATCTCATTAATACCTTCATAGTTATGCTTAAAACAAACGTTAATATTATCTAGTCACTATAACGTGCCATTAATAAAAAGTTAAACAAGTTTTTTAGTGTTTTCATCATGCTCCGTCACAGCGGACGAATCTTTCGATGCCATTAACAGCCCGTGGTAAAGCAAATGCTAAAACAAGAAAATTAGAAAGGACGATTCTCGGTTTGGAGAACGAAGTTCATCAATCTAAATGAGCATTATCCCTGCTTCGGACAAATTTGATTTTTTTACATAATATAGATTTGAATGTCTTCATTTGAATAGTCATAATTTAATTTGGGTAATATTTCTAACTTCTTTCCCCAAATCGAGACTTGTATTTTATTGAATCGGTCTATTTGAGCATTATCCCTGCTTCAGACCAATTTGTTATTTTTACATCTTGTAGATTTAATTGTCCTCTTTTGAATATTCATAGTTTAATTTGGGTAATATTTCTATATTTTTCATGAAAAAATTTTTAGCCCAGGAGGCTGTTCTCCAAACCGAAAATCGTCCTTTGTGAAAAAGCCTGCAAAATATGAAAACAACGTTAACTTTACCTCTGACAAATGGAAATCATTGCACAGTTGCAATGATAGAAATGTTTGGTTGTGTATGTGGTTTTCATATTTATTTTGATTGGAAATCTGAATCAAACTTAATATTAAGTATTACTTTTTTGTTGCAGGGAATGGATCTTTTCTTGCTGTAATTTCACCTTCTTGTGGATTTCATGTTGTTCCTCAGCCAAGTTAACCTTCTTCTTATACTCTTCCATTTTCATTTTGTATATGTTGAACAGTCTGGAATTAAACAAAAATCCTTGGAGTAACAACAGAGGGAAATTTTACCAGTAATGTATGTTTTGACAAAACGGACATAGCTTATTTCAGTGATTCAAAACATTTAGCCAGACACTAGGCCTGTGTTCCTCTGAATGTAAAGAACATCGCCTTTAAAGCTATTCTTAAAAATGATGGTAAGATATGCTTGAAATATTTGTTTGTACCATGATTTTCTGATAACAAGGCACAGACGTGAACAAAATCGTACCTAAAACACAGCATTGTGGTCTTGTTGACCAAGAAAGTAAGATGGCCGCAGAAAAGTTAATCAGCTCTAGAACTTATCACTGTGTAACATATGTAAAAATTTGAACGGTTTGGCTGGAAACCTGTAGACAAGTCTTGATAGTGAAGATTTTAGGACGGAAAATCCAAAATGGCCACCTTAAAATTTACCCAGAATGCCCAAAAACCAATCAGTTCTTGACGTTGATATGTAGAAACATCCCTGAAAATTTCAGATGAATCCCTCAAAAGGTTTGGCTGGAAACCTGTAGACAAGTCTTGAAAGTAAAGGTTTTGGGACGGAAAATCCAAAATGGCCACCTTAAAATGTACCCAGAATGCCCAAAAACTAATCAGTTCTTGACGTTGATATGTAGAAACATCCCTGAAAATTTCAGATGAATCCCTCAAGTGGTTTGGCTGAAAACCTGTAGACAAGTCTTGAAAGTGAAGATTTTAGGACGGAAAATCCAAAATGGCCACCTTAAAATGTACCCAGAATGCCCAAAAACTAATCAGTTCTTGACGTTGATATGTAGAAACATCCCTGAAAATTTCAGATGAATCCCTCAAGTGGTTTGGCTGAAAACCTGTAGACAAGTCTTGAAAGTGAAGATTTTAGGACGGAAAATCCAAAATGGCCACCTTAAGATTTACCCAGAATGCCCAAAAACTAATCACTTCTTGACGTTGATATGTAGAAACATCCCTGAAAATTTCAGATGAATCCCTCAAATGGTTTGGCTGGAAACCTGTAGACAAGTCTTGAAAGTGAAGATTTTAGGACGGAAAATCCAAAATGGCCACCTTAAGATTTATCCAGAATGCCCAAAAACTAATCAGTTCTTGACGTTGATATGTAGAAACATCCCTGAAAATTTCAGATGAATCCCTCAAATGGTTTGGCTGGAAACCTGTAGACAAGCTGAAAAGTGAGACGCCGCCCGCCGCCCGCCCGCCCGCCCGCTCGCCAAGCTGACTACAATATCGTACCTTTTGTTAGGTACGATAAAAAGAAGCATATAAAGGAAAGCACGTAAGAGTTTACCTGGCGTTCGAATCTAAACAAATTGTCTTGAGTCTTGTTTCATATTTGGTGTCCTCTATTTTGTCAACTATCTCATCTAATTCTACAAAATATATTGAACGCTGAATTCCACATTGTTTATTGTTACTAGGCAAAAATACTGACTTTGACAAGACAAAATGATCGTATAGAATAGAACATATGCTGTATATTTTTGTAATGGCAACTTTGGTGTTGCTCAAAACTCAAGAAAACATAGCTATTAGCAGATAAGTGAATCCCATCAATCCCCAATTGTTATTTTTAATTGAGGGCTGGCAAATTGAGGCATGGCTAAAGTGATATTTTAAACGGTTAAAATTCTTTAAAACCTGTTTGTGTGATTTTGCATGCCTTTCTGGTTAGCGTTACTTCTCCCTCAACCATACAAGTCTTCTTAACTATACTCTGTATTTCTTTGATGACATCCTCTTTCAGGGCTGACTCTGTAAAAAGAAACATCTTGAGCCAATTTGCATAAAATGCAATAATCTTCACACCAGTTTAGTGATACCTTCACAAATCAAACCCTTGTACCTTTCTATCGGCTTTACTAATTGAGCAATCGTCAACGATACAGTAATAATAACTAAATGTCAATGAAACCGTTGATTTTTCGGCCAAAAAGTAAAATACAAAAAGGTAATTTTTATAACATAAAACAACGGTAGCTTTGGATCACCTTGCTGAGAGAAAAAAATTGTAATATTAATTAATCAGAGTCCACATTCACGTGGTCAATCAAACGTTGACCTAAAGGTCATAATGTCCTATGAAGTCTCTACCTTTAATATTATTTTGGGTATGATATCATGATATGCTCCACAGTACTTTATGTGAATTTAAATTAAACATACATACCCTCTGCTAGTTTTTTCTAAAAACGAAAATGAAAAATGTATAATCAGAAGGCAACACTATTTAATAATGTACGTATAATTTGCGAATTTTCATTTATCCAGGAAACATGTAACACACCTATAAACCATAATTAAATTAATGCCATACAGTAACCGGTGCCAAAGGATTCAATAGATAACTCCTACAGTTATTACCATCACAGAAGTCATACAATAAAATATCAACTTTAGTAAACTTGTTTCGTGAAACTTTAGAGAGTTTAAGCAATACGTCTAATTTTTAAAAGTACATTACTTTATATTACCCAAATATAATGGCATGATTTATCAAGATCAAATAGCTTGAATCTACCTCCAATTGTTCCAATATGTCAGTCTGGCGTTGAACTTCATCAGTTTGATCTTTCTGCATGGACGCTACTTCAGACACAACTTGTGGAAGACTTAGAACGTTTTCTATAGCTGTGTCAACCATCTTGCCTTCTAGTTCAAGACTGCCTGTCGCGGTATTAGCTTCTGGGTGAATTGATCTCAATGGGTTGCACAATGACGAACCATCTACAAAATATAGTTTGATACAATTAATATCATGATTTCGTCAACATAAAGCAGGGAAATACTTTCAAATTGTCTTTTACGGTAAGTTTTACCATGTTTACATCTTTTGATATATACTATTTTACATTGCTTTCTCGAGTCTCTCATACGCCGAAGCCGGCGAAGCCGAAGAATTTACATGATTGTTTTTCAGACGTGCAACACGACAAACTTTGAGCTATCGTACCGTCATTATCGCAGTTAACAGTGTGATCACAATGGATCTCAGATTTAACAACAGTTCCACTTGGCAATTCGTGTACATTGACTTCAGACAATCCATTCTGGCTAAATTGCGTTTCTTGATTGCTATATCCATGGATGATATTCGTATCAGTGAACTTGTTGGCATCTAGGAACCTTTGGTTTTGTCCCCTTACATCAGTAGACGTCGGGTAATAATTGCCAGTTGTTCTACCCAATATGTCAGCTGAATTATTGTGTGAAGCTTCTATACGTAGGGGTTCGGTAAGCGTTTTGCGCGACGGAGCATAAATTGGTGGTAGTGGTGGAATATGAGGAACTTTTTGGAAGTCAAGTCCTTTGTTTTGCTGAAGCATGCTGCCTTTGGAAGCGCTATAAATCATAATAAATATGAAGTTGTTATGATAGCGATGTCACAAAGAAGCCCGGAAAGAAGCCTAGCATGTATCAAGTAATTGTTTTTGGATCCCGTGGGACAGTAGGAGGAGCACTGAAAGAGCTTTTAGTTTAAATCATCAACGCTATAACATGTACATGTATATAAGCAATGGAAACATAAAATATTAATGTGATTGAATAGAATACCCAACATTCATTAAGTTGAGACCTCTTATTCACAGGTTGTTCACAAAAGAAACTCGCCATTCTGAAGTTGAATAACAATCAAAGTAAGCCATTCAATCAACGAACAGAGATCAGTGATCAAAGAAAAGATCGATAATAAATGTATTCGTTGAATTACCGTTTTGTTGGCCCCAAGGCCCAAAGAATAAGGCCCGTATCTGCTTCCCTTCACATAAATTGGTCAATTCAGGAAACAAACTAGTATTACGCTATTGGGCATTATCATGTCACCACAAAAATGGTGAGGTATTGTTATGGTCTCCGTTTTTTGTGATGGCGGTTGGTGTCTGGCGTCTGTCAGATCTGTAACAAAAAAGCTTCGAATTTAACAAATGAAAATTTTCAGAATCATCTACAAGTTATCATCAGAAGTTCAAATCTGACTTTGATTTGAGATTTGACCTTCACAAGGTCAAAGAGGTATTTTTCAACTTGCTTTGATCAAATTGACCAATTTTTCCAAAACTATCTACAAGTTCTCAGAAGTTCAAATTTGACTTTAGATTTAAGATTTGACCTTCAATGACCCTCTCAAGGTCAAAAAGGTCTTTTTTCAACTTGCTTCGAATTGACTTGTTTCTTTTTTCAAAATCATCTAAAATCTTCTGAGAAATTAAAATCTGACTATATTTGAGATTTGATGTGGTTAAAAGGCCTTAAAAAGGTATTTTTTCAACTTGCTTTAAATTGATCGATTTTTTAAAAAATCATTTAGACTACCCCCATTAATGATCGAATTGGCGTTTTTCCTTATATTTTATCATTCTTGTGCCAATTGGCACTAGAATATTAAAAAAGGTCAAAATTAAAGGTATTTTTCAGATTGACAATTTTTTGAAGATCATCTACGTCAAGATCTCAGAAATTCCAATATCTGATTTTTAGAGTTGACCTTCTCGAGGTAAAAAAGGTAAAAAGGTATTTTTTCAACTTGCTTCGACTAATTTTTTTTCAAAATCTTGTGTTTGTGTTTCAAACTTTGAGCTTGTACTTATTTATTTATTGAGGTCCACAGTCGTGGGTTCATTGGGATCATTTTTCTTAGGTGGCGACATTTTTTTCATTTTAATTGTTGATCGGCCTATTTTGAGACATTTTAGGCTGAATTTTAGCCAAGGCTAGCCTAGATTCTAATATTTCAGATTTTTCCGCGAAATTTTTAATCTAGATCTAGACTAGCACCCGATCCTCTCCTCTTCAATTTTGGTTTTCAGATCCGCTCCAGAGCGCTCCTTCGGCTTCGACTATTGACTTCCACTAGATTTAGGCCTAGCCCCCCTTTTCCTCATCTTGAGACAAATGATACATTATGAAATTCATCAAGTTTTAGATTACTTAGTCTGTTATTTGTGTTCAAATTTGGCGGTATTTTGACAGTGAAAGGCAAACTGATTAAACCTTTACGATAACGAAATAAATCAATTAATTGCTCACAAAAATCTAATGAAAATTAAAAATTATTAAGGAATTAGTATCCATATTTAATTATATTATTAAATTATAGAATGCGCTTTTTATAAGTATTTTTGAGCACCTTTTATGATTTCGTTTAGATTTTTGTTTGAAATCGATGTGTATCACGTGCTATTTTTGTTTTGTCACGTGATCAGTTTGTTATTGTACTTGATAATTTTGGCAGAAATCATCATTCTTTGTTGGAGAACTTCTATTTTATCGTCAGAATGGTGTCTTAAACGTCAACAGATATTGCCCAAATAACAATTGGGAGATATTCTATATGGAGAACCACACTTATAGCTCAAGACTAATTGAAAAAGACGACCAGAACGATTCAAAGGTGAGGACTGTTTTTGTAAATCATCTGTTTTTACGATTTGTTTCGTAATGGTTTTCCAGTTATTTCTTGTTTTATCAAAACACCTGGTATTAACAAATGATCAATAGAATGGATTTGCTCCGTATGAAGTGCAGAAGAAATGGGTGTGAGATCTCGAATATTATGTGTTGTTCATGGAGTCACCAGTTCAGAGATCTGTCCTCATTTACCCCACATCCTGTTGTGAAACTAAAATCAGTTCATATTTTTTTCATATTTTGTTATCAGTCTTAAAAAGATAGATACATTCATTTATTTAGTGGACACAGTTCTCGGATTATATATGATGACATTGACTCCCTATAAGTAGATCCCCAAAGACTGATCTCCTCGATTTGCTCTCAAACTTCAAATATATAATATTCAGAAATAGAGAGATTTCGCAACTCACAGGAAGCATGTTTTTTATTCCCATATAACCTAAATAAGCGTTTGATTATGTCATAATTTATTCCGCAGGTCTATCTACTAGTATACATAAGAATATCACACTTATGGACATATGAGCTGCGCAATAAGTGATGATTTAATCAATTACTTTTTAAGTTTTTACTAATAGTGACTGCCATTGAGGGTAATAGTGCAAAATATTTTCCCGGGGGATATTTATTTATATATTTATTTAGGGATCTTTACCCCATATGTACTCTGTAAACAAAAACAAAATGAGAAGTCTTTTCATTTCAACATTTAATGTTGACAGGTTCTTATTGGCATTTAATGGTATTTTGCCTTTCAACTCCTATAATCTCAGCTATCAGGGAAGATAAAACATACTAATGACTGGTCTCATGACCTAACTGGTGATTAGTACATTTCATCTTCCCTAATAGCAGGGATTTAGAACCTTGCAGGGAATAAGTTCATCTATTTCATATCATATGACCCTGAATAAGCCAATGAGCAATTGGAATACATATGGGGTTATATAATAAAAGGGAATAGTAAACATGCTATAAGTGAGTTGCAAAATCTCTCTAATAACATCAACTTGTTAGGCTTCTTCAAAGAAAGCTTGGTCTACAATCTTTAGCAGGCCTGTCAACTGTCCCGCAATTTGCGTATTTGTCACGCATTTGCTGAAGAATTTGAAGTCACGCCAGTTATTTTTGCGTGACAGAAAATGTCACGCAAATACGCATTTTACCTGGTAATTGTCAAGCAAAAATATTTCTGTAGAAAAATTTCTAAAAAAGTTCGTCTACACAGCAAAAATACGAACGCCGAAAAAAAACGTACGCATTTCGTTCGGACTTTTCACGCGAATCACTAATATGTCACGCATTCCGTTCGAAAATGTTCGTACCTACCCCCCCCCCGTTGATGGATGTTTGAAACGCGAGCGTAACGAGCGCAAAAAATTTGAGGTGTTCAAAATTTGACAAGATGTAATAAAATCTAAACCAAGGTGTTCAAAATTTGGATCAAGGTGTTCAGATTTGGACCAAGGTGTCCACATGTAGAGGGGAGGTGTTCAACATTTCCAAGTCACTCATGTTAGGTGTTCCCAAGTTGACAGGCCTGCTTTAGTGTCAGAGAAATAAATCCGAGCCAATCAGAGCTTGTCGTTGTCAGAAGTACAATTTTCTATATATGGTCATTTTCTCTGATGTCATTGTTGACCCAGTATCGATAGGCATTAAATCATTGTTGAAATGTTTTGCTTTCGGCTCACTGAGTGGGTAATGTCACAGCCACTGGCGTTAGAGGAGGGCTGCTGGACTGTAAAATTGTCTTAGACATTCAGAGGGAAGTTTGGAACTAAACTTTGAGAATGATTCTAGGTTTGTTCATTTAAGGACCATGACAGGAGAACTAGGAGGGCCATTATATGTTTGTCAATACAGAATCATATTTAAAATATTTACAACATTTTCAGCCACATTTCAAAGTCGAGACTGTCCATGTAAGCAAAAAGAGTTCAAAGAGGGGACGTAAACCTGTGAAAGTTGATGTAAAAGCAAAGCTGGAGCGCAGTAGACAAAGTGCGAGGGAATGCCGGGCTAGGAAGAAGCTGAGGTACCAGTATTTAGAGGAGCTTGTTTCAAATAGGGAGAGAGCAATATTTGCTTTGAGAGAGGAACTGGATATGGTGAGTAACTGCAATTAGAGTGAATGGATACTGTATATATAATCGGCATTCCATTTTGCATCCAAGACTTTTGGGTCCACCCTTGTACAAATCATGAACATCGTCATTTGTACATACAGTGATATTCTGATATGAACTGTTTCGTGATACATTGAGAAAGTGCAAGGTACATGCACAATATCTGAACTTAAAATAATTTTGCTATAAGAAATTACACAAGATGATAATTTTCATGCACAAAATAAACCTATGGCTTTATGCATGTTCTGATCTTGATTCTACTTCCAGTATCGACAAATCTGTCGCAATATTGATCAGGGTAAGCCCTACTCAACAAAGACAAAGACAGAACAGCCCATCAGTAAGGCAAAGCAAAAACTTAAAGAAAAGACTACACTCTGGGACACAAAAATGAAAGTTATAAAAGCTGACCCAGAAGAAGCTGCTGGAAAATGAACAAGATCTGATTTTCACTCCTTATGGAAACATTGAATTACAACGACACTTTAGCCCGAAACTGTAGTATAACATGAATGTTGTTTTTCACGTTTGATGTTTCTATCAGGAGTATATTGTGTGTTTCCAGCCACTTGATTGTAAAAAAGAGAAATGTGCAGTAAATGTAGAATGATATACCTGATCTGCTGATTGAAGGTGAATGGACTATAGAGATTCTATAGGCATAGAAATAATCAGAAAAATATATTTTTCATTAATATATTGTTAAATTTTCACCATATATGGCTTGATTCAAATCATCATAATTTGCAGGATTCAGTGTTGTGCTGAGTCGAAGGTAACAAAGACATAAGAAATCAAAATTTCCATTCATGTTTAAAGAGATGCTCAGGTTTTTGATATCCAACTTTTCATTTCATAGAATTTATCAATTTTGAGCGTAATCATGTTGGCATGTCAAGCAATTCTTGAAATTGTTTTTCTAACAAATCATCTTTTTGTGTATAATACTTAAAATAGTGTTGTATTAGACATATTTTGAAAGAACTGCTGTTGGATCCCATTTAGTAGAAATATTTTGTAAGGGCCCTTATAGGATCCTATTTATCCTATTGGATTGGAAAGGGTCGGTTGACCTACTTTCTTACTTGAGCATCTCTTTAATTTATGTTTATAACTCTTGAGTGTATCTTAAGTCTAATATTTTCTTTTTTCATTTTATTCAAGTGTATTTTGTGAACACAGTTCCAGTTAATGATAGTTAAAACTATAATTCATCTTATAAATTCAACCATGAATATATATTGAATATTATCAAATAAGTAGTGCAATATTTGTTTATGAAAATATGTTAAAATTAAGTGAAACGATAATTGAAACAGTTGCTTCCTATTTCTGATTCATTTTTTAATTATTATTTTTTGACACGTGTTTATATAACCACTTCAATACAGGTATGTGTTGTATTGTACACAGTTCGGAAAATATGGGTTTTTAAATGTACAGATAAACTATAAAACTGTTTTTGTTAATGGATTTATTTTGAATCCGTTAATTCAGTTCATGCATTGTATATAGGCTTGCCCTTATATTTATGCAATTTCCAGTTGAGAGTTAAGTCCATAGTCCATGCATGTAAATTCGCTTCTTAGATTATGGTATGTTAGTTAAAGGGGCAATAAGGACTGTAGAGAAAATAGGAAAGTTTTTTCATTTTTTCTGAGCTATCAAGGCAACATTTGGTTTGACATCTTCTTTGACATACCTATTTTCTGAAAATGTATGGATAAATTATCAATTTCAGCATTAAGAAGTGTAAATTCAGTTCAAAGCTTCAAAAAGGGGACTTCCACTTTTATAATTTTAAGATCCACCATGTTTCAAGAGGAATATCAGCTAAAATAATGTTTATCTAAGCTTAGGGGGTTTCTTTGTAGATAATAAAAATAGATGTTAGTCTTGATGAAATATCCTAACTTAAATATATTTTGACACTGGTCCATGATCGTTGAATGACCCCTTTGCACTAATTATTGCACCTTTAATATATCAGTTTGAATGAACACTGTTTCTTTAATCAAATCTTCATTTTTATTGTGACTGATGTCATACCTTTTGAAATATTTAAAAGCATACACATGTAGAGTCTAGTGCACATTATGTAAGTGTCACATCCCCATTTTGTAAAATTATACCATGCATGTTAATTGTATACTGTGCTTGAAGTATGTATTAATTCTCCTTGAATTATACAGAACAAAATATATATCCCAAAATATTAAGAATATGTTACATGTAAAGATTTGTGTGAGACCCCCCATGCGGGAATGGGTGGGGACTTGGACAAAGTAAAAATTGGGCTGTCAGATCTCCTACAATGGATATTTTACATATAAATACATGCAAGAATGACAAATTATCTTTTTGTAATTCATTTTCTATGGTGAAAATTTTGAGGAATAATTTCAAACAGTTTTGTCTGACTCTTATTAGATGTTTGATGGGATTTGCATATCCTTGGTGATGCCTTTATTATATCAACACCAAAAGCAGTGACATATTGCTATCGTCTACATTTTTGTGACAGCGGTTGGACCGATAAATGTCATTCAACATCTGTAGCAAATGGCAGGTGTTGACATTTTGCATGCTAATGCCTTGTCTAGATTGTTCTTATTTGATAGGATCCATTTAGGGGCCTCAGTTGATCTATTATTGTTGGATAACATGATGTTCTTAAAAGTTATTTGCAGTTATTATATAATATGTATATATATTGTACCCTCTTACAAATAAACAATTATGTAAATATTCAACATTTCTTGTTCTGTTTAGAATAGGTCCATACTCCATATCATGAAATGTGAACATACCTACTGTACTTCTACTTTATTTGGTGGCGGTTTTAATTTTCCCAGTAATTTTAGTATCATGCAAGATTAGTACCAATAATGCTTTGTAATATTTCAAGTCTGCCAAATGTTTATAACAGCAAATCCACCAAAATAAGTTGCACCAAAGTAATTAAAAGTGCAGTATAACTTCAACAACACGTTGAGGACAAACTGTCGGGACTAGTATCAAGGATCTTTCTTGGTATGAAAGTCAAGCAGCGACTAGTTTTTGAGCTTGCTGGGTTCAGAAATGAAATGACAATTATTTCTGATATTGCACCAAAATAAAGTTAGCTTTCAAGGACTGTGTTGGCAATTCAAGCCGAACAATGAATTGGCAACTACATGCAATAATGACAACCAAAACTATAATTAAGGAATAAAGACCGAGATTTTATGATTTATGGCATAAATATATGACTGAAAATTTTATTCTGTTCATTGTTAAAAGACCGAAATCTGTTATGATTCTAATATGATAATAAACATACAAGAAACAAAACTATTTGCATTTATGAGTTTTGGCGGTCATACATAATCCAATATAGACCAGTAAATCAATTGTTTTAGCTATTGTGACATCACATATCATATTAGAGTGTTAGATACGAAGGGGGATTCATAAGTAGTGGGACTTTTTTGAGGCAGCAAGTCCCTGTGTATAATTTAAGTTATCCCATTGAAGTGTAAATTGTTACATCTTACAATGTCATAGGCGTAGCCAGGAGGGCACCCCCCCCCCCCCAATAACCAATGAAAATATGACCATGATGATAGAGGAAGAAAAGAGCCTTAAAATGCTTTTTATTTGAAGCTTCTAGCTCAATTTTGAAGGAACCTACATACATTTTTGTAAATTCAAAACAAATCTTACACGTTTTCTAATGATATATGTTATATATTCGTATTTTTCGGTTTTTTGGGGTACCCGTTTTTTCGATCGGGTACTGGGTACCAAGTTTGAACCCAGCATGGAGGATTTACTACCCCGTACCCAGTTTTTTCTACAAACCCAATGAAAATAGCAATAAATAAGCAAAAACTATGTATAAGCATTCGCATTGTGATCAAATTTAATCCCTTGAAGAAGTTTTCAGTATTAGAGACCCATAGAGATTTGCTGAAAGTCTATGATTAGGATAAATTCTGGGCAAACTTTCATCAGAATGAACTAGAACTGAAATGTAGAATATACAAATGCAATATTTCGAGTAACAATAATTTATTCTTTTTTTATATACAATAATATATGTGTACAACGTGAGTTTTACTCGGTTCAGGACTATAGCTCTTAGACTTTATAAGTTCCAAGTTGTTTAACAGTTTGGTTAACGTGTATCCACTTAAAGAGTCCAAGAGCTTTATTTCCATTCCTCGATATCGCTGTTTTGTGTTTTTGATTGATATCCACCTTGTAAAATTTTTAATTAAGCACTTATGCCAAAATGGATGTACATAACTTTTGCACACAGACACAACACAGTTGATGTGCAACTTTCTAATATTTGTCATTGCAAAATCTATTTCATTAGATCTCTCTTCTCACAAATTATTTTCAGTTTGTGCATAATGTACTCCTAGGAGAATGAGGCCACAAAGAGTCCATCCATAATATACACTGAACCATTTCAGGGCTATTTGTGGACTAAGTGCTTCCTTAAATAAAAAGTGTAGCCTTACATCAAGTCTATTTGCCAACCTCCCTAACATAAAACTTATTTAGGAATGTTTCGCCCATTGGGTGTTTATTTATGAGCACTTGAAAATAATGCCCAACATGAGCCTTAATTTGAAGATTTTCTTTTTTACACCCTCTATCAAATAAATGCCCATGGACCCATTGGTGAAAAACTCCTGTAGGGGGAGGGGAATGAGACTTGCGCATGACTATTAAAACTATATCTCATCACCAGTCATTCAGTATCAGCTGGTATTGCATCAACTCAGATCATGTTTACTCTAATGATTGTACACATATAAATAATATTATATCCTGTTCCATCTTCATCAATCAAACAGGTCAATGAAATCACAATACTGAGACATATGCATGATATTTTCTACTGTTAATCATCAGCCAGCTTTTGCAAGGGGGTTCACTTATTAAAAAATTCCAGAGGTTCACATTTGACCATTTCGCCCCAAAATCACCTGATAATGCTTAGAATGGTGAAAAATGCATGATTTTGAAAGAATTTTCGTTCAGGGGAGGGGGTCCACTCTCACCCCCTGAACCCAACCTGGCTATAGGTCTGATCATTAACAGTATAAGATTCAAACAACTCTCAGTATTTGTAAATCTAGAAATTGTTTATTCTAATTGCCGAAGTTCATGGATATGTAAAATACTGCAAGTATATAAGCTTGTTCCTATGTTGGGTCCATATGTACCAGAGGCCAATGTCTTTCTATTAAACTGTCTCCATGTCCAAAAGTTCCACAGTTTCTTGTTCAGATTGAGTCAAATGTGTTGAGGCATGAAGCATTATAGACAAAAAAGAGGCACCTGGAAAATATAAACGCACAAAAGACTGTAATAAAGTAAACAAGGCACTGACAAGCAAGATGTCACCACCTGCTATTTGTTACATATGCCAACTGCCGGATGCCTTACACCACCTGACAGACACCAAACACCAACTGCCAAACACCACCCACAAAAAAGTTAGAAACTATAGGCAAAAGAGCACAAACACATATATTTCGATGGTAAACTAGGATTACACAAATAGTATAATAACATTGAATTCAAATGACAATTCATAAAAATATAATAATTTCAATATTTTTACATTCACAAAGGTAATCTAAGTACTTCTCCTCAACAAAATGATGTTCATGAAAAAATTTGAACTGACCCCTAAATGAAATAAAACATGTTCTCAGAAAAATGGACACAGTTTGAATTTGAGGAAAATTATGTTGAATAGTCAGATATTGGATGAAGTGGATATTTAAACAAAACAAAGTCAACTTACCAATTATCCAGAAGACGACAGATCCTGCTCCAGCTAACCAGAACAGTGGGAAAGAAGCGACACCTATAGCACAGTATGTTTGGGCGAGACTCAGTTCACGTCCTGAAAATGCAATAATTCAACAATAAGAGAGAATAAAAGGATCATTTGGAATACTGGTACATCATATTATTTAAATTATAAGCAATTCTTTTCAAACTGCAATATTTACAAAAGATGTTCTAAAGTCTATTAAGGTGTAAGTTACAGGTTTTTAACTTTTTGATTTTGTATTATAGGATGTGAGTTGGAGACAGGGCCACTTAATTTGAGACATAATATATAAACATTAATACCACCTAATGAGATAGATTACGTCGTAAGGATCTCTTTATTTATTTCTGAGAACAATAACCTAGAGTACAACTTGTCCTATGGCCTTACCTAACACTTTGACTTTGCCTTCTTGATTTTTCAGATTCACAATATAACAGGCCCCCAAACTTGCTGCTATGGCCACAAGGAGAAGGGGGGAGGTAAGTCTGAAACAAGAACAGTCATTTTCTATAACGGTATAAATCAGATTCAAAATATAACAGGCCCCCAAACTTGCTGCTATGGCCACAAGGAAAAGGGGGGAAGTAAGTCTGAAACAAGAGCAGTCACTCTCTAATGTAAAGGCAGGCCCGTAAGACACTTTTCTCCAAGGGGGGTGCGGTTTTTACAACAGAGAATATGAAATCGTCAATATTTGCCGCGTAATTCAAATCGCGTCGGGGGGGGGGAGTGTCGGTTACTCCCTACATTGGGGCCATTCAGCCTATTTTGTAGTATTTTATTGTTTTTAGACTAAATATTGAATGAGCAATTTGGAGAAACACTGGAATAGGGGGAAGGTGTGCTAGAATGGCATAGATGTTTACCCGAAACTTTTTACCAGTTCAAGATCACATTCAGTGATTTCTAGACTCTTTAAGGTGTTTTAATCAATATAATCAATTTAAAGAAATTCAAATTTTCAATCATTTTCTTCTTAGGGGAGCAAGGGGCAGCACAGGAAAATTCTACCAATTCAAGATGCTGTCTGATTACTTCTGAGCACTTTTAATGTGTTTGAGTAAATGAATGCTTTCATTTTTGGGGTGGGGTGCCAGAAATTTTTAAGATTTCATTATGCCGCTTGGTGACTGTTTGAGTGTCCAAACTGTCCAATTGTTTTGTAAAAATTTTACACTTTTTAGATGCTATTTAGTGCTTTCTGGGCACTTTTAAAGTGTTTGAGTCAATAAAAAAATGGGAATTCTTTTGGGGGTGTCAAAGAGGATGAGAGGGTGAAGTGTGGGGTGCCAGAGGGTGAACCAAGTGGTTGTCCCCCAGAAATATTGACCATATTAAGGTGCTATTTGATGATGTCCGGGCACTTTAAAAATGTCTGAGACAATAAGAGAAATTCAGAATTTTTTCACGCCCGGTGATCGTGAATATGGGACGGAGGGGGGGAGCAGGCAATTTCTGCTAGGAAATTCAACAAATCTGGAAGATTTATTTTTTCAAGAAAAAATTTACTATTGAATTGCTAAATGGATAGGCGCACGGTATGGTAGAATATGTTAGGTTTTCTGTGATTTTTTCTGAAACGATACGCATCTGAGGTATGAGATCTATTAAAAAAGGCGCAAGGCCATCAACAGGCACAAATCAACGTTTTTGCTATAAATAAAGCAACAATGGTCTGGACGACCTGTAATAAATACTTGTAAGTGATGTAATCATAACTAAATTAATGTCATTGCTGAATTTATAAAATAAGTTTCCATATGTGAAATAAAAAGTAATCGAAAATAATGAATTTGGGACGGAGGGGGGGAGGGGACGGAGGGGGGGAGCAATACGTATATATGACATGATTAGAGATGTTTCGCGACTTTAAGTCCTTTTACTCCAAATGTCCCCATTTTTCAGTCTCCAGGGGTATATCATCCAGTTTCTTACTAAGTTAATGAGTTCATTTTTCAAATACAAGAATTCGTGTGAAGTTGTTTCACTTTATAGAATTATTACTCCCCCCCTCCGTCCCCTCCCCCCTCCATCCCATTTTAATTATTTTTGATTATTTTTTATTTTACGTATGGAAACTTATTTTATAAATTCAGCAATGACATTAATTTAGTTATGATAACATCACTTACAAGTATTTATTACAGGTCGTGTAGTCCATTGTTGCTTGATTTATAGCAAAAACGTTGATTTGTGCCTGTTGATGGCCTTGCGCCTTTTTTAATAGATCTCATACCTTAGATGCGTATCGTTTCAGAAAAAATCCCAGAAAACCTAACATATTCTACCATACCGTGCGCCTATCCATTTAGCAATTCAATAGTAAACTTTTTCTTGAGAAAATAAATCTTCCAGATTTGTTGAATTTCTTAACAGAAATTGCCTGCTCCCCCCCTCCATCCCATATTCACGATCACCGGGCGTGTTTTTGGGGGATTTGAGGGATGGCCAACTCTCCAAAAAAATTTTACAACTTTATGATGATATTTGGTGCATCTGAGCTCTTTAAAAGTGTATGAGTCAATAAAAAAAATTGAAAAATAATTTTTGAGGGTTGTCAAAGGGGGGGGGGGGGGGTGCCAGAGGGGAGGTTGGGTGGAAATGCCAGAGGGCGAGTTAAAATCATTGACTATATCAAGGAGCCATTTTATGATGTCTGGGAACTTTAAAAGTGTCTGAGATAATACACTAAATTCAGAATTATTTTAATTGTTTTGTGGGGGATGTGAGGGGTGGTCAACTTTCCGAGAAAATTTTACAATTCTAATATACTATTTGGTGCTTTCTAGGTACTTTCAAAGTATATGACTCAACAAAAAATATGACAAAAATCACAATTTTTTTCAATTTGGGGGGTTTAAAGGGGGGGAGGGTGCCAGAGAGCGAGGTGGGGTGGGGTTGCCAGAGGGTGAGTAAGTGTTAGTCTCCAAGAATCATTGACTATATCAAGGAGCTATTTGATGATGTCAGGGCACTTTAAAAGTGTCTGAGACAATATATAAAATAAATTCGGAACCTTTCAATTGTTTTGTTTTGGGTATGAGGAGAGGCCCACTCCCCCTAGAAATTTTACAATTTTAAGACACTATTTGGTGCTCTCTGGACACTTTCAAAGTGTGTGAGTCAAGTAAAACATTTGAGAAAATCACAATTTTAAGTGTTAGTCTCCAAAAATCATTGACTATATCATGGAGCTACTAGAATTTGATGATGTCAGGACACTTTAAAAGAGACTATACATCAAATAAATTCAGAACTTTTCCATGGTTTTGTGGGGGGTGTGAGGGGTGCCCCCAGAAAATTTTACAATTTTGAGATGCTATTTGGTTCTTTCTGGGCATTTTCAAAGTGTATGAGTCAATGAAAAAAAATTTCCAAAAGAAAAAATCAAAAAAAAATTTTTATTTCAAATTTTTTTGGGGGTGTCAAAGGGGGGTGCGGTCGCACCCATCGCATCCCCCCATCTGACGGCCCTGAAAGGGATAAATCAGGTTCATTTCTAGCATATATAAAGGTCAAGATTCAGAGGGTCTTCAGGGTCATAAACTAACCACAAATCATAAAAGGGTCTTTGTTATGATTCTAAAATGATAAACAAACCAAAACAAAACAAAAAACATCTACTGTAACAGTACTCCTGATCGATTCAATTCAAATGTTCTAGTATCTGTGATTTTATCATTTTATTAGTATCCACTTTCCACAGCACAAGTAGCTGTCGAGCATACCTTATTCTTAAATATTGCTTGGAACATCATTAAATTGGCACCCAAGGGTTAGGTACATATTTCAATAAATGATATCAATGAAAAAACATATTTGATCTCAAATAATAAATTGCAATTAACATTTATTTTTATTTCTCCAGAACTGCTTTAGGGAAAATCACAATGTGCTTTTGATTACACACACATAATAAATTAAAGATCACTGAAATATTCAGGTTATTATTCGTCATTTTGAAAATAAGCATTAACATTATTTACTTACATGCAAAAGAATACAAGTCCCAAAAAGACAAATATATAATTGGCCTGGTAGTGTTCTATGTTTTTTATAATCCTAGGTCCAATAGGCGTGAGAGATTTGGGGATCCTGAACTTTGATGTGTTTGCAAATTCTGCCCATGGTTTGATGGAGTCTCTTTGTTTCTGAAACCATTCTCTGGCATTCACATTTGACAGATTTATGGCCATGATCCTGCAATAAAAAAGAGTTTCTTCGATATCACATAAACTTAACATTTTTGATGTTGTTTATTCTAAAATCATAGAAAAAAATAGAAAATGGAAACTAAATGAAAAAGCAAATCTCAATAACAATGATTTCAGCCTGGTTATTAATTTGCATGCACATAAAATATGAGGTATGAGGACCATAATTCAACATGCCCCAAGGGGTTTAAATAATCGACATTAATAAGAAGTCTTAGAAGTCATGTCACATTTAGAGATATCATCGTCCATTTATTGGAACTCATTTACTCTATTCTGAAATTATGTACACATGTGAAGTAATGCTTAATGGCAGCAAAGCTGATATGGGCTCATTCGTAAGTGCGTACTTACTCCTAGAAAGTAATTGACAGTCACATTTATAAGCAAACCCTTATTTTTTACATAAAAGTTAGCTAGTGGAACGGTGAATATTCACTAGACTTTTTTGCGAAAAATATTCCCAAAATTTTTACCAGCTATGTTTTTCAGCTTTTAACGGATATCGTATTAATTGGGAACTTTCTGAGTATGACTGTCTCACTTCACCTCTACCATTTTCTCAGGGCAGAATATGAGCATAAATACATTAACACCCCTGGTTTTTTGGTGAGTTTAAATATATGTTACATCCGGATAATTTAAAAGAAGTCATTTTTCAAGAAACTTTGAGTGGCAGCAAATGTGTTTCTGATCAGTCTGAGTTTCTGTGAATTAGCTGAGAAAATCAACAAAAGGAAGGTGCATAGCTACAAGGCGAGAAGGTGCAGTGCGCGTGCGTCGACCTTCTACGTATGGGTTTACTTTGTCACAGGGCTACTTCGACTTAATATATTTGCACATACCCATCTTTAGATTGATGATCAATCTAAAGATGGCTATGTGCAAATATAGTAAACTTCGACCATTTGTTTATTTCGACCAATGCCGATAATTCATATTTCCAGGGTTGACCATTCTGGATTAGGATCTCGCACAATGGAGCTTTTGATTTAATATTTTTTAAAATTACCAAAAAACAAACATGGTGGACTAGAGTCCATTTTACTGCTTCATTTCGTCAGTAGAACGGCAAAAATAAGAAATTGGGAGACCATTGTGCAATTATATATGGAAAAGTATATTCATAATGTACATGAATGACATTTGTATATCTTGGATTGCTTCTAGTTTGGCTTATAAAGTGTGTGGCCTCTTATATTTGGATGTTTCTCTGCCATGTTATTTTCAATAAGATTAACATGGCTGAAATTCTTCAAATTACAAGACGGCACGGGCTTATTGCACAAAAAACTAAAAAATCTGAAATATACAGTTGGGGACATAAATAAATGACAGGTGGATTTGCTGAAGTGAGGATTTCCCATGTTAAAAATAAGAGAATTTACAAGAGGCCATACATCAGTGGATGAGATTATACAAAATGTAAAATATACAAATTTTAAGGGATATATATCTAGACAATATTGGAAATTATGGGCTTTCAGACCACCATAATTAGGAAATGGTGATCGAAAATCGACCTGTCATTTATTTTTGTCCCCAACTGTACAAATGTCATTCATGTACATTATGAATATACTTTTCCATATATTATTGCACAATGGTCTACCAATTTCTTATTTTTGCCGTTCTACTGACGAAATGAAGCAGTGAAACGGACTCTACATAATCGGAAATATTATAAATCAATGTCAATAGTCCCATGGTCGAAAAAGGCCCCATGAGGAAGTAACCTCAAATTTCGAAGTTTGACCGTGGGCATGCTAAGTGGTATATCTTAAAGTGATGCCAATATTAAGCTTGGCTCCAGTTTGAGACTTAGAATGCTTTCTATCACAAAAAGTGGAGTGACAATTGACCATTTCCAAAGCTGAATAATTTTTGTGCTGAGATCTGATTCTGATTTGTTTCAAACTTTACGTGCCGTTTTCTTCCACGGGTCTATTTCAATACGATTATGTTCCTAAGTAATATACATGAATACATACCCTTTCTTCTTTGTTGAGGTACCACTCTCTTTAACCTCTATGTTGCCAGATAAATCAGATTCCATCGGAGAAATTCATAAAAATAATTTTTTTACGTGGAGCCGGAAGTAGATCTAAATTCAAATTCATATGAAACGGAATTAGCTATAATTCTTTAATATTTGTTTGATGTTTTGCTTTATATTCACTTGAACGATAGAAATAAAGTTATGTTTCATATATCATAGCTCAAAAATCTAAAAATATGAGATCAATTAATAATAATACAGTATTTTCGGTCTATAAGCAAGATGTTACTTTGAAATGTATGTACACATGTTCTGCATACGTCATATATAAATACACAAGTAAGATAACAAGACTGAAGAAGTAATATTCAGGTAAAATTATATTTATTTATATTATTCCTGGAGTCTTTATCCTGAGTAAGTAACATATAGTTTAAAAATACTAACCAGTCTAACTATGATTAATTTAAAATCCAATTCTGATAGCATTATCAAGCCTTCAAATCCTAACTTGGCTAACTTCTGGGCCTATGCTTCAAACTTCAATGAAGTTAATTATCAGCTGCAGCACTGGTACATGTATGACTCATAATGATATTTATAAACATTACATTCTGATTTTGCTAATGCTGTTTTGCTTTCCTGTAAAGTTTCTTAATATTTTTTGTTCAATAGATCTAGCTTTTTCGTGTGGCACATCAACAACCCTTGCTAAGCGTAGATACCTCTTTCAAATGCTCACTTCTTACAACTTACGATAATGACATCGCCAAATGAACCAGCAGTATCTTTGCTGCAAATTATACAGGATAAATACAGTGATGAGGACTTGGACCAGGAATTTGTGCACATCAAAATCACAAAGAAGAAAACAGCTTCTTCAGGTATGTGATGTCACTTTATGACTTACATCATTTAGGCGACCCGGTTAGGCGAAGGCTACATATTTTTGCCTGTTGCTATTCATATCTGTGAGTGTGCGTCTCGTGGGGGGAGATGGGGAAGGATACCTTTACTGGCCTTTCATGGATACTGCTGTGCATCACGGGACAACTTGGTACCTGTCATGCTTGGCTGGGTGGTCAACACTTAATTGGTTTTATTTTTGTCATAGTATATTATGTTCATGGATTAGAAAGTTGTGATAAGTCTGTAGCGTTATATGTTTTGTACATCAGATATATAAATTTAAAAAATGTTTCTGATCTCATGGTATTATGCATTACACACACACACTCTTACTAAGGATATTACATTAATTTGGTAAAATATTGAAGTTTATTTACATTTATGATGCAGTTGGGATTAACATGCTGAAGTATAATCATCCCAGTTTGCAGCTTCATATTAATGTATCTATACATATTAACCCTGTTCACTTTGGTCTAAGTCCATTTATTTATTTATATGATACAAGGGGAGAGGAATGGAGGGGTGAAACATGCTTAGTTATACATGTATGCACAGTATGCCACATCATTTTCAAGATCAGCAGTATTTTTAAAAAATTACTTTTTACAGCTATTTGTTCAATTTTACAATTATGGTATTTTCTGGAATGGTATATTGGTTTTGTTAATCTATTTTGGAAGGGCAATACTTTTCCAGGCCTTGCAGGTGTCATCACTAATACCATGCAGCTATATATAGTTATTACTTAACTTCATTATCAAACCAGTATATGGGTATTTGCTTATTAGTGAAATACAGATTTATAGTGCATTACAACCTGGAGTGAAACTGAGCGAGGTGCGGAAAATGAGATCCTTAGATTTTTATTGCTTTACTTAACTTGCTTATTTGAACATCTGGGTCAAAATTGGTTCACCCTCTCCCCCAGCCAAAAATTCTTTCAAAATCATGTAGCTTTTCACCATTCTGATTGAGTAATTTGGGACTTTTTTGGGCAAAAGTTATCAAACGTGACCCCTGGAATTTTTTAAAAGTGAACTCCCTTTGGCAAAAGCTGGCTATTGGCCTGATGTCCCTTATGTACATTTGTTACTGGCCAATATACCTGAATACCTGCTGGCTTGTTTGCTTTGTATTGGCATGTTATCCAATAATTTGAATTCATGAATTTTAGACTCATCATACAGGGTGGGCCAAAAAAAAACGCCACTTTTTTTCAAAATGCTATAACTTTTTTAATTTTTGATACAAAGTCATAATTTGCATACCAAATGAAACTTGAGGTTGTTATCTAGCCATGGATCATGAATTCTACACTTTTGCTTGAATAAAATATGTCACCAGCGTCTAACTTAAACATGTGGTGTGCCATTGGAAATAAGCATAATTTGCAAAATGTTCCTGAACTGATACGCCCTGATGACCGCCAAGCTAATAGCCCTAATGCAAACCCCAGTGAGTATAGGGTATGGGAAGGTCTCCAGGAGATGGTATGAAGGCACCCAATCTAAAAAATTGCTCAACTAAAGCTGGCAATTAAGACACGTTGAAAAAAATATAGCTAACATTTCATTGATACTGCTATATCAGCAAGGTGACTTAAACTAAAATCTATCATCAAATAGGGTGGCAGACCAATTGAACTCCTCTTTTAGATCAAATATAATCCCAGTTGAAGGACTTGTTACATTATATTATTACTAAGAACCCTTGGCACTATATAACTGCAAAATTTGGGGTACCGTATTCTCTGTAATTACCGCCCACTCTCTAATAAGCGCCCACCCCGCTTCACAAAGTTCAAGAAACATCGAGGAATCAACAAGAATTGAAGAATATATCAGGAAAAAAATATTTCTCAAAATCCAGGAGCGGGCGATAATAGAGTACTTACCCTAAAACTGCTGTAAACACGACGCGTTTTGTAATTCTATGCATCCTCTCGATACATATCTATCGATGGGTGCTTCCCACACCATACCATGCTAATATTGTCTCCAAATAGTCCATAATGAATGAAGGAATTGTTCTTTATCGGCATTCAGAAATTTCAAAAGCTACTGCGCAGATGTTCTGCGCATGTCAAGGTCGTGAACTTTCTGGTTTCTTTTTAATGTTTCTCGACTTTTACACGACTTTTGCATGAATAATGATGATCTCTCATCAAATTAGAAATAATGTATAACTTTAGATCGATATCCAGCAGTCTCTAGTGGAAATATTGAAGGTAATCGGCGATAATGACAAAGTGGGCGTGCCGGAAATAAATTAGACATAGACGGGTCTTCAACCACTGTCAATATTGTCTAAGCGATCTTTACCGTATTCTCTCCAATAACAGCACTTGTCATATTATTATAAAAATATGTTGAAGAAAATGCATTCTTGTCAAGAAAAATTGCCATACATGAAATTCCTCGGGATTTCTGATTTCTTTCATACATGGGCGCTTATTAGAATGGTCTAAATAATGTATTTTCAATTTTCTAAACGCCCTGGGCGCTAATTACAGAGAATACGGTATGTAGGTTGGAAAATAAAAAGGTTATAGTGTCTTGAAAAAAAAGTGGCGTTTTTTTGGCCCACCCTGTATAGCGTTGATAGGAAACTTGGATTTAGCCTGAATCAATCAACAGTGACCTAAAATGTACATGTAACATGGTTATAGGAATAGTTCATACATTTTGTGTTTGCATAGGCAATGTCCTCCTCTAATCCCCGGACTCTCAAGATCCAGAATATCTTCTTTCCCCCAAAGGGGAGGGGAGGAGGAACAGATTCTGGATACTTGCTTTGGAGGATGGGACAATCCGGGGGTACAATGCCCAAGTTTGAATATTGCTTGTGTCCATCTTGTCTTTATCAGCACCTTTCTTGATCTCTTTCAGTCCCAGGAATGTTGCCAATACCCCAGTGTCTTGCATTAAATTACATGAACATCAGCTGCCCTGGGGACGATGCTGAATTGTCACAGTTATGTTGCAGAGTAAGGGAACTTGATGTTGCACAGAATAAATTCACATCATGGGAAGATGTATGTATAATTTATGTTCTATTTGATATCATTGTTAATCATCAATTGTTTGAAAAAATCAATTTATTTTCTTGTTTGAGTAATAAATTCAATTTTGAACACTGCTTACTTGGTGAGCTATTTTTTAAGTATTGATATCTTAGTCTACTTCAGAAACAATGTTTGTACCATAACAATTAAATATTAAGATTAGATGTAGATAGATGTAAGTTTCAGCATTATGAAGTAAAATCTTTTTTGGGGGGGTTGCGATTTTATCTATGGAGTCTTGACCATTAATATGATTAAAAAATGAGAAAAACCATCTGAAAGTACTTGATATAAGCTTTCCAAAACCCTTAATTTTATGAAAAACCTATATAAGTGAAGGAGATACAGTCGTGTAAAAATGGGTGCATTCATGCGAAAATCGCGCGGGCTAATCACCGTAGATTACTACGCGAAAACATGCAGAGAACAATGGAAATGACGTCTTGGATCTCTTTCTGGTTTAAGGGTCAGATTTATATAAACTGCCCTTTTGAGTACATAGAATAAAGTACTAGTACATGTACTACAGGCACGTAGCCAGGGGTTTCTTTCAAAATCATAGAGTTCAGCATTATGAGAAAGTGTCAAGGGATTTTGGGTCAAAGTTGTCAAATGTGAACCCAACCCTGCTGGAATCTTTTGAAAAGTGAACCCCTTTGGCAATAGCTGGCTATGGGCCTGTACTGATATTGTAATATAGTTACAAAATATTGACTTATTTGCACAGTTTGAGGAGACACGCTTCATTAATTAATTAATAAATAATGAAAATTAACAACAGATGAATACTGTATGTTAAATACAGTATGTTAAATTGTATATTGCAGGTGTTCTCCATGTTGAAATGTATGGGATCTCTACATTTTGTCAATTTGTCTTCCAATCTGCTGGACCACAGTGTTAATTATGATAACAATCAGGTGTTCAGCAATATCACCCACCTTATACTGAATAACACCCAGATAGCATGGTCAACAGTTGAATCACTACTGCTCAATACTTTCACCTGGTAAGTGTACATGAAGGCTCAACTCTATTCAAGAAGTCAGCTTCTTGAACTTCTCTACTCTTTAGATATTACCCTTTGATCCCCCATTTCAATTAAAACATGTAAATGGAAAATCGTGGTTTTATTTATTGTCAATTTTGCCTACAATGCCTATAAGCATTTATTTTGTATTAAAGGATAGGTATCTATATGGTGAACTGAATCGATACCACTCCTTTGCATTTATTTTGTATTCAATTGCATAAATGACCACAAAAGCTACACTTTAGATCATTAAGATTGTATCAATAAAAACTGTGAAACCAGCTGTTATAGTCAGAAAATGATGTGTCAAGGCAGTGGTACATTGCGGTATTTGATACATTAACAACAATATTGAACATTTTTTGAAAGCGCCACAATCATGTCATGCCAAAGTATTGGATTTTTATACTGGTATTTTAGGTTAAAGTAGTTGCCCTACTACGTAATTACATGCAACTCTTTAATTGTCTTTTGAATTATTTTTATTATGACTTTTCCATATTTTAAGATTCACCAATGTAACAGGTTAAAATTAACTATTGAGGCAGAAGAATATATGTTTTATATTGAGGTGTTGTATTTTGCATAGGTGCCAACCAAACCGCAACATACCATGAGAAATTGAGGATACACATTGAGCTAAACATATCGCTAAGCTCGCCATGATATGGCCAAGCAAGCTCAAAAATCTTTTTTGTCTTTTTGTCTTTCAGCTTAGAAGAGCTGCATCTTAGCCTGAACAACTACTCAGTCATCAACAATGACAATGCTCACACATATCCCAGTCTAAAAACTCTTCATATTAATGGAAACAAATTCACAGATTTCACAGAAGTTTGCAAAATTGGATCCATGTTTCCAAATCTTCAGACTCTAGTCATGGCCGAAAATCAAATAGAGACTCTCCCATCAGAAGCTGAGATTGCAGCATCACTGTGTAATATACAGTGCCTCTCCATATCTAAGAACCTAATTAAAGAATGGTCAGAATTAGAGAAGTTGAACTACTTTCCAAAATTGATTGATGTCAAACTGCTTGGTATCCCATTGCTTGAGGTAATATTTTTGATTAATTATCTAATTTAGTCATCAATGGCATAAACTAGGGGTGTTGCTAGCTTGTCACGGAGCAAGCAAGGCAACTGCCTACCAAAATTACTGAAAATATCGATGAAGACATTTTTCAATAAAAAGATAAAATTGAGGTTTAATTAAAGTAATAAACTCAATTTGCTCAACTTTTTTTAGTAGATTTATTAGATTTACTAGATCTTGATTACACCCTGAAAATTCATAATCTAAGAATCTACTTATAGCTATGTAATCTGTTTGTACAGTTAACCTGTCTAATCCAAATGCCTTTGGGACTGGCTTAAGGCATTAGAATGAGGAGGTGTTAAAATTATTGCATCCACAAGGTTCTTGATTTTGAAGAAAATAATGTATTCTCAATGAATATTAATATTCCTACTGACCACATATCGTTATGGCTTTTTAAAAATGAATAAAACATGCTAGAAAAGACCCATTATGATTGAGACCATTTTATGTTTTTTCAAAAGTTTTGATATCATAACTAATCTGTGTTAAATTGAAAATATTTGAGCAATTTAGTAAGTATGATATTTTTTCGAAAGTGTTCAGATTAGACATGTTAATTTTTCAAATATGAGTGTTCACTGTTCAAATTAGGATGTGTTCAGATTTCAATTTTTATGAACATTGGAAAGGGGGGAAAAATGTTACCAGAAAAAATATACTGATTGAAAGCTGTTCGGACAAGCCAGATGTTTGGTTATACAGGTTTTACTGTGTATGTGGAGGTGGAGTGATCAAAATATCACTTTTTAGTATTTGCAAACCTAAAACAACCGGGGTTCCTATAGTCAAGAAAAATCAAAATCTTTTCCCTGAGTTAATGGAATTTCAATGCAAAAATAGCTCTCAGAAGTTACTAGAATTGTCTGAAAATTTGTAATGGCAAAAAACTTTTTTCAGGTTTCCGTGTTACACTGGCTATTAAAGTACAAATCAAATATCGAATGCATGTCTATCAAAATCTATGATCCGAATATTTCTAAATTTTCAGGATTATAATGAAAAGATTCGTCGTCAATTTGTGATCGCTGTTCTCCCCGAAAGGATTTTGCGGCTTAATGGTAGTACAATATTAATAAAGAATGATGAACGGGAGGATGCAGAGAGGGCTTTTATTAGATATTACATGGAAAAAGATATTAAACCATCAAAGTAAGAGTACATTCATACAGTAAAACCTGGGTATAGTAAACACCTCAAAGTCAAAAAAGTGTTCTCACATGGTGTATGCTTCAAAAGATGGTCTTCACCATGGACAAGTGTCCAATTGATATGTGGTCACTATGACAGGTTTTACTGTATTTGATATTGAACCAAACAAAATCGTGTTGAAGCAATATTAAAGTTTCCATACAGCTTTTGAAATCACGCTAAATCTCGTTTTTTGTGAGATTTTCAGAGACTTGCATATAAAATGAAAAAAGGGGTATGAAATTTCTCGCTAATTGCATGCATGTACCATATTCTCTATAATGAATGCACTGTGCGCTTCCCATATTGAAATTTACATACTCTAACACCTCCTACATTTCTTTCTCTGCATTAAATATAATCATCATAATCATCAATCGGTATTTTGTTGTGAAACATTGAAACTAATGTATTAAATAAGGAAATGTTATGTAAGTCAATGTACCATATTGAATGTAACTATTTTTATCCTGATTTGAAGTTGGGTATTGGTTTTTTTTGGCCCACCCTGTACATGTACACAGGTTTACTATATAGTACCTGACCCTGTACTTGCAGCTCTATCTAAAATTAAAGCATTCGTTAAGCCCAAAAGTCTGCATTAATACATTACTTGTTCATCAAACTAAATTATGGTGCTTCTTTAGGTTTGATGAGCTTGAAGCAAAACATGGCAAACTGGATGCGCTTGTTGAAGTTGATCTCACACTACCTGACCCCACAGTGAAAGTTATCCTAGAGCCAGAGGAAGATGATGTTGCATTAACTCGTAAAGAAACTATAATGCAAATCAGTGAAAAACAGACTGTTGGTGAACTCAAGAAACATTTAGTTAAGTTTGCTGGTATTCCAGCTAAAAGCATGAGACTTTTCTATAAGGGTGCTGACAGCCACTTTGAAGAACTGAAATTTCCATCACTCACGATTCGCAATGTAGGAGATGGAGACGAATTTTTGATTATACCAAAGCATTAATGATTGTTATTGTAATAACAATGGAGGATTAGAAATAGGGGCCAGGCAATAATCGTAACATTAAGACGTGATGATGTGAATTGATTTTTCACTGCTAAGTTGTTTTTCAATTCTTAGTTATTCATCGAAATGGTTTTATTCATCAATAAGAAATTAGAATCAGATTAAATATGGGCAAAGCAAAAATATAAATGTGAATACGTAAAATCAGTTTGAAATGATTCCATGGGTGTAGTGTTTGTTATGCCTGGTAAGCACAGGTGTACCAGATGGTTGCAAATACACTTTAAATACAACCAAATTACAATTTTTCTGAAACCCAGACCCTAAAGGCTCGTTTTTCTCTTCACTCAACTCATATTCCCGTGGTGGTGTACTACTCATAAAAATAGCGCTAAAAACAGCATACTGACACTTTAAAACTAAACATTTGTTGCACATATTGCCTTTTGCACATTTCACATTTTTCAAGCAGAACTCTTTTACTGTCTTTAGACACATTTAAGTGTCTTTGAATACAAGTTTTTATAATTAACACAGATACTAACCAGACCTCATTATATTGTGAATTTGCTCAGTGAGGGGATATGTGTTCTTACATTACATGTACATGTATTGGAACCCCTTGGTATGATTAGTTCAACATGTATCCTGAAAAGCTCTTGCCATAATGAAATCTGGTTAGTGCCTGTACAATCATATTATATTATTTTTTGAGTTTTGAACTTAAATGAAACATAACATCTCTAATACATTTTTATAACATTATACGTTATCAAATTGACAGTTCCATAGAAGTACTGTAACTTCTTGATCTAATCATGGACTCATAATATATTCAATCCAAAAGGTCAGGATTAGTAATCAATGCACTAGTACTGTCAAGGTAATTCTTATGTCACCACCAGAAATGGTGACATATTGTTACAGTTTACATCTTTTTTATCAATGGCGTTTGACATTTAGTGTCTGTACCAAATGGCAGGTGGTGATATTCTGCATGTTGATGCCTTGTTATATATATTTATATTATACATCAGTATTATGTACTTTTACATTTGTTAAAAGCATCTTGTAATAATTGCTATGATTTTTAAACTAGCTGTATACATATAAATGAAAGTAGCCCAGGCTGTATGTCTGATTCTAATATAATCCAAAGATTTAATTTAAAAAGTCACTATACAACATACACTTATAGCCTGCAATTTGTACCAACAGTAGACTTAGATACTAACCTTTGCATTTTATTATGATCGGGTTGGAATGTCTCATTTTGATGAAATGCCATTTTTGTAAAGCTTGTCTGAGAAAGAATTCTTATGGGAAATTCTTGATATTTTCTGGTAAAATGTCAAGCCCCGGTGCTTTACCAAAAAAACATTTCCGCTATCTTTTGAAATGTTAAGCTCATGCTGTATTTTAAATTCCTGGGGAATAATTTTGGGTAATTAAACCTATATTTAATCCCCCAGTAAATAATGTATCTATGTATTTATTAACCACACAAGTATGTATTCTATCAATCATCAACAAATAATTGTGTAATATTATTACAATTATGTTCAATATTATTTATATTGGAATTTGCAGTATGTATAGGTGATTATATTTATTTATATAATGATTCACAATTTTTGCACTTTAAAAATCTAAAGGTTCCATATCCTTCATTTATATGTAAATGTAAGTTATCTTGGGAAAAAGTGGATTTGCTCTAATTACATGTACTCAAATGCACAAATCAGGAAAGCTTATGATACATACTGAAAGATGGTGATCATGAATTTGGGCTCATATCAAAATCAACTGGAACTTGATTGAATATGATGAAGAGCTTAGTCCTTAAAAGCTCCGTGTAAAGTTTAAACCACTTTAATGGTTGAACAAAATATAGTCAAACTTTGCACAGAATAAAACATTGCAGTATTGATTTTGGTGTAATTAGTTGAACAATATGAGGTGGAAAATTTTGTAGTTTTTGTGAATTCCTGTAGGTGAAGTATATCAAAAATACATGTTCAATATTTTGCAATTACAGTGTTCACTCAGTATATTTTAATTATTTATATTTGTTTATTGAAACTGTGCAGTATGTATTGGTAAAGGATTATTATGTTTTCAAATAGGTCTACACAACATGTATGTACAACATGAAATACACAACATGATTACAACAACATTGTTCATTCTGTATTTTTAATATACAAATGGGTGTGGCACATTTTCAATGGATATGATGTTAACAAGTGATATATGTATCTATATATCTTTGGGGTGTCTTCAAAGTTAAAAAAAAATGTTTATGTGATTTTAATAAATAAGATAATCTAGTGAAAACACACTAAAATTAGTTTGAATACCTTATAAGCCAATAAGCTTCACATACACAAATATTCTCAGTCAGTAACAACTACATGTATATTGAAATACAACATTATTTCAGAACTCATAATTGATAGATTTGAACAGACAAACGTAAGGAAAGTTATTCCTTCTCAATTTCCCAGAGCAAAATAGCAGTGATTTCAGTTAAGTGCCCATGGGGCCATAACAAGTCAGAATCTTTACAAAAATTGCTGATGTATCTTGAATGAAGCACATTGTAATATATTAGCATACCAGGCTCAAATCCCCACTTCACTAATGGATAGGTATTGGTTTAGCCTTCTTTCAACATTTGGAACATATCTTTTTATTTACTCTTAGGTATTAGCCTTATCTTATACAAATATGTAATGAGCATTGGGGTTTTGTTTGAGAAGTCACTGAATGAGGATCATGCATTTGACTTGTATCCAGATCTGTGGACAATATTGTAGAGAAGGCATAAATAGCTCATAATGTATACATGATTTTTAACATCCTTCAAATGTTCACTATTTACATAATGAAGGTCACAGCTGATTCAATGCATACCAAGAGGAGCCAATAATACTCTGAGACTACAGACAAGGTCCTCCAATATTTAATGTGTTGTGTTGTGTTTATTTACATGAATTCAGTGTGCAAATAAAATCTTCAAACAATCAGTTAAAACAGCAGCATGTGATATTTTTCTTTGATTGACCATGTGTGCCCTTGTTGTTCAACAAGATGCCTTACTACATTTTATATAGAGCTAAAATGGTGGCACTGAAAATTATTGCTGATTGGTCAGTCAGACATATACAATGTATCCTGCCTGTTTCTGAAGATTCGACAATCATCCAAGTTTGACAAACAACACATGCGTGTATAGTTTATGGTGTTAGTCTATGTTAAGTTTTCTAAAAGAAGCCTGCGGAACTTCCTCTGACTTAGCGCTTTTATCATAGAAATATTTGCCACTTGTGTCGTCCATGATTTCTTTCTTAAAGTCGGCTTGGTTCACATCTTTTTTCAATTTTTCTGGAAATAAAGATTGTAACAAGTCAGTCTTGCTTTATCTCTGTACATGTACTTTGAGGTGCAATGTTTAGTGGGAAAAAAGAAACTAGTACAAGTAGCACTAGTAAGACTACTAACAAATTTTCAAAATTCCACTTCAGTACTAGATTAGTTATTTGTCAACAAATAAAACAGCTTTCATCATATCTTATTCATAACTTGAAATGCCCATTTTGTATTTTACACAAAATATTAAGTGAACTAAATGGTAACCAATACCTATGATTTGTTTGACAGTGCCAGGCGATGGTCCATCATACTCATCTGGCAGGTAGTCATCAGGTAGCATCTTCATTGGTATCACCTTGTAGACATCCTCCATGTTGCTGCCATGGATGAACAGCTAAAACATACATAAACACATAAAGCTGATCATCTGTCAATTACACAATATTGAGCATGTTCTTCAAAAGGGTAGTGTGAAACGGGAGTGGGTGCATTTTAGAAAGAGGGGTGACTGTATTGAGAAGCAGTGTCAATGTATTTTACACATAGGGGTGGGGCGAAGCAGATGTAAATGCATTAAAAAAAGAAACAGAAAAACATGTGAAACAGAGTAAATGCATTTTTCTTCAAGGGGTGATATTAAGCAGAGATAAATGCAGATAAATTTATTTTACACTGAAGGTGGGGTGAAGGAGAGGTAAATGCATTTTATGCTGAGGGGTAATGTGAAACTGGGTAAATGCATTTCACATCAAGGGGTAAAGCGAAGCAGGAATAAATGCTAAACTGAGAGGTGGTGTATAGCAGGGTAAGTGTATATTTCACAGAGGGTGGGGTGAAGCAGATATAAATGCATTTTACACTGAAGGGTTGGTGAACCAGGGGTAAATGCATTTTTCACAGAGTTTAGTTACGTAAAATACAAACTTTAGATAAAGAGGGACTCTGATACAAAAATCAAAGAGAGATTGTATGACACACGTAATGGGTGATAGACAGAGGATGGAATTCCACTTTACTCTAGTGTATGTTAAACAAATGTTTGCGACCAGGATCAAGGCGGAGACAACATGTTATAATATTTTGTTTAAAAAGGCCACAATATAACGAGTTCAATGGAGAATAATATTTGAGAAATAATTATTGAAAACTCATTCTTTCTGTTGACTTTCCGATGTCCAATTTTACTCACTCTCTTTTTCACTTTGTCAGGCATGACTGACTTGGCCATTTGCATGAAAGCGGAGAAAGCGACCCCTGGGTTGTAATAATGGAACTCCTTGTATCTCCCCGGGAAACTGTTCTGCCAGATCTTTAGTGCTTTAAGGTAATTCTCCACCCCAAAATAGTTTATGTGTTTCATTTCCATCCCGGAATTGTCTGTCAGATACACGACTCCATTCACTTGGGTCTGCTCGTCCCGATTCACGAATGCAATTAGCATAATACACGCTCTAAATACGTCATGCTTGTTGAACTTGGCACTGATCTCGAAGAATTTTCCTGAAAACATGAACGATTGTTTATCATTACAGAAGATTAAAATCACAAATCGCACAATATTTCTTGCATTTTTCAAAGAGGCCAATTTCTAATCCTAACAACTGTAATACTTACTTGTATCATGTGTATTGAACGATGATGGCATGGATGGATTTAACATTTAGATGATGGAATTGTGAAATGAACTAACCCGTTCTAAAGAAAACGACTTTCCTTCCAAGATCATCATAACCCGGGAGAGGAAAAACAAACCTAAAAACAATGAATAAAGAACATGAATTGTAAATGTTATATTGCTTCTATAGGTATGAACACCTAAAACTCAATTGCAAGGATATTCATATATGTATAATTGCATTATTTGATCAATAATATTGAAAACCCCGGCAGCTCCACCGCCACCGTAAATATGGCAAGACAGATAATGAGCAATGATATGTGATGTATGAGGCAAACCATTGTCCTAAAACAGAATATGGTGGAGCTGCCGGTATAAAAGTGATGTTCGCAGTAAAGCATGGGCATGGCTATTGATTTTGTCCTTCGGTGACTTTTGTTGCTGTTAGACCTTAAATAAGCCCAAAACAGTTGTTAAACTTACGTTGAATCAAGAACAGCTAGGATTCTGGGATCGGACGGGTTGAGATCTTTGAACCATTCTGGTGTCTCAGTCATGACTTTCATGTAGTTTTCTATTTTCTTTCTTGCCATTAACTGGCTGAATTTGCAACATCTCAAATAAAGCAACAGGTGCGTCGTGTCTAAAAGAAAGGCATGTTTATTAACAATTGTCAAGAGGAATACCTCTGTAAGTGGAACACCTTGCAACGGGAATATAAGATCAATTCAGAGCTTTTCAGATTCAAAGTGCAAAATGCGTAAATTATAACTAAAACGCGGATAAAAAGACACATAAATATGTAAAATCGTTAGTTCTTTTAGAATAAAGCATGACATTTAAGAATTTTCAAAATGCATGATTTGAGCCGAAAATATTCTAAACTTGAAACGATCTAGTTGACGTGACATAGTGTTCATATCTTACACATTTACCTGTTCGACAGTTCAAATGTTTCTGCTCCTCGATCCATTTCCTCAACGTTTCCACTTGAGACATTCTGTTTTTTGGATCTTCACCCAATTCCTCTTTAGCACGCTTAGCTGTTTCATCGTCCAGCGTACATACATATTTGTCGGCTTCTTTTTGCTTTTTATCTTCCCTTTTCTTCAATAACGGCATTTTCGTACAGTTGACTTTGTTGTATTCGCTGAAAATGTAAGCCGAAAATATTCTAAACTTTAAACGATGTATGAGACGTTGTTTGTTATATAGACGTTATTTGTTTTAGATACTGAATATTTAGAGGTGTATGTTGACCATCTTTTTATTTTTATCAAATTCTTCGAAAGATGGATATCGGGTATCATCCAAATATTCGCATACCTGACCTTATGTAAAATATGGCGTTTCACTTTCTTAAAATGAACTCGTTTTATGAATGTGAATGCATGAACCTATATAGTATACATTTCATGGCTTTCATAAAACTATAATAACTGTGTCGATTATAACACGTCGTTAATACTTTAAAACAACATACTAATATCCTATCCATTGATCTTTGATACAGAATGTACACATTTAGGGTTCTTGTTTCTTTACCTTTATAACTGCGTAATTGAAATTGCGCCGTAACAGGTGAGTAAAGCTAAAATCAGATATATGATAGTGGGTGGCAAAGCTGCAAGTAATATTCTATGATGTCCTTTCCATTCAAAGATTAGCTCTGAAAAGATCCAAGATGTCCCGACAATTGTGAAAGTTATTTGGGAGTTGACATGTACATAATCTCAGAATCTGTAATTTCATTGTTGTCATCATACTATTAACATTCTATGTAGCAGTTGGGAAAAATAAATGATTTTGAATATCTACATTTATCTTTATGACAAAAAGTTCTCCATTATAACTGAGACTAATTATAATAATATGAAATTTTGGTTTGGGCCTGGCAATAAATGAGGCATTTTTGGAATCATTAGTCACTTTCTTTGATTCATTCTTTAACTATATGCCAAAAGATGTTAACCTACTGCCATCAATCCGTTATTCTCTTACTTACTGAGAGGGTCAACAGAACATCACAAAATATAAACATAGTCATGTCCAAACAAAGGAAAGTAAAACATATACAAATCAATAGACACATTCAGATCCTCAATTTATAACTCGATTGCTCCAATAATATTGCTTCATTTACTCCATCACGTACATCAAATAAACAATATTATTAAGGATTATCGTATTGAAACTTGAACCATGTACAAATAAAAAGGATTTTTGTCATATTTATTTGGGACTGTCTATTCAATGTGTGTTTGAGATTGTGTTGATGAACACTATTGTCAACATACATTCTATGCACCCTATGTATAGGCCTACTTGGATATGTGTTAAAGATATACCCAAATAAAGTGCATGATGAGATTCGAAGGCTGACATATAGCTAGACATTGATAAGGGATTGCAGAATCATAGAAATAAGTATGTGCCCACCTTAGAGGAGGGGGGGGGGGTATCCCAAATCTAGCAGTGGATTCATCATTCCTTACTTTTGATGTGTATCAAACAAGGAAATTCTCAAGTGAAATTAAACAAACAAATGTTTGAACCATAAGAACAAGACACACAGTGATTAGTCAAATGAATTACACTGTTACAATCCTCTTGTTTTAACACCAAACTTAGATACAGGATCAGCAATGGTTTCCAATTTTTGGTTTTAGGGGCCAAAAAGATTTTCCAGGCTCAAAATTTGCTCCCCCTTGTTAATTTCTGGATCCGCTTTGTTTGTACTCCCTCGTCTTAAACAAGTTATGAAATATCAATCAACTGATCCTTGCAATCAGGTCTGTAATTGTTACTGGGGATTAAATTCTTGTCACCAGATTTACATAGCACAAGTTTATGATTTAGATTTACTAAGAAAAAAGAAAATTTAACTTAAGTGTTCATCAGTATCTGTGTTGGTTCAGTTTACGAAACATATGGAAAAAGAAGTGGCATAAACAGTCGTTGTCTGTCATTTTATGAAAGATTACTCATGAAAGATTACATTCCATGCCCTTTCACATGGCCACTATTTCTCTACACACAGAGACTGGCTTATGTCTCCATGTCACACACCTCTGGTTCTGGCAGAGAGCAGCAACCTCATTGGTGACTCTTTGTTAACTGTTGCAATGTCTAAAACTTGGTCAAGAGCAGATTTTGGCACGTTGGCAAAGGAATGATTATTCAGTGGTCTGTAGTCGTATATGAATAATTGACATACCATTGGAAAGAGTAGACATGTGGCTTCCTGGTAGACTAAATCAAATTGATGTAATCATCACTGGTTTTGTGATATTACAATGTCTTTGTGTGTTGCGTTTTTTGGGACGCACTGTAAGCCTATACCAGGTAAAAACTGCATATATTATGAAAACATACTTTTGTATCATCAGCTCATCTTGTGAAGGGAATACTAGTATTTGTAGCTGTTTTTGTTTTCATCGTTGCTAGGTTCTGACCATTCTGAAACTCATAGTATGTCCTTTCCTAGAATGGGCAATAAGTGCCAGTTTTAAAATGTTTAAGATGCGTTCAAACCTTAATGATAGAGTTCTTAAATGTACCTACCAAGCTAGATTTAGTCAGGTGTGTTAGCTTTTTGGGAATCGTTGATATCTTCCGCAATGTAAGTCTACATACAGGTCGGTGTCATAAGTCCTGATTTAAGAGGTCTATTTCACTTCCATTTATACTTTTTACATGATAAATTGATAAATCGCGAAATCAGCAATAATTCCCTTTGCGTGCAAATCCCGGGGTGCAAGTGTACCTTTTGTTCTGATCGATGTAAAAGTATCTGTTATGTACCCACACCGTTTATATTTGTTCCTTGCGGTTTTTGTAGTAATAGCCAAGTTAAATCCAAACACCGCACATCTCAACGTGCGCAATACTGAAATATGAGCGCCCCTGAATAGTCTCTACTTTAACAATATTTGTACCAAATTAAAGGTTTGTGTTCTTTTGTGAAAAGTTGGTACAGTTAGATTGGATGTTCAAATATGGAAAGCAGCAATTCTAGGAAAGCTGCAAACAATTAATTAACTGCCTTCCTGACCGACGCACGGTTCAACCATCTCTTGAAAGCCCATGGTACAACTGAACACTGAAAAAACGACAATACTTTGCCACTTCAAATTTTGACACATAAGGGACATGGCAATAATGTCAGAATATGAATAAACAATAATTTCATAGAAAATCTACTTCTGTATGACAAGTTAGGTGTTTGAGTTCAGTATTTAAAGTGCGAGTAGGTCGTTTAAAGTCAAACCCTTCACTGAAAGTCAAAATGGACAATGCTGGTACAATAAAAAACGGCAACTTAACGGAGCAGCAAAACCCATCAAATAATAAATCGTTTCTCAAAAATCATTTTATTTGAAAGGTATAAGATCGTCATTAAAGTTGAAGTTCCATCGCCATGGTAACGCATCCCGGTGTGAAAGAAATTCTGGTCCCCCAGGGATTATGGTCCCCCTTTTTAAATGCCCTTACTGGCCCTTATTGTGTATAAGATAATAAGGGAAAGAGGTCACCATATAAATCAATGGAGAGTAGGACCATAAATTAATAGGACCTCCTACCCGTTTACACCGGTGTAAAAGGGTAGGAGGTCCTATCAAATTATGGTCCTACTCTCCTTTGATTTATACGGTGACCTAAATACAACTCTTTCCCTCATTATCTATACGCAATCAGGGCCAGTAAGGGCCGTTAAGAAAGGGGGCCATAATCCCCGGGGACCATCATTTCTTTCACACCGGCCCTAAGCTAGGTAGCGTTTCAAGAGATTACATTTTTGATAACTTTCTCGAAATTGAAAGCAGATTGGCGATTTTTACAGAATATCGAATTCTAGTATGAATATAATTGCTTTTACATATAGTACAATATAATTGCTTTTACATATAGTACAATATAATTGCTTTTACATATAGTACAAAATAGTAATCATTTTGACAATCCAGATACATGTAATATAAAATCAATAAGAGTAAGGCATGTTACATCGATTCTTACTTTAATCAATAACAATGTTTTGATTGTAGAGACCAAAAGTGCAGTGTAGACAAATATTAAACTGAACGAGACAACACTTTGTTGTTTCAATTGATTCCGACAAGCAAGGATTGAATTGCAGTCAAATAAGCTTCTGTGTCAGTGAATACAATAAGCTAATTAAGGATTTGAACAAATGATCACTAGTTATGAAATTTAAAATCGACTTAATTTGACTTTTGTAATGACTAACATAATTTGATCAGCATCAGGATAGCCGCACATCCTTTGTCTTTATCCTTCCAACGGCAGATAAGAGGGGCTCTGGCATACCATGTTTGTTCAGTAACATTAACATTTGTGTATTCACCCTACTGGATATCTATTTGGGGGATTTTACAGCCCTCTTATGAGAGCCAATATTATTTTAGTACAAAGACGCTACCACACAACGAAATCTATTTCGTCTCCGTGATGTATTTTTCTTGAACCATCATTGTCAATGTCTAGTTATCTTTCAATAGCCTCTTTGAAGAAGTAATGTTATGTATCCATAAGAAGTACACATAATAACACATAACAGCCCCCTAGTAGCAAAACGAACACAAACTTCCCTAGGTGATCAGTAGATCTGCCTGACCCCCATAGCCTGAGATGGTCAACACAACTGTTACACTGGCCCTGTTACAACGCCAAATCTTAAGCAAAATTTGGTTATACATTGGGTTTGTGCATATGCCTGTACACCTTATCAGTACAGCACACCTTATAGTCTAGAAAGCTTATAATGTTGATATAACAAAAAGTACAACTTTGTAAATAATAGTGAAAACTGATCCTCACATTTTGTCAGTATTTGGGATATTTTGCAACTTTTTTGGTTTTATATAAATAAACCAAGTTACAGTTTATCAGAGAATGATTGGCCATTAGCAATACAGTTAAACCTCAATCAATAGGAACATGTCGATATCCTTTAAATTCAAATGAATCATTCAATGAATTATACACTGACTTTAGTTGTAAACCTGGTGAATTTTATTTCAAAGCTAATATTCAACAGGCATATTGTGTATTTAAATAGTGACATCTATATTGTTAAATATACTCTAAACCAAGTGACTGGTCAATAAAATGGCATAAATATGTACCTTTAAAATATAAGACCTCGATAAGGCAAACAGTTTTGAAACCCAGCAGAAAGTGTTCATCTTAATCATATGGATTTATTATGGTAGAAATTAAAATGGTACCATTGGTGTTAATTACAGAAGATAATTCCTTACATAAGGTAATTCCTTACATAAGGTAATTCCTTACATAAGGTAATTCATTACAGAAGGTAATTATTTTAGAAAAATTAAAAACAAATGATACCATTAAATAAGCGAAAGATATGTAAACTTTTGAATATTTAATTCAAATTAATACAGATTCTAATACAAATTCAGAATCTCCCCAACTAAAAAAAAAACTGAATTACCCCAACTCAATCCTTAATCCTAAACAGAACATACACAATCAAGGTTCAACTAAACCGATCTGATATCATATGTAATGTACATACCCCAAAAAGGAGCTATTTTAAAAATAAATAGGCTATACACTTTTTGAAAATATCACATAACTTGAAATGTATCACTTTTTTCAAAATACATGTGTCAACAATTACTTTCTAAACAAATGTTAGAAACTGAAGTGAATTTATATTGTTCCTTTAAAACATACAACTAAATTATATTTACTATCACTTCAAAATCATCCAGTTCAAATTCATTTTGATTTAAGAAACCCTCTACACTCTCCACCTTCTAATACATGCACATCATGGTATACAAATTGTAAAAATAAATAATATAGTTCTTTTAAAGTTGACTCCTATAAAGTTCTTTAAGTATTTAGTGAATGACATCATAGAAGACCTTCGCAAACTGGAAGCGTATCATAAAGGCCGCAATACTGCATAATACCTGAAACAAAAATGTTAAAACATGAAATAGGGGCAAAATAAAAGGGCAGTTAATATGTACTATCATGGGCTTTCTAGAGCCAATAATATAAAGTCAATGGTAATGGTTCTATCAAATAGGTTATACAGCCACTAGCCAGCCTCCTAATTCACATGAGAAAATTACAATGTAATAAAGTGGTAGCAGAGGAAAGTGTAAAATGTTGAAAGCAATCCTTTGCCATGAGCAATCGATATCGCTAAACTTTTTTTAAAAAGTTGTAACCCTAAATGAGATGCAATAACTAAATAATACATAATGGAGAAATCAACAATAAACCCTCCATTAAAGTTAAAGCAATGAAACCGGCATGGGTAACATGTCATTTCTATGTCAATAAGCTTTATTGAGGGGAGGGTATCTAATCCTTCATTAAATTACTTTCACAGAAATAACATATTTTGACTAAGTCCCTAATGTCCAGTACAACCTTTCAAGACTCACTTGAATTGCCAGTAAGACTAGAGTTAGTTTCTCCTCATGAGTGGGTCCAGCAAACTTCAGTATAAGATTAATGAGTGTGAGATTATTGCATTCAGTATATTCCCCATCCTCTCCTACACCAGTTCTAACATCAACCAGCCGTAAGGTGGCCAGGATTTTAAACATCAAGTATCCAAGAATATTGAGGTCTTTTTCTTTAAAAGTTGTAAAACTCATACTGACTTTGTCTAGTTTTTCGTTATATCTGAAATGGGAAATGAAAGGAGGTTATGTCAAAATGGCATTACATTGTATTGTACATGGATTGATTGATATACGAAGTAATTAGACAGATATTGAGTTTGTGCAAAATTTAAGACAAAAATGCACTTGCATTCAATATTTGCCTGTTACCTAAGGTAGGGTATAAAATATACTATGACTATGATTAGGCCAGTATATAGTGTACTTTCATGAGTAGCTTATACTTAGGGCAGGATAAAGTGTACTTACTTTGGTAGCCTATGTCTGGGGCATGGTATAAAATGGAACAACTGAGGCACTGAGTACAAGAAGTTGAAGACTTGTGGTATAAAGAACAGCATTAAAGTCTTGCTGAAGTGTCCCAATATTGCAACAACTGCGAATGTCATACCAGCAAAGTAACAAAATGTGTCCCCAACAAATACTCGTGAAGGATACCTGCAAATGGAGAACCCAGACAATTATTTACATATAGGATATGAGGTAATTCAGTTATTACATACATATATAATATAAAGCTATTGTGTACTTTCTTCTTTGCAACGACTAATTTTCTAATAGAAAGTGCTTCCCAACATAAATGAAAAAAACAAACAAGAGAAAATACAATCTTATCATGAAACAGATATTTTGACTTACCAGTTATGAATGAGTAGAGCTAAACACACCCCTGTGAAAGGCATCATGAAGTAGAGGGAAAATATGTAGGCATCACTAAATTGTCCTGCAATCATTTAAAAAAAATAAAACTTGGTAAGTCCAGAATTTCTCGATACAACATGAAACAAATGAGCATTTGCATCTAAGAACAGAAACACTAGGCAAACAAGGCATTAACGATAAACATGCAAAATGTCACCTGCCATTTGTTACAGAAAGGGAATTTTATACAGAACTTAGTAGTATGTACAGAGAAGAGCACTAGCCACAGGTGTTCACTAGAGTGAAGTGTTCACTGAGACAGGTTTTACTGTACAATGCATATGTAACATGAATTTACCTGTAAGCTCCATTATGTTGAATGTGACTATTGATACTGCAATAATGAAGGACTGTCCACACTCCAAACCATTGATTCCAGAGAGGATGTTAATGGCATTGGTACAGAATACGGCTAACATACCCATGTAGATGTAATATAAGAAACCTGAAATATACATTAATATATATTCAATATTGTGGATGATAATGAGGTAGAGTGGTACTTCTATCAGATATAATAAGATACAAAAGTCATGCAATCCCATTTTTTCCCCCAAAAATTCATTGTTTGAAGAATAAGTCTAAATAACTACGATCTTTAATATCTGTGATATCATTCTTGGGGTGGTAAAGATCCCTTAATTTTTTCCCATGCCTCATATTTTATCACTTTTCGAGGTCAAATGTTATGTCCTCAGTGTTCTCTCCAAGATTTTGTCTCAAGTGGGTGCAAAATTCTTAACTTCACAATTTAGATCAATTTGGTCAAAATGTCTATTTTTGTAACTTTTCTCATTTTCAAGTGGGTGCAATCGAATTTTCAGGTGGGCGCAAGCGTCAATGCTGGGGAGATCACTGGTCCTTACCTAGGTCCAGATCTTGTCCTATAAGACCCCTCAGAGGTTTTGGTATTATTATAAGAGTAGAGTTATAATTGACAAAGTACACCATCAAGAGTGGAAGTGTCGCTATTGTTGGTAGCAATAGTTTGTGTCTCCACCGTAGGTCTAACACGTCATCAGCAAATCCCAGCAAGATCATACAGCATATGGACAATAAGGCTGCTATCAATTCAACAAACTGAAAAAGATTAATGTTATATTTGATTGCTTGATTTCTATGTAGTAGATCTAAAGCACAGTATAAATGTATATTTAGTTAAGATCATGTAATTACATGTATCTGAAATCAAATGCAAATCAAAGATTATTAAATTCATCTCGCATTTATAGTTATGTTTCTTGAGAAATTGTTGTTTTTCAAAAACTGATTTAAACTATAAATGAGTGAAATCAATCCTATAATTAATTTATATGTTATTACTCATTCTCAATAGCATCTGGGACTCCCATTTTATATTCATTAAGTATTCAAACATGACTGTATTCACGCCTTCTATAAACTGTGGACAAAGTCAACATTTCACCCGGGGTATATTCGAGAACAATACGAGTAATATATGACGTCATAATGGCGGGTCGTAGTAAAGGGCGAACCATAATGAATATTCGAAATATCATTTTGGGGAATTTTTATGTTCGAATCATAATATAGACCTCAGAGCAGGTGTAATATAGTCGAATACACCCCTTAGGATTAGGCACAAAAGCTTTTGAACCCCTCACTCCCTTCGATTGTTCGGTGTACAGAAAATGTTTGTGCCTAGCCCTGCGGGGTGTATTTGACAATATTACCCCTCCTCTTCAGTCTACATGTATATTTCTTAATAATAAAAACCTCTCTTACCTCATGGTGTGGGAAAAGCTTTGAGGTTAGCTGGTCATAAAATGGAACAGGTATGAAGAGAAACAGCACTATCAGGAACACTGTACCACATATAACCCCTGCAGACTCTGGCCTAAAAAGAATATTGAAGCAATGATTCATTGTGAGAAATACAAGTATAACCGATAAGCAATCAATATCATAGATTTGAGGAAGTTTCTTTACAATCGTATTTGTACTCCATCCCCTCACCCTGGCCAAAAATTTCAAAATCATGCAATTTTTCCCAATTCTGAGCATTTTTCATTTTTTGGGCAAGATTTGTCAAAGTGACCCATTGGAAATTTTCCGAAAAGTGGACTTGGCAAAAGCTGGCTACAGGGCTATATATTGTGCAATTTACATCATACCATTGACTTTTAACTGGACCAATTTGGGAACTAACAAGATAAGCCAGTGAAAATTTCACGAGAAATATACTAAGGCCATATGATACGTATGTGCAAGAATGACACAATCTACTGTTCATAAAATATCACTGGGAAAGACAATGAAGAAAACTAAATGCTAGTTTTGTCGTTGGCTATGTAACATATTATTTTAGACTCGACAGTTAAATGTGATGTTTAGATTATTTGTTTGTGTAGTTGCTGATGGGGCAATATGTGATGATGTGAAACATCATTACTCCGAATCAAAATCAATCACATCATATGAGGACTTCATAGTTGCCTTGATGCATAAGCTAATAAACGCAGGGCTTATGGAACAGGAAGACGCGTGAATGGTGCAAACCTGATCAATAGATCTAGTATGAAGAGCTCCACCGACAAATTCATTTAGCTTCGCCTACTTCACGAGGGGCCCTCATATAAATGAGACCATTTAGAGTCTAGGTTAAAACACAACTATCTTTATCTAAACACATGAAATTTCAGGAATAGCTCATAGTTCAGAGACAAGATAAAATTAAATCAAATATAGTGTCTCCTTTAAAAATCATCTTCAGGAAATCAATGGACAGTGGCATATTACCAGACGATTGGAAAAAAGCCAATGTTTCACCTATTTTTAAAAAAGGTCAAAGAAAACTACCTAAGAACTATAGACCCATTAGCCTAACATCAGTAGTGGTGAAAATACTAGAATCATTAATAAGAGACGCTATTATTGACCATTTCATGAAAAATGAGCTTTTTACAGACGATCAACATGGATTTGTCCGAGGCCGTTCATGCATAACACAACTGATAATGTATATGGAGGAAATAACAAAGCTTATTGACGCTGGAGACCCCATAGACACAATATATTTTGATTTTTCGCGGGCGTTTGATACCGTTCCGCACGAGCGACTACTAATGAAACTGGAATCTTATGGGATTGGAGGGCTGCTACTAAGATGGTTTAGGAATTTCCTAAGGGGAAGGCAACAACGTGTCGTAATCAATGGATCAGCCTCATCATGGAGTCCTGTATCGAGCGGAATACCTCAGGGGTCCGTTTTGGGGTCCACGATATTTGCCATCTTCATTAACGATCTTCCTGACAATATCCTGAGCAAAACTATGATATATGCGGATGATACCAAAATGTTCAATGTGGTAAAGCATGAGGCACAACACAGACAACTACAAAATGATATAGATGAATTCTCTAGATGGTCAGATAGATGGCAGCTCAGACTAAACACAGATAAATGTAGTGTGATGCATTTCATGCATTTAGGAAGTAACAACACAAGACAGGAATACTTAATCAACACGGAACAAATACGATCAAGTGAAGTAGAAAAGGACCTAGGAGTTCAAATAGACGAAAAGCTGAAGTTCTATAAGCACACTAATGATGCCATAATAAAATCTAACAAGGCATTAACATGACAAAATGTCACCACCTAGTTGCTCACAATATTATGAGTTCAAACTTAAGTCAGATTTGGATTTCTGAGAACTTGTAAAGTCAAATTAGAACTTCTGAAAAGATGTAGATGATTTTGAAAAAAAAATTTGGTCAATTTGAAGCAAGTTGAAAACAGATCTTTTTGACCTTTTTGACCTTGAGAAGGTCATTAAAGGTCAAATGTCAAATCTAAAGTCAGATTTGAATTTCTGAGAACATGTAGATGATTTTGAAAAAAAAATTAGTCAATTTGAAGCAAGTTGAAAAAAGACCTTTTTGACCTTTTTTGACCTTGAGAAGGTCATTGAAGGTCAAATGTCAAATCTAAAGTCATATTTGAATTTCTGAGAACATGTAGATGATTTTGAAAAAAAATTTAGTCAATTTGAAGCAAGATGAAAAAATACCTTTTTGACCTTTTTTGACATTGAGAAGGTCATTGAAGGTCAAATGTCAAATCTTAAGTCAGATTTGAATTTCTGAGAACATGTAGATGATTTTGAAAAAAGAATTTAGTCAATTTGAAGCAAGTTGAAAAAAGACCTTTTTGACCTTTTTTGACTTTGAGAAGGTCATTGAAGGTCAATTGTCAAATCTTAAGTCAAATCTAAAGTCAGATTTGAATTTCTGAGAACATGTAGATGATTTTGAAAATTTTTTTTAGTCAATTTGAAGCAAGTTGAAAACAGACCTTTTTGACCTTTTTTGACCTTGAGAAGGTCATTAAAGGTCAAATGTCAAATCTAAAGTCAGATTTGAATTTCTGAGAACATGTAGATGATTTTGAAAAAAAAAATTAGTCAATTTGAAGCAAGTTGAAAAAAGACCTTTTAGACCTTTTTTGACTTTGAGAAGGTCATTAAAGGTCAAATGTCAAATCTAAAGTCAGATTTGAATTTCTGAGAACATGTAGATGATTTTGAAAAAAAAAATTAGTCAATTTGAAGCAAGTTGAAAAAAGACCTTTTTGACCTTTTTTGACTTTGAGAAGGTCATTGAAGGTCAAAAGTCAAATCTAAAGTCAGATTTGAATTTCTGAGAACACGTAGATGATTTTGAAATTTTTTTTAGTCAATTTGAAGCAAGTTGAAAACAGACCTTTTTGACCTTTTTTGACCTTGAGAAGGTCATTAAAGGTCAAATGTCAAATCTAAAGTCAGATTTGAATTTCTGAGAACATGTAGATGATTTTGAAAAAAAAAATTAGTCAATTTGAAGCAAGTTGAAAACAGACCTTTTTGACCTTTTTTGACCTTGAGAAGGTCATTGAAGGTCAAATGTCAAATCTTAAGTCAGATTTGAATTTCTGAGAACACGTAGATGATTTTGAAAAATTTTTTTAGTCAATTTGAAGCAAGTTGAAAACAGACCTTTTTGACCTTTTTTGACCTAAAGAAGGTCATTGAAGGTCAAATGTCAAATCTAAAGTCAGATTTGAATTTCTGAGAACATGTAGATGATTTTGAAAAAAAAATTTAGTCAATTTGAAGCAAGTTGAAAAAAGACCTTTTTGACCTTTTTTGACTTTGAGAAGGTCATTGAAGGTCAAATGTCAAATCTTAAGTCAAATCTAAAGTCAGATTTGAATTTCTGAGAACACGTAGATGATTTTGAAAATTTTTTTTAGTCAATTTGAAGCAAGTTGAAAACAGACCTTTTTGACCTTTTTTGACTTTGAGAAGGTCATTGAAGGTCAAATGTCAAATCTTAAGTCAGATTTGAATTTCTGAGAACACGTAGATGATTTTGAAAAAAAAATTTAGTCAATTTGAAGCAAGTTGAAAACAGACCTTTTTGACCTTTTTTGACCTTGAGAAGGTCATTGAAGGTCAAATGTCAAATCTAAAGTCAGATTTGAAGGTCAAATGTCAAATCTAAAGTCAGATTTGAATTTCTGAGAACATGTAGATGATTTTGAAAAAAAATTTAGTCAATGTGAAGCAAGTTGAAAAAAGACCTTTTTGACCTTGAGAAGGTCATTGAAGGTCAAATGTCAAATCTAAAGTCAGATTTGAACTTCTGAGAACATGTAGATGATTTAGAAAAAAATTGAAGTCAGTCTAAACAGTATTTGTTAAGTTATAGGAAGTTGTAAGAAATTGTTACAGACGCCAACCGCCGGACGCCAACCACCAACCGCCGGACGCCGTCGCAAAAAAACGGAGACCATAACAATATGTCACCACTTTTGGTGGTGACATAACAATGTACTTGGACTCATAAAGCGAACATTCAGCAATCTTGACGAGGTGACCTAATTCAAGCCTACAAGATACTAGGAGGAGGAGGTAAAGACAGAATAAATCCTAACAAACTGTTTGAGAAACCCAAACTTAAGGTAACCGTTAACTTAATCAAAAGTACAAAAACTGGCAGCCATATATTTTTGACTAAGTCACATGATTTTGTTTTCTGTTTTCCTCATATGTGAATGCATTTCCTGACTAAAGAGACATGTCAAAGAAAACCTCACTTTTAAACGCATTTTTTATAACTATGAATTGGAGGTGCATGGGTCCCCAAAGCTAGCATGAAGACCGTGAAATGAGGCTAATTTTTGAAAGTTTGAAGGAGTAGCCTCACAACAGTCAAACATTTGCAAGAATCCAAAATTTCCACAAATCATCTTACCTTATCAAGGAACATCGAGGGAGCATGAAAATGTGCTCTTCTTGCATTGTTAGAGTATGATAAAGCTCAAACCATAGTTTCTGATAAATATTTCATGTCCACCATTTTTCTTGCCGGAACTACTTCTAGACTTCCTGTAATCCTCATATAAGTTTTTGTGACTTCACCAAGTGGGATGGATTATCACTAGTATACTTTATATATAACAGTATAATGATCATGATAGATACATAATTGATGTTTTTTAAATGTAAACAATGGATACATGAGTGAGGATTATTTTGGACTAGAAAATAGTCCCAGCAAACAAAATGGTAGACATGAAATATTTAGAATTTACTTTGGTTTGAGCTTTATTATACTCTAACAATGCATGAAGTACACATTTTAATGCTCCTTCAGTGTTCCTTGGTAAGGTAAGATGATTTGTGGAAATTTTGGAGTCTTACAAACGTGTCTCCATTGCAATCCTACTCCTTGAAATTTTAAAAAGTTATCCTCACTTCACTGTCTCCAAGCTAGCTTTAAGGACCCATGCACCTCCAATTCATCATTAAAAAAATGTGTTTAAATGTGAAGCTTTCTTTGACATGTCTCTTTAGTCAGGAAATGCATTCACAAATAAGGAAAACAGAAAACAAAATCTTGTGACTTAGTCAAAAAAATATGCCTGCCATTTTTTTGTACTTTTGATTAACTGAAGCGTTACCTTAAGAACACCAGAGGGCATAGTCAAAAAGTGCAGATTAGATTTAATAGAACAGAACTTAGAAGGATGTCTTTTACCCAGCGTGTTGCAAATAACTGGAACAAACTACCCGAATCTGCTATTAGTGCCAAAGATGTCAATAGCTTCAAAAACCAGATCGACAATATATTCAGAAATGAACAATACAACTTCTGAACTATTTATTTGGCGCATCGCACAACAAACAAGAAGTAACAAAATACAAACAATGACCGATAAAAAGATGGGGATTATACAGGATCCAACCTTCTTCCCCAAGGATAGATGTAAGATGTAAGAAGACTGTACTTACACTTTTTGTTTTGATTTTTTGGACATGTCAACACCATAGAGGTTAGCCTTTAGAAACATGTCTCTGAAGAGAGGAATTACCAGCCATGTTACAAAGAATGCTGCAATTGACATTGCAGCATTTACGCCAAGTGCTATGAAGTCCCTATTTTCAATCATGGTTGTGATATTCAATAAAATGTGGAGAAAATGATGAAAACTTCAATGTTTTCCACCATGTCAGTTCTCACGTGAGTTTGTTAATTGAACTTCCGCCGAGATTTCAATGACCTGGTTTTGGCGCGGACGTCCAAGACTTCCAAGTTTTGATTGGTTAGAAGTTGGAGGGAAGTGATTTGATTGGTTACAGCCTCAATCCCCTCATTATCTTTTCCCCACTATAAATAACAAATTCATTTTTGAACGAGATCAGAATAATCTCATTCAACGAAGAAAAACAAAATGTCTGGACGCGGTAAAGGAGGAAAAGCAAAATCCAAGGCTAAGAGCCGATCTACCAGGGCTGGACTTCAGTTCCCAGTCGGAAGAATCCATCGTTTACTTCGCAAAGGAAACTATGCCAAGCGTGTAGGAGCTGGTGCCCCAGTGTACCTGGCAGCCGTCCTTGAATATTTGGCCGCCGAAATTCTTGAGCTTGCAGGAAACGCCGCACGTGATAACAAGAAAAGCAGAATTATTCCCCGCCATCTGCAGCTCGCTGTTCGCAACGATGAGGAATTGAACAAACTCCTCGGAGGTGTAACAATTGCTCAGGGTGGTGTGCTGCCCAACATCCAAGCTGTGCTTCTGCCCAAGAAATCTGGCGCCAAGGCCAAAGCATCAAGCCAATCCCAAGAATACTAAACTGCTGGACTTCGACCTACAACCAACGGCCCTTCTCAGGGCCACCCATTATTTCCAAAAGAGAAATTGATTTATGAATGATGCATGGTTCATTTCATTTTGAAATTTCCATAGCTGAAATTTTGACCCTTTGATTTAGGCTATATTGGAGTTCCAATCCCAAGTTATTTAGGTAACAAGTTAGTTCGTACATGGTATAACATGTACCTATTCAAGGGCTGGGACTTTGAAATAAGTAAACACAGTCCACATCTTCCCCGGTGAGGGGGTCGCTATATAAACCTTGGCGGGGATCCCCAGCGCCATGGGCTACCTTTTTTGACATTTGGTACAGCAATGAACCCATTGAAATTCGACAGATTGGTATGGGAACATATTGATATTAGGGTTCAGTCTAGGACCCTACAGAATTTTGTATACAGTGACCCCCCCCCCCCCCGGACATCTTCCCATTGGGAACACAGTACATAAGCTGTGCTTCTACTTAATTTGGTGGCCCCAGTAATTAGTATCATGTAAATTAGTTCCATTAATGCATTATAATATTGCAAGTCCGCCAAATGTTCAAAACAGCAAATCCACCATGATAAGTAGCACCAAATTAAGTAGATATACGTAGATGGGGGTTAGTAATTTAGTAATTATCTGCATGTAAAATGTTGACAATTCAGTACACAACAACGCAAGCTTAGGTCAATAAATTTTCTCCTTTTTCTATCCAGACTTTATCGCTCAACTATCCAGATTCAAGCACCTGTAGCCAGGGGGATTGTTCCTCCATGTGATTTGGGGCAAATTTGTCAAAGCAAGCAAAACCCCCAGCAACTTTTGACAAATTGAACACCCTTGGACAGTTGGCAGGGGCGGATCCCGGAACCAAAGAGGGGGGGGGGCCCTAAGTACACTTCAGAGAAAAAACGTCCGCGCTTGCGCGGAAAAAAATTTTGGGCCCCTAAAATCCAAAAGAGGGCCCAAATTTTGAAATTTTGAGGCCCATTTTCTTCAAAATTTGGCCTGAAATTAAAAAATAAGGCCTTAAAAGGCCCAGTAATGACCAAAAAGGCCCACTTTTTGGGGCCTGAAGGCCTTGTTTGGCCCAAAAAAAATTTTGGGCCCAATTTTTTTTTTCTGGGCCCACCCAAGGGGGGGGGGCCCGGGCCCCCAGGCCCCCCCCCCTAATCCGCCAGTGGTTGGCAAAAGCTGACTATGGGCATTATTTAATAAATTTTTGATTGCCCCCTCCCCAGTCTTACTTAAATTGAAGTTAATTTCTAATAGAAAACTAGGGCCGTTGTTTCAGTTCATAACGCCAATCATCATTACTTTGGTTGATCAAGATGACCTAACATATCTCGTTGTTTATGGCACATTGTTCCTTTTATTAGTGGATGTTGTTCCAGAATTCCTGTTCAACATTGTCAGAAAATATTATCATTAGATCAATAATTTAATTGTGACAATCCACAGGAATTCAAAAGTAAAGCTTGTAGAACTACTTGCGCTGAAGTGTACCAATGACATCACATTAAATGGCTATCATGGCAAACATTGGCTCATTGTCACATGACAAGCCATTGCAGTAAAGTAATATATTTTATGGAATATTTTGGGTGCTCATGTATCAAATTGTCATTCAAATCAAAGTTTATAAGAATTTTTTGAACAGCCCATTAAGTACCTAACGTGATGAGCATACAAAAATTAATACACTTCACTGTGCAGTGGCCTGTCTGGGACAGCTTCCAACAATAATGGAAGTGTTCTACTCGAAGCTCGATTTACAATTAAAAAACAAAAGCCAAGATTTTAGGTTTAACTTTGCAGGTAAAATATACTTTATTAACACTTCAATAAATAGTATGAAACAATCCATTAAAATTGGGCAATATGTATCACAGGCAGGATCCAACTGATGATAAGCATAATTTCTGCATGTACTTCCACTATTCACTAGTAATGTTGGTATCATCAAGTATCACACATTACAAGTTCAGTGCCTTATCCTTTGAATACTACCCATGACATATATAAACAGTGTATAAATAAATCAAGGTACACATTCAAGAAACATGTAGATGTGCCTGAGCTATGCATAACAATTCATCAAATATGGCATCAACTTAATATTTTTCAATTTTCCATTAAAATGAACATGAGTGTAAAATAACTTGAGTACAAACTGAGCACTGAAACACCATTGAAATATTTGAAATATTAGAACAACTAAAATCACTTTTTGGTAATAAACTGTAAATGCAAATGGAAATGCTCTTATTTAGCATTGCTGAAAATACAAATGGACCTCTTAACTTGAGACAAATACTGTTATTCTGGGCTCATGACTTGGTGCAATCCTAACATGAAAATTAAAATATGGCAAGATCTCTATTTGAAAAGAAATCATAGTTTGAATAACATTACAACTGGTACATCAATCATATCATTAAAATTGATAAGTACTGTATAGGCCTACAGAGTAGAAGTAAAATTTTTATATACAGTGTAGGTGTACATGTTGTACAATGATTTAAAAATACATTTGTTTCTACAATTTCATTGCTGCATAGATAATGCAAAAATACACTTCGTTTATATGTTGTATGTGTCACCATTACCAAGCACGTGTCGTTTAATTTACCGAGTGTGTGTCCATTTTGGAAACACCATCAATTTACAGATCCACAAGTCCATTGTATATTTTGCAAGACTGAGAAACACAACCTGATTTGGGTATGTGTAACTATACATCAAGCAGATTGGTGGGAGGGGATAGGTTACAACCAACAAGGTTCATACATTTATAAGATAGATAGATGGAGCTGCATGCAATATGCTGTTAATTTACAACCTTTGTAATATCGTTCTAATCTTTACCTCAAAGCAGAATGACAGGCATGATTTTCTTTGATCTCTATACAATTTTAGTTGCCTCTAGTACCTCTACATACCTATTTACTTTATTTTTTTGCCCAGTTCCACCTTTTCACTATATCATGCTTTTTTAAAACACTTCTTTGCTTGATTCAGTGACACATGTTTAATTACACACAAGATTAAGTTGATTCTATAAGCCATTAGATTAATTATAAGTTTGACTAGACAAATATAATATGGTATAATTTATAATGTATACAATGGGATACACTAGACTAATCAATTCAAATATACATGTATATGAGAGGGGGTATTAGTCCAAACATTTAATTATAAAGATAAAACATATTGTTTTCATAAAACATATAGGCTATGCTCCAGATTGTCATTGTAGATAGTTGTGCATGTTATATGTGCATTGTACATTGTACATGTTTAAAAATTCTATATGTTAATGAACATATAAATATCAGTCTTATACACAGCACCAAAAAATAACAAGGCATTAACATGCAAAATGTCACCACCTGCCATTTTTTACAGATGCTGGATGCCAAACACTAACGGCTGAACACCATGGCAACCATCAAAACAACATTCACAAGATTTGGAGACTATAACAATATGTCAACAGTTGTGGTGGTGACATAATAACCATTAACCTCAAATAAGACCAACTTTTAGCGCAGTATATCAGACTGATGAAGGAGGGAATCTATGTTGTACCTGTGTAGGAAAAACCTCAAGACGGAAATGATAAATACATTTGAATCTCATGTTTTAGATATATCTTAAAAAACAGATAGAAAAAGTTTATAACTTTTAATAACATTCAATAAATAATTTTGTGATAAAAATTTAACAACCATAGAAACATTTCACAAATGTTAATTTTTGATTAATTTATTTTTGACTTCAGATTCATGAAGACTTTTAATGTAAATCTTTGCATTTGTGCAAAGTAGAAAATATTGTAGTCTTGCAATGCATACTGTACATTCACACCGCTATAGTTTTAAATCATAACTACTGTATATTCTAATAACATGGCCAATGACAGAGTTATTGTGCATTGCCAGGGTCTTTAAATTCTCTTGGTGTATGTACATTATGTACAACAAGATAGTAGATGTACATTATGTACAACTTGACATTCTACATTTATGTCATATCTAGCTACTGCACTGTAATTCCTTTCACAGCTTTTTGAAGTCGAGTAGATGTAAATGTAATTGTGTAAACTTTTATAATTAAGTATATGTAAGTAAGATGACATGTACACTGAATACATTTTCAATAAGTTGAGTAATTGTAAAAGAGGAGTACATGTACAATAAGTTGGCAAATGTACAGTACTACTAGTTGAGTACATGTAAATTGATGAAAGTAGGTAATTATAGATACAAGATGATGATTCCTGGCTTGGTCTCATAGACGTGATGATCGTGTTCCACTGGATGTCAGTTCATAGAACAGGAGATATGCCTCAGAGGAAACAACTTGTCGCTCTGAAACCTTGCTGACTCTGAAAAATACAACATTGAATATGAAGATTCATAAGAGAAACTATGTGTAAAACATATACAGTAAAACATGTTTTAGTGAACACCTTTCTCTAGGGAACACCTGCCTCTAATGGATACCCTTCCTCACCACATACTCAACTGAATTCTGTATGAAAATTTCCCTCTCTGTTGTAAGACCTCCCATACAGTGAGCACTTGTTTGTGGCTCCATACATGTAGGTGTTCAATGTGCACAGGTTTCTCTGTATTGGTAAATAAATGTTTCAATCATAAATGATTTCTTGAGAGTCAATAATATCTTGTTTTATTTGCGATAATTCTGCCATTATTTTCCTTGCTTTTTCTCAACTGTACCATAAGTTAGATGATTGTCCAGCTTATGTTTATCTATCTAACACACTAAGGGGTCTTCTCTTACCTTGTGTCATTGAAGAGCTGCCATTGATGATTATAGGGGTGTTTGGCATATGCTGTGTAGTGGCCACTGTATGTGCTCCCAGAGTGATTGCTAACACCATAGAGATTGTAGATAAAGGGACCTCCTAGAAACACATTTTACAATATTTTGTTTTATATTGAGGAACAATCTAAACGGTTATACGTAGGTTATGCAAAGGTTAAACTATCCAAAATGGCTATTCAAGTTTTATCAAGAAAAGTTTGCAATCCATAAGCTCTACAAGGGTATACTTCACTGACTTTCAGTCAATAACTGACAAGATCCATACAAAAAACTAAAATATTCAAACTATGCATACTAGATTTGTGACACTGCTGGAGAGTTTGCTTCTCATGAACCTCTCCTTATATTCCCAGCCAATCCCTGACAAGAAGAATACAAAAAATAAAAAATAAAAAAAATTAAAATATTCAACTTTCTTCAAATATTCCTACCAGATTTGTCAGCAGCATATTCGGTGAGATCTAAGTTATTGACAGGGAAGGTGACATTGGTGGACAGCTTGCTCCTCATGAACCTCTCCTGAGAGAATCTCTTCAACGTGACAACTAACACTTGCGGGAACTTCTGTATGCTGAAGCTTTTGCCACATTTACGACGTGTTTTGCACTTCTCACATTTCTACAATGAAAATATAGTAGTGCTCTATAGCTGACTTCCGCTAGTATACTGGACTGTTGAAATCAAAATTTTAACCGAAATTGGTGCCAAAAGTTCATTTTCTCACGATTATGTTATCTCAGATAAGTCAATGATGATAAACCTTCAATGAGTGAGTAAATCAATAAATAGTTGATGATTTTCCATCTCAATGTTTTGCTTTAAATAATTTAACTCATGAATGATCAACAATGATGGGTTTCCATGTTTAAACCTATCAGTGAACAATCTTGTTATTATAGTATACACTGGACACATTTGTCGTTTTCCTGCAGCCAAGGGGGAGTTCGATGAACCCAAAAACCTAAAAAATCTTTCAAAATCATGCAGCTTTTCACCATTCTGAGCACCTTTTAAGTGATTTTGGCCATTTTTGGACCAAAATTGTCACAAGTGAACCCCCCTGGAATTTTCCAAAAAGTGAAGCCCACTTGGCAAATCCTGGCTACGGGCCTGGCTTTACAATAGTTTTATTCACTGGACATTGTCCTATACATCAGTGCTTGTAGTGTGCCCTGAAAAAGCAAAATGTGATGCTGATCATGAGAATAATATCATAGAAAAAAATACTAATAATGTGTTTCCCTTACCGGCCTTTCGTCTCCCTCCAGCATTTCCTCCACAGTGAAGAGGTTGAAACAGTCCTGTAAGGAGACATCTGAGTAACCTCTCTAAAATGTACAGATGTAATTTTTTTATTTTTTTTATTAATGATTTATTTCCATATAAATTTATACAAAACTTTAACAAACACATCCCGGCGCTTTGCAGAACTGCATTATAAGCCACAAGTAAACAAGTTTGTACAGATGTAATTGTGTAAAATTAGGAAGAAACTTGGGACAAACTGGCACTAACAGGATAATTTGTCCCCACATCACGATGCCCATGTCAAGCAGCGTGCCTACTAGGCACGCAGTTTGAAACTCTGACAAACTGCGCGCATATTTCAAAATGTGAGACGGGGAGGACACGACTCCCAAAAAGAGCCAAAATACGAAAAATACAAGGTTAGTCTCGTTCTAAAGATAGTACCATTCTGTGAAGATGAACTTATAGTATAGTACTCATAGTACTCAATGTTTTCCCCGATGTAAACCTAGTTATCTCAATATAAGGGTCTTAAGTAACTTCTGTGTTCAAAATTTACAGTGTAAAGTTATATCTATGTCTTTTTATCGTCATTTGCCGTTTATTCAGCAATTGTGTCTGTGTATGCTAGAATATATAGGATCACTCCATCTGATTAAATCAGCAAAGTTTGTGTTCAAAAGGATAATATGCCATAAACGTGATTTAAACATTTTTCTTGTCAAACTGCGTGCCTATATTCACATGTATTTCCCAAACTGCTTGTCTAATATTTCCAAGCTGCTTGCCTATCCAAGCTTGTTTTGTATTATTAGAAAACATAAGCGCCATACAAGGCACATATGTGTCTAATAGTAGGACCACATAATTGAAACACTATGAGAGTCCATCCAACAAGATGGTGATCTGAAAATAAAAGTTTTTTTCGTTCCCAACTTAATTGTCACTTCTATTATACATTTTGACTTTCAATATGAAAATCTCATAAAATCTGACGATAAAGCAAAATTTCCAAAGCTACATGAAAAACACCTACACGTGCCTCTGTAGAAATTCCAATGATAATATGTAGTTTTAATGGTGTATGCGCACAATTTGTTATTTCTGGCTAAAATTGGCGCGCAGTTTGTGATTTATTTCTTTTTAATCTCCTGATTATCTGTTTTATCACGAAATATTTTGAATTATACATGATAAATGTGTAAGGAATTAAATATAAAACGAGTCTAAAGTATTTGTCATTTATGTTTATAGTGCTATAGATAGATTTACGTATAAATTCCTGTTAAATCAGTGACGAAAATGCCATTAATCTGCTTATGTTTTAAAACTTAGATTCATTTGAACATAGTTTTTGCTAGTATTTGCAAGATTCGTATATTCGCCACAGAATGAACGCATTAAACAAGAAAACAATGCAGGATAAATGTCTTTAAATTACGTTTCAAAATACAGACTCAAACTTAAATGATGCAATGTTCTTAGGCACGCAGTTTGTGATCGAAACAAACTGCGCGCCTAAGTAGGTGCGCAGCTTGACATGGGCACCGTGCACATAGTTGCAAAAGCAAAAGGGCAAATTGTTACAGATGCTGTCAATGTTGATGCCAAACACCAAATGCCAGTCACAACAAAATATTCAATTTCAGTATCATTAATCCAAGTGTATCAATACAAAACAAGTATGTATATGGGTCACCTACCTTTGGTAATGGCACAGATAGCTCCCAGAAAGGATCAAATGTTAGAGATTTATGTTCACATTCTGTACATCTTAGAGTACTCCGCAATTGGCCTACAAACGTATCTGGAACACACAATAAAGATGTAGTTATTCCGATGTTATTACCAGATCTTTTACACCCTCTCTTTTACATCTACATCTATCATTGGTATGGCTTGCATTGCTAAATATTGTCAGGTTTACAAGTTTTAATCTTTCACCTGCTATTGGAGTTTTTTCAAGATCTTATAATCAATGGACCATTTAATGAACAATATATTGTGGGAAAATTAAATATATGCCATGTCATAGTTTTCACTGGTGGAGTAGTGCATGTCAACTTTGTAATTTTATGTAAGGGCGCTGAGTTGCATAGTAACCCGTCATGCGCAAAATAGATGCGCGTTATACTTGTGTCGTCTGGAAGTGATCGACCACATAATTTTTCTCAATTTTGGACAGGATTTGCTACCACTGTAAAGGTAAATTACATGTTATGTTTATCACAGTATCAATTGTTATAATCCAGAGATTACCATGATGCGTTTATAATTTAAAGGTAGAGTGTAGATTTTGTATATTCCTGACGCATCTTTTGAAAACATTTTCTGCTTACGGCAGCCATCTGTAAATTTACGAACGTAGTAAAACTTAGGTCAAGTTAATTACTCTTTCATATTTTAATGTAAACTTTAATTAAAGTAGTTTTTATATAAATTCAGTGTGTTTATTATGCATTAGCCTGGATTTCCAATCCCATTTCAAGTAAAAGGGGCAATATAACTTATGATCAATTTCATGTTTTTGGCGGGAGTTTAGGGGAAAGTTTTGCCGTGATTTACAATTTGTAAACCCCTAGACGCCATGTTTTTCAATATTCATCAATGGCGGGGCTGTGTTGAATTTTGTCCCGAAGAAATTCAACTTTAATGACCGTTTTTGGAGACATAATGGAGACATCAATGATAATTTAATTGCGACATTACATTGAAGAAACTTCAGAGTGAATTTGAATTACCGGCGCTCGAGTATTTACACAAAAACGTAAGTGAAACAGTTCCACTGATATTTCATGAGTTTATTGTCCATTTAAATATCACCAATGAGGTTGAGTTAGCTCGTGATCCTGAAGAAGGGTCATTTGGAGGGACTAACTTTATGTAGATGTGAATTGTTAGCTCGTGATCCTGAAGAAGGGTCATTTGGAGGGACTAACTTTATGTAGATGTAAATTGTTAGCTCGTGATCCTGAATAAAGGTCATATGGAGGGACTAACTTTATGTAGATGTAAATTGTTAGCTCGTGATCCTGAATAAAGGTCATATGGAGGGACTAACTTTATGTAGATGTAAATTGTTAGCTCGTGATCCTGAATAAAGGTCATTCGGAGGGACTAACTTTATGTAGATGGCATGTATTATAAGGGAATAAACTGTGTTGCAAATAGTTAGCTCGTGATCCTGAAGAAGGGTCATTTGGAGGTACTAACGACATTATAATAGAGTAGAGATTAGATATTTTGAAGATGTAACTGATAAGTTTTATGGGATTAAGTCTTTGATTCCCAAGATCATTGAGATTAGAAGACTATTTGATCAGACTTTTGATATAGAGACTTTTTGAATTTTGTGCCTGATTTAAGATCCTGAAGAAGGATCGGGATCAGCATTTTCGATACTTGAGAGTAGTTGAGATTGAGACAATTGTGATCAGTTTGGATTTAAGCATTCCTTTGATCTTTAAGAAACATAAGCTCCGAGATCACTGAGACTTTTTGGGACTACTTGTAATTTTGTAATTATTGGACTCTTTGAGATTTTATTGAGGATCGCGCTCATTCAGTGGAGTTTAGAACTTTATATTGATTTGTAAGAATAAATGGAATAGACACACTACCAAAATCTTTAGTTTTTATGTTATGCAAAGGAGTTGAAGGGACTTAAGCCATTTTGTTACGTCTTGTGATTTCACAGCGACGTATACCTGTCATACGTCACCCACTTGTAATATAGTTGTTGACACAAATTACCCTTCGTCTGTACAAAGTCCGACAATATTCACAATAATATTGTATGATAAACATAATTGATCTCTCATTTTATTTCAAGTAATTACCATATTTTTAATGTATATAAAAATAAAATTAATTTTTGATATTAAAACATGTATACCTATTTGGGTTCTTTGAGTTTGGGAGTCAAGTAAATGCTTATGTTAAGATTTAAGATGCTGTGTCTCAAATGTAGGCAATTAATCAACTCAGTTCTTCCAGAGGCTCACATTATTCTGGACTTGAAAACAAAACGGTGAACTGCTGGGCTTGATTCTTTGAATGACACAATCAACCTAGCCTATATATCATAGCTTCTTTGATGTACCAAAAGTGGGCAATGTTTATTGGGAAGGTCTATTAACCTCTATTTTTCCTTATTTCACTCACCTACAATGAAGCTGTCATCAACTTTGGTATAATTCCTCCAATAAAGGCGAGATTGCTCATAAGTGTTCAGTCCCTCTAGCTGCTTGTCATCAATGATCTCACGCTTCACCTTGGTAGTTACCCTGTTGACATCCTGATGTAGCCCCTCCAACACATATATTAGTAACTCCTGGGCATCTTGTTGACTGAAACAAAAAAATATCAAAGGCATTAACATGCAAAATGTCACCAACTGCCATTTGTTACAGACATCAAATACCAACTGTCAGACACCAACTACCGAACATTGTCCACAAAAATGTTGGAGATCATAACAATATATGTTACCACGTTTGCTTGTGACAAATGAAAGCTGTTGTCGAGTTATCTAAGCCACAGACATAACACTGAAGTGGTGATCTAGACTGTAGTCCACCTGATTAAGTATGTATAGGAAAAAATAACTTGAATTCAATTTTGTATGGTGGGTCCAAAATCCTTACAACACACCCTGTAGTTAATATAACAATATACTATCAAAATACAGTCAAAGTAGTTATTACTGACACACAATGCAAAATACTTGTTTATATATACTAAAAAAATTACTAAACAAAGCGAGAGATTTATTTATAATGATTAATGTAGGGAATGAGCGGGTAGGGAACATTAAACACACATTTAATTTAAAGGAGTGTCACAGGTTCAATATGGTAAAGCTTAGAACTACATGTAAGTGACAGAAGCTCATAGAATACTACTTACTTATATCCTCCAAAGCGTGGTGCAAACTTCTGTATTTGGGCCTTGAGTGAGGTAGGAACTACGTAAGACTCTCCACTTTTCCATATACTGTTCAACAGAGAGACAAACGCTGCAAATGAAAAGCATACATCAAAAGGAAATGCATTACAACATTGATTTCCATCAAAATACTCTATTGTCTATGTTTGCAAGGGTGGGGATGAAATCCAATTTAATTTCTGATTTTCTGAGGAGAATTTTTTTTTGTATTTCTTCAACAGTGAAGGGGGGGGGGAGTTTGGGATTAAATCAAAGTAACATTAATTATTAATTAACAAATGTTGATTTATTGACTATTTAGCCATAACTTTAGCTATTTGACTATTAGCCATAAAGAAAGTCAGAGACCCCTTACAATACAGAATAATAATATGATATCAGGTTATACTGATGTGCTACAACTGCATAACATCAACTGTTTTTAATCTACTTTAACACTCAGGTTTGAATATTTGATGAAGACATAGAGATGTTTTATTCATAGAGTGTATTTCATGACTGGTCCTAATATAGGCAGCTCAAAACATAGATCTACCCTAAAACATACATGTATAAAAAATTGATGAAACACTTCTTGTGAAGCTGTTGTTAGCAGAGCTTCATTTGCTTTTAGTTTCAGGCCCGTAGCCAGGGGGGTTCGAAGCCAAAATTTCTTTCAAAATCATGCAGTTTTTCACCATTCTGACTATTTTTTGAGTGATTTTTGGCCAAATTTGCCAAAGTGAACCCCCCTAGAATTTTTTGGAAAAGTGAACCCCCCTTGGAAAATTCTGGCTACGGGTCTGAGTTTTATTTAGCTTTTCTAGAAATGTAGATTGAATGATACTTGGAAATTCAGGAGCTTTTTGGCATTTCTGTATGGGATGTTGTTTCAGGTTCAATCAGATCAAACGGAATGTGTATTATGCAAACTACAAGATTAATTGGTAAGGTGCTATGTAGCTTGATGTACCTGACAGCACACACTACATACCATTGATAAGAGCCCCCTTTAAGCTGCTTGTAGTTTTGTTGATGTCCATGATATGACGTTCTTGCATGCAGTACTCTAGGAGGGGCTTTGTGTTGCTCAGGCATTGCAGCACTGAGTTCATGAAGCACTGAAATCGAAAATTGTTATAATATGAGATCACAGTCCTCTCCCTAGGATATTTGAGGATTTTTAAGCTTCAGTGTAACATGTGGGTTTTTATTAGAGGTGTCAAGTATTAACCGGTTAACCGGTTAACCGCCGATAATGCCTTGACCGGTCTGAGTTTTTATGGGCGGTTAGTTGACCGTGTATAATTCTGTTATTTCCCGCGCTTATTCTGCATGCTAATCCGTTTGGTTTTATGGTGTCAGTTTCACGTAAGCTACTTGTCATAAGTCCCATAACTCCTTACAAACATCCAATCAGCAACTTTAATCCCTGCCACATTGCTTTCCCGCGCTTACTTTGCATTTTAATCTGTTTGTTTTTCAAGCGTCAGTTTCATGTGAGCTACTCATACATGTGATAGGTCCGATAATTCCTTACAAACATCCAATCAGCAACTTTAATCCCTGCCACATTGCTTTCCCGCGCTTACTTACATAGAATAGCGTAAAGCTTGACGAACGTAAAAAATAAACGCCGATATATCATTTTTCCAAATTTTTTCAACTTCCAAGATCGAAGATGAAGATTTCATTTGAAATTATAAGTTCAAATTTCCCGCCGGTTAACCTACTTTAACCGGTAAAAACCCCCAGTTAACCGGTTAATGCTCAAGCGGTTAACTGACACCACTAGTTTTTATTACTTTGCTTGTAATAATGCAATATTTTAGTATTTCACAAATTTTTTAGGGTAAGATTTTAGCACCAACTTCATGTCCATGATTTAAGAATTTTTGAAACTTTATTGGAGGCACACTGAATCATGGTAGTAAATAATACTAAACACATTTACATGGACAGGCAAGTTCTGCACTCTTTTGAAAACTAAGCTGGAAATTTCATCAAATATAACTTGTAAGAATTTTGCAATGTGCTGAGAAAAAGTTACATGCAAATCTTATAATGAGTTGGTAGTGTGTTTTGTCAAATTGTCATCACAATTGTGGAAGAAATATCATCTCAAGAGTACTGTAGATACACTTATTTTGACGCTACTTAAGACAGATTTGCTCAATTTCAAATATTGGCGGCTATTTCACTCGGCGGATTCAGGACTAAAGTTTAATTTTTGTCTATATTTATGTCATTAGGACAGGTGTTTACTAAGATATTTTCTGTATTTCTTTTGGAATAATGTAGAATTGATGACTAATGACAGGAAATGGGGCCTCAGAAGTTATATTTCTGAAGTGCACTAGACAAAAATTCCAAACTGAAATTTGACGGAATTTTAATTAGGCAGATTTTCTAGATCCGCCAAACCATCAAATTAAACGGGAGCCAAATTAAGTGTATCTACAGTAGATAAATATGCTGACTTTCATTTTGACAACATCACTAACTTACTGTATTTCCTAGATTACGCATTCCTGCATTGCCACCTTGTTCCCAGGTAGATCCTGACTGCCTCGGTGATGAGTAACCCTGAAAAAAAACCAGTTTCAGATAAGAAAAGAATAGTGAGGATAGAAATATATGGGGCATGAGATTCAACAATCTATTCTACTGCTTAGGGAATGATAATATTAATTGCATGATGGTGAATGAAGATTTCACGGTACCACGCCACAAGTGATTGAACATAATGTTTCATCATTGCCTCCCCACGTGATAAGGAATAATTTATCATGTCGCAGCTTGATATGGTCAAAATGACAAAAACTAGTCTGAATGTGGTCTAATTTAATGACAACTAAAAATATTGAAATCATATCATTTTCATCATCATTTATTTTTAACCATACCAAGGTCTCCAGTATCAAAATTCTAAAAACAAGAGACTGTAAAATGGTATTGAACAAATTCTTGAAATAATCAATTTGCTAGATAAAATTGCCTCCTGTGCCCTTTGCCAATGAAACAATTCAATGAAAAAACATGGTTATATTAAACCTTCTGTGTACATGTACTTTAAACTTCAACTTCTAATGTCACCTTACTCACATGTTGAAGTGTCTTAAAACTGCCAGGCCTCATTGAGACCTCATTTCCCTGTGTCAGAGTATAACTTGACTTTACAGACAGAAAACTTGCCGGCAATGTCCCATATACCATCTTACAACCAATCATTTAACCTTATTTGTGCATCCTGTCATTAGACCAAGATGAGTCTTAGCCATTGAATGCTCAATGTCAATAAAATAATCCAATTTTATTCCATTTTTATTTTCCTGACTGCTTCAGAGGGTAGAGTTACCCTTCTTGGCTTTTGTTGCTAGGTAATTGCTATGATGTCACAGAAATAATCCATCACACATGACATTTAAATGAAGAAGGTATGGTATGTGTTCAATCATATATTATTAAAATATCTTTTATCTTTAGGTATGTGAAGTAGAATCATTGTATAAGATTAACACAGAAATTCTGATCAAAGTTCAATGGCAAGGGTCGTTAGAAAAATAGCAATTCCCTGGACTAGCAAATCCCACCAAACAAAAACTTTATCAAAATTTTGACCAAATTTGATTATTTCTTCTGAAAAATGACTGCAGAGGTCATAAGTCCCTAAGGCATCAGCAAATAAATCAGAACCAAATTTGTCAACCCGTATTTGACTTATCAATCTTTTAGGAATAAGGGCAGCCATTTCAAACTGAGTGGCCATATTGAAATTTCCTTCTCAAAAAGAGGCCCTATGCCCGGAATCTGATCTATCAATTGGTATTTGAGTTATCTGCTGGACTGACAAAGAAATGGTAAGATGAATTGATGGACGGACAGACAGCTTCTCCATATCTTTCACCAAGTTCATTCAGTGGGATAATGATAAGAATTTGTGCAGTCAAGTAATCTATTAACTTTTAATATGGGATAAGACATTGTCTCATATTGAGCACTTTATTTATAAGGACACCAATATGATCCAACGCTCAATCAAAGAAATAATATAAACTTTCCAGGTACAGGTAAGTTACCTTCCAGCCTTTAGGCAAAATGCATGATCAGCATAAATATCAATTTACTCCTTTATCATGTATATTTCAAGGTTTGATTGACAATTTTAATTTGAAAAATGTTGTAATGCTGTGAGTGAAATTGATATGCCTGATAAGAAACTTAAGGTCAAGCACTCACTAAAGGGGCAGATCATTATTAGATGATTATGGTGGGGACCTAATATTTTCAAACAGGGTCATGCGACTCAAAAAAAATAAGCTTCATATTTATTTTACCATGATCTGTTGACATGGTTACAGATATTTCCCCTAAACTGTTCCAGGGGGAAGATTTCAAAAAGATGAGCATTGGTATTGGCACGTTAGATAACCAATTTAATAAACAGGCCTCATTTGCCATTGAAATTGATCTCAGAATGTTTGCTTTTGTTATGAGTATTCCATGATTTCAAATTTTACTTTGCGCATGCGGAGCTCTAAAAGAACATGTGCTCATGATTGTTCATCTGATCATATCCTGCAATTTCATTGGAGTTCATGTACTGATGGGTGTGATTTAAATAAATTATGTTCATGAATATGAAGGAATACAAGAAATACTGTTCAGTATGAGTAATGAGTCAATGCGACCATTAATTTGGTTTTCATGACAAATAACATTTACTTGTGACAGGATTCTAACAATTAGAGAAATTCAAAAACATATACTGTACCTGGGAATTCAAATTTTGTACCAATATTGAATAGTGAATCTATTAAACTCCTGTGCCTTTATTTCTTCATTGAAAACTGAAAATGACAAAATTATACCATACCTGTGAACTTATACTAGCAGCTGATGTACTTGAGCTTCTGCGAGATATTCGTTCTGAAGTCGTAGATGTGACATCATCACTGATCCTTTCCCGAGCCCTCCCTCGCTCTGTGTGTGTGACAGGTGGGAGAGATGACGTCCTATCAGAGCCCCTTGTTGATTTATAATCATAGCTACTAGTCCTACTAAGATATCTACTAGGAGATGTGACTCCATCAGGCACGCTGTTTTCATACACATCATCAACCTTGCTATCATAGTTTCTAGTCCTAGATTTGATATCACCTATACTATTATATTTCCTACTGGAAGCAACAGATGAAGTTTTGCTAGTGCTCAGTTTTCTTTCGAATTCAGCAGATAAATTATGTACACTATTTGTCCTTTTTGGCCTGTTTAACAATGCACAATCTGAAGTTCCATTATATGAACTAGTTTTAATCGGTGAGTTATGGTCTGCTTTAAGCGGGCCAATTCTTGACACAGAACTATTGCGAGACTTTGGTCTAAATTCATACTTCCTGCCATATTCATCCTGAGGGCCTGGACCAGCAGGTAAAGGTCTTGACCTCGTCAGGGTGGACGAAGAATCAAATGATGATGAGTAACGCCCCCTATCAGGTACTCTGCTTTGTGAGAGTGAGCGAGAGCTAGAGTTACTGAGGGGCCTACTATAGGTGTCAGTGTAAGATGTGCCATAATGAGGCTTAGTATCGTAAGTCGATAAGGGGGAATGAACACCAATCCTTCCTGGCATAGATGGACTTCAAAATGTGCACAATAATCCAATAATGTCCAGAAGTGATGTTTCAATACACTCAACTGAGGATCACTGTCTCCTCGCTTCTAGCCAAATCATCTGAAATTAAATCAATAAAAATAGTCAAAAACTTCAAACATTCAACAAATAATTTCTCTGTTCTGCAAAAGTACCAGTTGCACAATAATGCTCATAGTCTGTAAATTAATATTTGTTTTACAAAAATGTGCATGTTTTGTCTTTTTTGTTTACTGAATAGATCGTGTTAATTTAATTTGGTCCTGCCTAGATAACAAGTCTATTGTTATGATCAATGATTGATATATGTTCACAAAATCTGATGACTGGGGAGGATAAAATAATTGATATTTCATTGTTGAGCAATTCCTCAATGACAATACATCAACATAATCCCATAGGCCCATTATACTCTATATAAATGCTATAATCATTACTTTAATTATCCTAAACAGTGTTCAAGATAAAGGCCATCGACACTAAGTGTACATGCATTATAATCAAGGCCTAATATATCTAGCCTCCTTAGTCCTATAGGTAAAATAACATCTCCATTAAGGGAATCATTGTTTCTTCAATGTGAAGCCTGACCTTTTCATAAAACGCAATTATAATTTATTATTATATTAATAATAATAATTTATTTGGACTTATGATATCTTTACATTTTCATACAACTGACAAGATTATTAATACTTTAATATTTAGTTGATATGTTTATAAACTGCTTTTCTTTTCCTGTTTCTGCATGATCAATGCACCATTTATTTTTTTAAAAAAATTGTTCAACCAGGAATCAAACCAAAGTCTGCTGCATCAGAAGGAGTATTATTCCCCTTGTCTTTTCATGTACTGCAGGAATAAATTAACGCAATATTTTGATGTTCTAATTTAGTAGGCTCGCATGACTTAGAATTGGGAAATCTTCAAGAAATTGGAATATCGGCGAACCCGAACATATGAGCAATCAAAGGAACAATCCTCAAAATGACACCTTAATTGTGAGATTTCCCCAATCAATGTATGTTCTTTCATTATAGCTCAAAATATCACTAGGTATGCCAGAACAACCCAACAACCTTGTTTTTTATAGAAAGGTGATATTTCAAATAGAGTATAATTCATTAACTTTACCTTATTCGTCGGCCACAATGTGGCCTTAGGCTGATCATGAAGCCCTGTTTGTTTTATTGCTTTTTACGCTATCTATCATGGACTGTTGCTATAATGAAGTAAAATGTAACAAACATACCTTCATTGAACTAAGTATGTAGAGTTAGTTCATATGTCCATCTACATCGGCTTTTATTTAGTATTTTCTTACAGCAATATTTTGAAAAAAATCCTTCAGTAGAAACGGCCATTTTGTTTAACCTCAATCTTTTAAAATGAACTATATTCATTACCATTTTTAATAAAATAATAAGTTTACTTTTACATTGTTAAATCTGGTTCATCACTCTGTGTTTTCAATAACGCTGTCCAAGCATTGAAAAAACACAAAGAAAAAATCTTGGACCCGGAAATAAAAATGAACTATGTTTTTTGGATGCAGTGCAAGTCATATGCACAAAATTAACTTTGGATGAATGATTTGAGAAAGATCTTACTTTCAGTCTCTTTATCAGAATCCACTAAATAATTAAAAGAAATTCCATTTCTAAAAAAAATAAAATTTTCTTTCGAAGTTTGCTTCCCGAAAGTTGATTTCTGATCGAAATATTACGAGGCATGTGAGAGGACAAATAGTTATCCAATACTCGATTTCTGAGCAGTAATCAGTAAAACTCCTATGATTGGCCGCTAGCTGAAGACCTGGTTTAAATCATTTTCTATTGGTCAAGTGCAATCACGTGATCATTATTTAAGAGAAGGAATCTTGCGCAGATTGCCTCTAAAGCAAGACATTTCTGAGCTGACGAGCCATTAAAATCAATAGAAAATTAAGCTTCGAAATATGCAAAGAAAATGGGTGTTTGATGGTTGAATATAAGTTATACGTAACAAGTGATGATATCTGTATCATTCAATGACAAAACTCGCTAACTAGAACACTGATTTAGACCGATATAGCAAAAGCTATACAACATCAATTTTATTTCATCCAGTGTAAAAACGTGACTTTGAATTCCCAGGAACATTTTTTCAAGGGACACAGTTTTTTCAGGGGGACACATTTTTGAAAATCAGTATGTCCCAGGGACGCAATCTTAGACAAACCTACTGAAAACACTGATCACTACTACTAAAATTCATGGAAAAAGAATCTGAGAGGTGTACCATCCAAATATCAAAATCTTACCTCTGGGATGTATTTATCAATCAAATGTCCAAATGATCATCACAGAGACCTTGACAAATTTTCGGAGAAATTTCACCTGAAATTTTCAGGTCAAAAATAAAACTAATTGCACACTTTTCGGAGAATATGTAGATTCAATGATGATATAATTTTAGAGGAAAAATATATAAATATATTATACATACAGTCTACCCTACCTATTCAATGATGCTGCAGAGAATAAGCTAAAATATGATCGGAATTTTGACAGGTCCGTCTCAAATTACCTCCGCCATTTTAACCTAGTGTGGTCACGTGATTTAAAAATCTACGGACAGTCGTTATGGTTACGTCAGATAAATCTGTTATTAGCCTAAAATCAAATATATTAGTACCTAAAACAGTTCAATTATTTATTTTCAAAATATGCATTAGATGATTATATTCTGTTTAGTGACAAAAAGAGTTTTGAATATGTCAAGATTATTCACCTCCTACTTTCAGTTTCACTTCGAAAAACTGAAAATAAACTCTTGTCAAGTATTTGTGCCTAAGTTGGCAGATTAATCAATAAGTATGTCTCTACCCCCAACTGGAAGTCTCATGAATATTAATGAAACTAATCGAACTGTGGAAGACCCGAGTATTGAGAGGAAAAGTGTAAGAATATATGGCATGTGAGTAGACTAAGATTTTCGACATCTAAAAATGTCACTCGACTTTTTTTGTGATTTTGAATCACAGAAAGCATTCTGAAGTTTCAAATTGGCGCCACGTTTAATTTTTGCATCCGCCTAATGTATACCACTTACCTTTTATTGATTCTTTCATAAGTTTCGTCATAAACTCAGTTTGACCAGAAGTATCTTTGTTGCTGCTCGATTTTTAAAAGAAAATGCCCCATTTCTAATAGACTGTATCCTTCGTCTGAATAAATTCAGACCGAATATTATATTCAGTCTTTTGGATACATACTACCTTTTCTAATCACCCGGATGGGCGGTTTACTTGGACTCGCCCAAAATTAGGGGTGTCAAATGCAAGATGGTAGAGATGCAGACATGTCGCCACTCTCAGAGAATCTAATCCATAATTTCAACATTATTACGCGGTTTCACAAGCGAAAAGGATAAGGGCAGGTTATATATAGGACTGGACAAGATGAAAATAAATATTCTCAACAGATGACACCCCTTTCAAAATAAGATGAACTGAACCTATCACGTCACCGATTTCTTAGAAGAAATTACGTCAGAAAAACAAAAGCTCCGTAGAGAATTTTCGCTTGAAATGTTGAAAAGCAAGCCCAGTTTTCTATGGGAATATACAGTAATTAATAGTTACGTGTACAATATTACCGAGTTCGATGGTGCATAAGTTAGGCGGTGGATCATTTTGTAAGTACGACAATGTGAATTCATGCGACTGTTACTTTTTGGAAGGTTTTTTGCAAAAAAGTTGAGTGACTTTTTAGATGTCGAAAATTCTAAGTTGATCCTGGGATCAGAATAAAATTATTTCTCAAAGTCAAATCTCTCTAAAAATCAAAATTTTATAAACTACATGTAGCTAGGCCTACTTTGAAGTTGTAAAATAAGATTATTTAGCAAAACATTTTCCTTGAACAGAAGACATGGTTGAGTGAAACATCAATGAGTCACTTGATCTGAGACAGTACCCAGACACGTGATCAGACAAGGGACCGGCAAAATGGATTAAGTAAATTTCATTGAACGCACGAATACCCTCAGATGGGTATTTTGCTACTTCATTGACTTTATGTTTGACTGAGTTTCACAATATAATGGGGATGGGGCGCTTGAGGACATATCGCATACTTGTAAGTAGATGCGTGGTTAATATCATAATATTAATATTATCACTCGTTTGGAATCAAACTTCTTTTTGAATCACACAAGATTCGCTGAGAAGGGCTACCAATATTTCTCAACATGATAGCTGTATTCAGATAGATGGCACAATTATGTATGACCAACACAGTTGTATTAACATGTATATGCTTACTATACAAATGTGATCATTGTACAATATACGGTATAACATGATTTAAAGTCACCCCCTATATCATTCACTAACCCTTCACATTGTCACTGGGCCATAGTAGGGGTGTTCAGTTCACAATGCTGCCTACCCTGAAGAACTGTCGTTCACATCTTAGTATTCACTAATTTACATCATTACATCACTATCATTTTTATGATCGTCCCAGTTTACATGAAAGTTTACTCACTTGTCCACATTTTTATGATAGTCCCAGTTTACATGAAAGTGTACTCACTAATGTCCATATTTTAGTACTGACTTATTTACATCCGATAACTCCCTTTACTTGATCATGAAGTCAAATACTCATTTGCCATTATTTTTGTATCAGTACTCACTAGATTATATCTAACTTACTTTATTAGAAACTAAATAAGACTAAGATACTTGTTTAGAGTTATCTAGCATGTTTACTTTTAGACTGCAAGACCATGACTTCCGTGCTTGTATGGCAATACTGAAGGATCCAAAAACAGAGGAGAAACTACAACTTGACACACAATCAGTAGAACCATTCTCTGCAAGAGTAGGGACCTTTGTGCAAGTCATAGGAGAAATTGAGACCACTACAGGTTAGTGCACTGGTATATGGATGAACAAGACTTACTTAGTATGCTTAGCTTAATATTTGGTTTTTCATCGGGCTTTCCAGCTCATTTTTCAGATAGGTCATCACGTTTGGTTTCTCTATCAGATCATGATTTCTGGAATGATGATTTAAGAATCAAATACTTCGTATTACTCTAATAGGTTCATGGTCTAATCAATAATAGCTACAACTAAGATAAACTGTTAGTGGATTGGTAATAAAATATTGATCATAAAAGGATTAATCACTTTCATTTTGACACAAATCTTATTTTATTTGAGATTTAAATTTTAAAAATATACTTCATTATAAAATATAGTTGATACCTTTACATCATTGTGAATTGGTAGCCTTTCAGGAACAGAAAACTTTTATTAAGAATTGAATTAACAATTTGCTATTAATCTTCTTGAAATTTTATATTATTTCATATTATTATTAAAAATATTCCTGCAATGATTGATCGACTCATATCTGCAGATGTTACAGTTGACATTTCTGATTTGATATGACACTATTCAGACTTGATGCAAGAAGAAATAATCTTAATTTACATCATTAAATATTCAAAATTCAGTCAAAGTGATATCATATTTGAAATTACATCTAGAAATATGGTTTCAAAAATTGTTTATCAACTTAAAAATTTAATTTTCTTTGAAAATGTGACTTCTAGGTCGGGGAGATTTCCCATAGACCTCATGTTATAAAATCACAAAAGAAATATTTTCATTTGTATAACTATCAGGGGTCTATTTCTCGAAACTTTACCTAAAGGCGCACTTTGGGAATTTTCAAAATTTTTGAGCAAAATAAAGACTTACATATAAATTTCATAGTATGTCCAATGTATTGATAAGAACCTTATTATCTTTCATTTGACACCAACAACAGCTCAAATGGACCACATCAAATCTTACAATAAATTATCAAAAAAATATTTTCGATCTGTCAAGCTTTATACATCAAGTTTTTATCAACTTCAATGAAAGATGGCAGAGTTGTTTGTATTACATGATACATTCATTTTTATTGAAGTGTCGGCATCTTTTAAATCAATAGTAATTTAAAACATGCACTTTGTTTAACATGTGCATGCATGTCTAATGATCTCTGAACTTCAAATGCTTTTTTCCATGTGAGTTACTCTTTTCTTGGTTCAATATAAAAGCAAATCAAACTTTGTGTCATATTTGAGGTAGTGTGTGAGTAACATGTTTCAATGATTTTTTTTTTCTTCTAAATTAAGTATAGTGCACTTTTAAAATATTTAGTAAGTTTCAAAAAGTTACTAAAAAGTTATTAAATCGCAAATTGTAATTGTAAGTTTGTATCTTTTTAGTAAGATTACGAACGGGAGGCTTTATGATGCCATGAGTCTAGTTCCCATATTCCATTGTCAGGTGTGATGTTTATTGCAGTTCCAACAAAACTATTGAAATGCAAGAACATCTGAGCTTGTGAGTGAATATAGTCCGTAATGTTACTAACGTTAAATCATTGATAATGGATATTAATTCAAATGGATATCGGACCAAAATAAATTTCTTGTACACTTGAACTATCTGTGATATAGCCTAATATATAATTACTATAAAAACGAAAGTTAAAATATGTCAAGGAAAACTGACGAAAGACTTACAAGACCTCCAAAGGTGTACATAAAGTTAGGATCAAAATCACACATGAGGTCATTTTTTAGTAACTTTGCGAAAAAAGTTACTAATTTTCTCAAAGTTACTAAATTTCGAGAAATGCATGTACTAAGTATAGTCTAAAAACAACAATGAATTTACTAATTCGCAACTTTACAAACTTTTGAGAAATAAACCCCAGATACATAAGGGTAATATGAACATTAATCTACTAGAACTGAAGAATATTCAAGTTTAAGGGAACCCTCTAATATATCTGCCTTGGTATCTGGCACGAATTAGCCACCTGGTGGTGAAACTGATAACTCCTACTGGCATCTGGATTATTGTATATACAGGCCTGTAGCCAGGATTTCTTAAGTGGGGTTCTTTTTTTTGTTAAATTTACATGCAGATTTGCACTGCGCGCAATACCTAATTCAGTAATTGACTTAATTATCATTGTTTATGCATTTCCTTCAGATAATGAATGGATCTTAAAGAATGCCTATCTTCGTGGTCAGAATAGCGTTAAAATCCAAGATTTAACCGTCTAAAATTGTTTGCAATAACCTATATGTCTTGCAAATTCTCCTGCAAGATTAACTTTTAATGTCAATTAAGTTGGCGTTTGTTTTTGCCACTAGTTTGTTCATATGAGCCAAGACTCAGTTCAATCAAATATTGATCATAAAAGAGTATAACGTTCATTCATTTCTTTTTTTATTGTTATTGTTACTTATAATCCAGTTCATTCTGACACTAATCTTATTTTATTTAATATTTAAATTTGAAAAATACACTTCATTATAAAATATTGATTCTAAAAGATACACCGTTGTGTCATTGTGAATTCGTAACTTTTCAGAAAAAATATTATTAAAAATTTAATTAGATGGCCAATTAGTATTACTAGAATATTCGGATGAAATGATTTTACTCTTAGACACCACATGAGCTCTAGTTACAGATACGTACAGAACTAATATGTTACATATATGAACACAGTAAATGGTTGAATCCTATCTAATTTAATTTGTTTGTGATAACCTGTGTGGCATTTTGTCTTGCTAATGTTGCAAGATTATCTTTTAATGTAAAGTTGGTATTAATCTTTGTCACTAGTTTGTCCATATGAGCCAAAACTCAGCACGATAATATATTGACATTAAAGAGCATACCATTCCTACATTTCTCATTAATTAAATTGTAATACCGTCTGTAATCCATTTGATTTTGACGCTAATCTTATTTTATTTAAGATTTAAATTTTAAAAATACACTTCATTATAAAATATTGATTCTAAAAGATACACTGTTGCTTCATTGAGAATTCGTAACTTTTCAGGAAAAATCTATTATTAAGATTGAATTAGATGGCCAATTACTATGTTTCAATATTCTGATGTCAAAATGATTTTGCTGCTACTAGATATCCCATCCTTGTTATAGTTTCAAACTGGACCAATACGCTACATAGCCCCATATGAGCACAGTAAATGATCAAATGCTTTGAACACAGTCCTTGCTAATGAATACAATATGATACTATATGTGGAGGAGTCTTCAAAACCTACCTTGATACCATTTCCCCAGGATATGTTAAAAATTTTCAAAATAAGACTATAATATCCCGGGATGAATGGCAATATCTCCATGAAGCTCTACTTATACTTCACATGCTCCTTTCACCAAGGAAGGACAGAGTAATCCAGTGATCAATTGAATATATATTCTTACAGATGATCAAAGAGTCACAAATGGTGGAGTTGCCATGTTGCGTTGCAGAGTATTGCGTAGTATGGATGGTGTTGACATCCATATGTACAACAAAGCATTAAAAGTTCAGACAGAATTTTTAACTAGTTGCTCAGGTAAGTATTAAATTCTACCTTTTTAACTCTGATCCTAAAATGTATCAAAATATAGTATTTAACAATTGGATCAACCTGTATAGCATAATGCTTATTAGTTGAACTTATTTTTGTGAACATTAGAGATGAAAAACTATCATTCAGGTAGTAGTGAAACAATCACACTTTCAAACTTTCAAAAATGAAAATGTGAGAGAGAGCATCTTTTTCTAAAGTGAAACTTGTCATTATTGTGATTTATGGTTCTGAATAGAAATTGAACCATTTGGAGGGTATTGATACCAATAAGGAAGTTTAAATGGATTGGTTTATATCTAGTTTTGGCTTGAAATAAATTCAGAATATAATGAAGACGCTGACCTATTACGTGTCATTGTGAGAGACTGAATAATTATCTGGTTCTGTTATTTGCAGCATGACTAATACTATTGAAAGATTGTTACTTCAAAAATTATCCTGAAAACTTATTAACTATATTATTTGTCTTCAACCTAATATTATGAGCAAAGGTTAGTACACTAAAGAAAAAGACATCTGATTGCTGTTGAAACCGTTGCTCATCAAGATAAGTGAGTAATTTTAGGTTGATGTCAAATGAAATATTGATATATGAACAATACCATACCTGCCAACCTACCGTATTTTTACGGGAATCTACCGTAAATTTTTCGTTTTTCCGTAAAAAAAATGACAAACTACCATAAGAAAATGCCATTTTTTTCCCGTAAAAACACCCGTAAAAAAATCTACCGTATTTTTTCCGAAATCTACCGTAATTTTTTTTTTTAAAAACTCGTTTTTTTCCATGAGAACGGCCGTAAAATCTACCGTAAATTTTTGAAAATCTACCGTAAATTTTTGAAAATCTACCGTAAATTTTTGAAAATCTACCGTAAATTTTTGAAAATCTACCGTATTTCTGCTAAAATCAACAGTATTTTTGTTCAAACTACCGTAAAATCTCCCGTTTTTGTTTGGAAATGCTTAAAATTGAAGTCTTTCTGTACTGTCCCTGTAATATTCCTTTACCAAACCGAATATAAGGTATCGGCAGGATATTGAATCGATTCAAAATTCTAAATCACATTCCCCGTCCGGGAAAGTCCATGAAGTTCGTAAACAGACCGTAGAACGTTGTAGCTACGTTCATTCAGTTCGCACACAGTTAAAACCGATTCGGCAACGTTTTGCAGAACACAGTGACAACTGGTTCTGGTGTGATAGCTATTTTTGTTAATTCGTTCATAAGCAGTTTTTAATACGTTCATGTCGTCTTTATTCCGTCTGCAGTACGTTGGTATCAAGTTTAGATCGGGTTAAATTGTGCGTTCGTCTGGTCTACACAACGTAACCAAGCAGTTCAATTACGTCCTTAATCAGTTTGAACCAGTTGACAATTAGTTGTACCCCGTTCTCAATACGTCCTAATATGTTACTGAATTATCCACCAAATTTCCCTACGGTTGAACTCGTTCTAAAATAGTAAACATCGTGTCCCTAATCCGTGCAGAACGCATTTATTTTTATTTTGTCGAGTTGGGTCTGTCTACGAACAGAATGAACGAGCTACAAACGGACTAGATTGGGGTACTCACGTCTGCAATTTACGCCTGACTACACAACGTCGTAATACGTCCCTAGTAGGATTGAAGTACGACACTTCCGTTCGTAGTGTGTCCCCAGTGCGTCCAGGTCGTCTTAGTACGTTATCACTCGTGCTGATTGCAGAACGTAACGATCACCAGAAAATTTTGAGCATGCTCTAAGTTCTGGAGGACCTACTCGTTCGAGTAGTTTCATGAAGTTTGTAACAGATCCCAAACGGTTCTTAGTGGGTTCTTACTACGTCAAATCCGTTCGTGCACAGTTTAAGCCCGTTTTCGAGAACGTAGTGAGAACTAGTTTGGTGTGATAACAGGGTAAACATACTGTTTTATTCATTAGTTTTTTAGAAATCTATCGCAAAAACTACCGCATTTTTACAAAATCTACCGCAGGACTACTGCATTTTTTCAAATTTTTCCGCAAAACTAGTTTTTTAAAAATCTACCGCAAAAACTACCGCATTTTTTCAAAATCTACCGTAAAAGTACCGCATCTTTTGCAAATCTTCCGCAAAAGTACCGGTTTTTCAAAAAATTACCGTAAAAACTACCGCATTTTTCGAAATCTACCGTTAAACTACAGCATTTTTTCAAAATCTTCCACAAAACTACCGTTTTTTCAAAAAACTACCGTAAAACTACCGCATTTTTTCAAAATCTATCGTAAAACTACCGCATTTTTCAGAATCTTCCGCAAAACTACAGATTTTTCAAAAAACTACCGGAAATACTACCGTATTTTTAACAATCTACCGTAAAACTACCGCATTTTTTCTAAATCTTCTGTAAAACTACCGCTTTTTAAAAATTTCTACCGCAAAATTACACTCTTTTCAAAAATCTACCCCAAACCTCTGAAACTACAGTATTTTTTAAAAATCTACCGCAAAAACTACCGTTTTTTTTTAATTTACCGCAAAAACGACCGTTTTTTTAAAATCTACCGTAAAAACTACCTTTTTTTTTTAAAACCTACCGCAAAAACTACCGCATTTTTGTTGAAAAATACCGCAAAATCTACCGCATTTTGAAAAAATCTACCGCAAAAATACAGCAATTTTAAAAAAATCTACCGCAAAATTTTGGTCTTAGGTTGGCAAGTATGAATACAAACCATAAGAAGTTATTCTTTAGTATTCTGAAAACCATTTAGTTTCCATCAGACCCCTAGTGTCTGTGAACTTTTCTTATTCAGGTGATTCATTTATTTATTTTATTTATCTTATTTCAAAAACAATTGGAAGTGTGATTCCTGCGTTTCAATCAAAATACAATGTATCCACCCTTTTTTACCACCAAAGTTACCACCAAGTAAAAATATGGATGTTCTTTTGCCCATCCTGTATTTATATATGTGAAGGTTTAGATATATGTAATTTGTACTGAAATTGTTCTTTTACCTCTATTTGATAGGACCAAAGATTTGAATTGCAGAAAGGCGTTCAAAATAGCAGTATCAAGTTATAGCAGTATGGTAGCAATCACCAGGCATTAAAAGCACCAAGGATTGTCAGGAGAGTTACTGGATTACCTCACAATATCTGGATCATCTTGCGCAACTAATGTCTTGTAAAGTAAGTTGAAACATTTTTATTGAGGATTATTTCAATTATTGTAGTGACATTATTATAGCTACTGTTTTTTTTGTGATGGGCATTCATCACCACACTCTTACACTCAAGTGTAACTTGATCAAGAAATTACCACTTGTCATCAATTTATTGTTTCTTATACTTCAATTAGTTACCAAAAATCTGTTTCCCAATTTGTCACTAGATTTCATTTCAAAAAAGTAAAATACCTTGACTTTTAGGGGGCAAACATGCAACTACATTGCCAATGTTTAACGAACTAGAGATTTTCACCATCCATTCTATGCGGTTCTATGTTTGGTATATTAACGAAGATGGCCCGGGGAATTCACACAATTAGTCCCTTGCTTTTGTTACGTTGATGATTTTCATGAATATTGTCACATTGGCAAATTTGTTGATTTTTTCAACTTTGTCATTGAGTAAATTAAACCAAGGTTTGAAGTTCATTTTTTTAGAAAGAATTGAAGATATATTCCTGATCACAAAATAGGGTTTTGGTTTTCATATCTCTATTGTCTTCGCATAGTTTTTTTTCTGTTTCTGAATCGGTAGCATCATAAATGTTGTTCTCATACAAGATGTAAAGGTCTTCACGTGTATGTCTAAGCATTGCAGCTAAACCACCAAAGTTGCTCCGACTGACTAACAGTAAATCACATTGACTTAAGATGTGGAAATCTAGGGCCACCTTCTCCATGCCATTACAGTTGGATCCATATCTGTCAACATGTGTAATATTTCCCACTGTGTCAATTATTACATTCCCAAATTCATTTGAAGCATTTTGCCGAACTTCTTCAGAGTCAGTCGTCACAAATAGACGATCATTCTGTGGGTGTAGCTTAGTGTGAATGAATTGCCAGATGGCTCTGATATCTACAGCTGCCAGTTCTACATCATCTGGCATAGATGGGTTCTGCCCTGTCCTTACTTGAGTACAAACCAATCTCGAATTTTTGCATTCTTGCATAAAGCTATTATATCTGCTTTCCAAGGCTGGGGTTAATATGAATAAAGCATTGTAGACATCTCTAAACATGTTCCTCAGAGAAAATGTGCTTTCATTATATCCCATTGCTGTTATACTCCCATTGTAAGTAGGATTATTACTAAATGCCCATGGAAACGCGTTATTTGTACGAAACACCCATAAATGCTGGTTGTACAACATATTTAAATCTTCTCTTTGGTTCATAATTTCATTCACTGGGAAGTCCTTGTTGTTATCAAGAATTGAAAAATATTTGATGTATAAATTGTTATAGCCAGCAGGGTTCAAGACATCCATATATGTTTGTAGCGATGCTGGCCATGTCCAGTTGAGAGTATTAGGCAATAAAACTGATTTAAGGTCACAGGGATGATGCTGTGCAATGATAAACTTACGTTGAAATATACGAGACATTATATAAGTGGTGAAAATCCCCATCATACGATCACCCCAACCTCCACAGGGTTTCACACAGAGATAAACAATATATTTTTCTTGTTCTGTGTCCATCTCTGAAGGAGCATCTTCTGCATTATCATTCATCTTTTTTTCTTCTCTAGTCTCCTCTTCATTTACTTCTTCAACAATGTTTATATTTCTCCCAACAGTGTCATGATTGTCATCAGGCAGAAAATCATAATCTGTAACCATTTTAAAATCTTTTCCTATATGTTTGATCAAGTCTTTGTTCCTTGGAATATTCTCAAGTTTTTGACTAAGTTCCAGTTCACCATTGGTATCTATATTTATCTTATGTCCATGATTTAAGCATGAATCGCAATATTCCAGATGTGACGAGACTTCATCCTGCCATTGTTGAACTTTATGTTTAAGTAAAATCAATGCAACAAACAGTAAATAAATACACAGCATTATAAATAAAGACCCAAGATAAAACTTCAGATATTTGGTCCTCCAAAACATTGCTCCTTGTCCTCTGTATGTAAATTAAGTTGTTGTTTTTTAATTTATACTCGTGAGTGAATATGAATATTTGACTTGTTTTTCACACTTTTCAATTTGACACTCATGCATGATATATTAGAAGCAGAGTTTTCTTAAAACGGTTGCAATGTTATCCAAATGTATACAAGTACATTGAGACAGTACCTATTAAACAGTTACTTATGGTAAATGGACTAATTAGTTGTGCCTCCCAGCCAAAGATGTCACTTGAATTTATAGTCTAAGGTATGAAATTTCTAGGACATCTAATTAATATAAGTGACATGATATATGTGCAGCGATGTTTGACCTTATATTTAGATACCTTACATATGTCATGCATCTTGTTTTTGTATAGCAGTTATAAATACAGCAGGCTTTTAGGTTGAATTATGCCTGTCATTAGCAGGGGTCGAAAAAAACATTTAAAAACTATTTTGTTTTTTTCATAATATTTAGTACAAAGATTAAAAGAAAATCATATGAAATTTTTTTAATATATACATCGAATTTCTTGGCTATAATTTTGCGGTATTTGTTCCTTAAAATACCTTATATATACAAAATCAATGTTTCAACATTTTATGTTGGTTTTGGAGATATCGGTGAAGCAATCAATATATATTGGCACCTTTATTACCTGTGAATTACATATATTTATAAGATGTTAGCTTTTCACTATATTGGTTGTCATAGATTTTGAGAAATTGGCAGCTGCATTTAGGGGTCAATTGCCAATGAAGGGGGACTTGTTGCTCTTCCTCGACAAATATCATCTGCGATTGATTTTTTTGCTATTGGTTGAACATGAATTGGTTGCTTATAAAAGGACTACCAACATTCGATAGAATGCATGGATATGTGAGAAATGTTAGCAATCATATGTAAACAAAGAATCGATCGAATGCATTGCAGTGACAAATATAAATATATATTATTTTTACGAGATAGTATACTGTTTTTATACACATGAATAAATAATCGGAATTCTGAAATAACAAAACATGTACTCACTTAAATGGAAATGGGAAAAGCACAGCAACAAATGGAATGTGTCTAAGAGTATACTAATGGAAGGGAAAATCAAGGAAAACATGTAAAATGCTAGCGCATATTTGTTAGAAACACCAAACGCCAAATATATACTGTACTCCGGGTATTGTTCGCGTGCGATTTAATTTCGCCTTGTTCGCGAATGTAGTAAAATCGTGAACATTTATCGTCGCGAAATTTGTCATTTAAATCCCCGGGGATTTGAAACGGGACTTTTGATATGTTACGTTCGGTGTATAATGTTTCGTCTAGTGTTGTTGGGCGATAATTCAAAAAGGCCTAAAATGTCTAACATTTTGAATTGGCTAATTAGGCCAACAAAGGCAAGAACTGTTGACAACAATGATATCCTACAAATTGAAGTTAAAAAAGCCATTCAAGAATATTCAAATAAATGCCCTAAACGTGGGAAATACAAACATTACTTGGATTCTGAACGGGCTAAAATAGCCAGATACGCATTGATTCACGGTAATCGGAAAAAAATTCCACTTGTGCAATTCGCGAAATGTCATCAACTCAAATCAGCGAAATTAAATAGCCGCGAAATTGCAATTTTGAAAAATCGCGAAATTTTATAGCGTCAAAATTTACCCGGAGTACAGTATGTATACTGTCCACTTTGTGTTGGAGACTATAACAATATGTCATACCACTTTAGGTGGTGACATAACAAACCCTAGCAATCCCAAATCAAAGTCCAACGTTAAAAAAAGTTCAGTGTCTATTAGTGGTGTAACGAGTGACTCGGGTAATCGACTAGAACTCGAATAAGCCTAGAAAAATGATCAATCGATTGAAAATTTGAAAATCGTGATCCTGAAAATTTCTGAGAAAAATCGCGATTTACCCTCCATACTCACTTCAAAGTCGAAAAAATCTATAAAAGGCTTATATCATCGCTTATATACGGTAAATGTGCCTCTAAAACATCCAAAACGGAACCCAATCCGTTCAGAACTACATCATTGAGTGGTCATTAAACCAAAAGTCGATGTAAGTAGTGACAAATGCATTGATTTTCCAGGTTCTAATTTTTTGTCAATTTTTTAAAAAAATAATCGCCAAAATCGTCTACTCGATCGTCAAATTTATCATTCTACTCGAGTAGAGATTTTGGTGGCGAGTCCCACCACTGTCTATCAACCTTACAAAATCTAAGTCTCTCACCGAAATACTTGATAAGCTTGTACTTGATAAGCCTTTCCTTTAGCATCCTCGATCTGTACTTTGGCATAGAATTGCCATTACATGATAACAGATAACATGAGACTTTTGATTTTTCTCACTGAACCTAAAACCATATTTAATAGCAAAATCATTAGTGACATTGAGCATCTTATTAAGATCATTTTCAGAATTGCCTAAAAGTACTATACATGAGGCTAGGGAATTATCGGATTTCAAAAGTTCATCTTGAAGGTCAGTCTTGACAATTGAAAATAGAGTAGTTGATAAGGTACAGCCCTGTTTCACTGCAGATATGACATATTGATCAGCCTCATCATTCAGTTTACAGTTACATGAATGAATGGTCCTCTGAAAGCTAGCACTGAAATATACAGTTACTTTGAAATAAGCTACAATTTTTAGAAGGAAATATCACAGTGGCTTAAAAGAAGGCACTATTATTGTGTACTGACAGTAACTTTATTATTCCTTTTTGGAGCTTATTTCTAGAATTTTTGAGGCCAGGGAAAAGATTTAGGTTCCACTGACTCTTTCCTTAAATGTAGGAACCCTATTATAACTGGGTTTTGATATTTGACATTTTTTGATGATGCTAAAATATCAAATGTGACCTTGGATTGCTTCAATATTTACGGTGGTGAGCACATTTGTATATGTTATGTGACATTCTTTACTTTCAGGTTGAAGCAGGAACAATAGATGAGTTGCCTTAAAATATGGTTCAGATGTGGAGGTACACCTGTAGTATATGGTGTACTCCATGTGAGTCTATCCCTATGCTCTATCATATGAGATGGGAGGTGGTCCTTCGCTGAGACATTTCTCGATCTCCTTCAGGAGACAATGGGAGAAAACTTAATATGTGAGGTTATTTGGACTCATTCTGAGATACAAAGAAAGGTCACAATCAGGTCTGCTTGCTGGAATAATTGATCAGAACATGGATAGTACTCGTAATGAAGAAGTGCATAACAGTAACATTTACCTGCCATAAAAGACAAGAGATAAATTGGATAAGTTCAAACACAATGCATCCTCCTATGCAGGTATCCAGAATCCGTACCTCCTTCTTCCCCCTGCTAAAACCAATTTGGAAGCGCCCGATTTAACTGAATCACGTGATCTAATTATGCGCAATGACTTATACATATACATGATTTCTGTCGCAGTGTTGCGACAGCCAATCAGATTGCGAGTTCTTAATCGGGGAAATGGTAACTGCTTATTGCAGGGGGTAAAAAGAAAGAATATATTCTGGCTTTTGAAGCCCTGTGAAGTGCACACACAATTTGATCTGGGGAAAATCTATAGAACACTTAAGAACAAAACATGTTTTATATATTGTATATATCTAGATTATTGCCCTTCGGTTGGATGAAGTGCATATCAAAGTATTTCCATTCATTTTTTAAACAGTAAAATGGAGTTAACTAGCTTCTTATTTGTGATGTGAAGATATTATACTTAGGAAGAAAAAGGGTTTGATCATTGAACAGTGGAGTATTGTAATTCTCTTGCAAGACTCTTGTATCATCATTCTGTCATTGTTGATGGATTGGTCGGTAGTTTGATGAATCTTCAGCACAGTTATTTACAACTTACGTATTCAACAATCCATGAACAAGGACAGTACAGTGCAAAGATCCAGATAAACTGTTTGAAACTATTATGTGTAGTAAAAGCTCTCATGTTAACTTACATTTAGCCAAATTTGTATATCACTCTTTTAAAAATTTGGAAAATGATTAATATTATGTAAACATTTTTAAAAACACATGTATTATGGATGCACCACACTGATATTCTGTTATCATACCCTGACATGTGAAACTGATGTAAAGTAGTTTTGTAATATGTAGTTGTAGTTTGTAGTTTTTTGTACACTGTAGTGACTGATATGTCATTTACATGACATGGTTATTAAGTCAATAAAAGATATATACCTATAAGTCATGTTGCAGATTATCATTTGGCACAAAGCACTAGGGATGCAATATTCATTGTGAAATTCCACATTATGGATTCTAGATTTTAATCTCACTAATGAGCCAAAATTGTTTATTGAACATCACTGTCCCACAACTAGTTACTTTGACGGAACATCAAAGTAACAAAATAGATGAACTTCCTGGATACAAGTTTTTTGTTTTCTCCATTTCAACTTACGTATAAGTCATGTTGCGGATTATCATTTGGCACAAAGTTAGACAATATAGTCTAGCTTTTAGAAATGCTCTGAATTTTAAATAAAGGTGTAATTCGTGCATTTAGGCCATCGCTTTTGATACATTGACATAAGTCGACAAAGTAACATACATTGGTAATATAACAGACTTTTGTAACAAAAGCGATGGACTAAATATATGAATTGCAACTTCATTTACAAAACAAATTCCAAATCGAAGAAACTTATTAAAACTAGACTATATTTTCTAGCTTTGTGCCAAATTATAATCTGCACCTTGACTTATACTGGTAAGTAGGTTGAAATCGAGAAAATAAAAAACTCCTGACCGGGAATTCATCCATTTGTTACATTGACATTCCGTCAAAGTAACTAGTTGTGGAACAGTGAATATGTTAGTAGTAAATAATTGTGAAGATTCATCAAATCACCAACCCATCTGAGGATTGCTATCTCCCTCTTTGTGGCACCTGCTGCCTTTGTCAAAATGTCTTAATTTGGCTGAAAATCTGTAACCTTGATCCACACTTGATTTTTTAGTACCAGGAAAAAAATTGTATACCCGGTAATACCAGTTAATCTTGTGGGTGGAGTCCCCGTGGAATCAAAGTAATGTTCAGCAATGAAAGAACATAAGTCAAATGTTTATTCAATAAGATAGTTTATTCAATACAATTAGAACATTTAATGAATCAGTGATATTGATCTGCTTTGTATTATAGATAAAGTTAAATGTACAGGCACATGTATAACAGTATGTTTCTAGTTGAGCATAAGAGCTGTTGCTGGATGAATTGATAAAATATTTTGACCAGCGTGATGTAATGATTTCTACATTCTCATGTAAAATTAGAATGTATCTTTTTCAAGACTTCACACAAATCTTGTTATGTGTATGTTAATTAATATGAATACCATTCCCATGTTTATTTTGTTCTGGTGCACTTATCTTAATTAAAATGTCAACATATATCCACATATATTCATATATTCATATATTTACATTCATATCAGGCCTGTAGCCAGGATTTCTCAAGTGGGGTTCTATTTTTTGGGGCATTTGCACGCATGTGGCACAACCTAGATATTCCTGTCTTCATGGTCAGAAAATAATGTTAGTCTATATATGTCTGAAATTATTTGCGATGACTTACGTGGCTTTTTGTGGCCAATGTTGCAAGATTACTTTATCGTCAAGTTGATTATTTAAACTGTGATATTAGTATTCCATTTCATTCTGACACTAATCCTATTTTATTTGAGATTTAGATTTTTTGAAAACATTCAATGATATTGATCATTTTATCACTGGCATTTGAGATTTAAATTTTAAAAATACTCTTCATTATAAAATATTGATTCTAAAAGATACCCCGATGCGTCATTGTGAAAATGCAAGAGTCCTTCTCATAGTCAAAATAGGTCTTCTTTCAACTTGCTTCAAATTTACCAATGTATTTTTCAAAATCATCTACATGTTCTCAGAAATTCAAATCTGACTAAGATTGAACTCATAATATTGTGAGCAACTATGTGGTGACATTTTGTCATGTTAATGCCTTGTTTGACCCTGAGAAGATATAGTCAGATTTGAACTGTTGAGAACATGTAGATGATTAAAAAATTAATTAAAATTAGTCAATTTGAAGCAAGTTGAAAAATACCCTTTGACCTTATTTGACCTTGAGAAGGTGATTGAAGGTCAAATCTATAGCCAGATGTAAACTTCTGAGAACTTTTATATGATTTTGAAAAAATGGTCAATTTAAAGCAAGTTGAAAAAAGACCTTTTTGACCTTTTTTGGATCTTGAAAAGGTCATTGAAGGTCAAATCTTAAATATAAAGTCGGATTTGAACTTCTTCGGTGACCATAACAATGTGACAATGTGTCACCACTTTTTGGTGGTGATATATAAATCAGATTATTTATAAATTAATTTGTATTCATTAAATAAATGTGGAGTATACGATCAATTCATGAAATAACTACAAGCTACAAGCTACATGCAGACATGTGTTTATCAAAAAACAATTCTCAAAATGCCAGTTAATTTTGTTTTAACCAGTTAACCACTATTTAAAGGATCTATCTAGATTTAGGCTTATTTCAACGTTATCAATGTCGCCAACAATTTTGATTTTTATTATTACATAGTGTAGATTGAAATGTGATCTTTTGAATATTTAAGATTTAATTATGGTAATATTTTTACTTCTTTCATAAAACAAATATTAGCGAACCCCCACCATCGTTATTAAAGACAGAGGGCTATTTCAATTGATTCAATTTACTCCAATTAAAATGAAATCTTACAAAGTAGAGATACATGTAATTCATGATTGACTTGAAAATGTAGTAAATAGCTAGTTCCGTTTCTAAACATGCCTGTTGACAGAAGCTCAATATTCCTAGATGACATGGTCAATGGGAATTTAACACGTGAAATATTGGGGGGTTCGTTAATATTTGTTTTATGAAGGAAATCTCCCATCATTGAAGCAGGTGAGCACAGCACCCACCAGAGATTTTGAAAATAGGCTTACACCCACCTGAAAATCCATCTGCACCCACTTGAAAATTAGAAAAATCATGATTAATTGGCATATTTTGACCAATTTTGGTCTGAAATGTAAAAATAAAAATTTTGCACCCACCTGAGAAAAAATTCTGGAAAGATCACTGAAGTGAGATTAAACTGTGTTCACATGTCAACCTTAGCTAAGATAATTACCAGTATTGACATGTTCATTATGTGAAGTGGTAATACATGGAAAACATGTTTGTTTGGATTAATTTGTTAATCATATCACAAGGGGCAAATAAGATAAATATATGCTTGGCATTGTATCTTATTGTACATTCGAACATGACTGTATTCATGCCTTCTATAAACTGTAAACAAAGTCAATGCTTCAGCTGGGTTATATTCGAGATCAATAACCCAGTTAATACTTGAAATGTGTGACGTCATAACGGTGGGTCGTAGTAATGGCAGACCATGATGAATATTCGAAACAATTTGTTTGAGTTTTCATGTTCGAATCGTAATATAGACCTCAGAGCAGGGGTAATATCATCGAATACACCCCTTGGGGCTAGGCACAAAAGCTTTCGAACCCCTCACTCCCTTCGGTCGTTCGGGGTACAGAAAACGTTTGTGCCTAGCCCTGTGGGGTGTATTCGATGATATAACCCCTGCTTTTCGGTCTATATTTCTTAATTCTAGTTTTTTTTTAATACCATGTGTAACACCAATTATCTATTTCATATAATCAAGGAATATATATGAATACAGTGTACTGTATAATTGTAATGTATGCAATAAATGTTTTCTTCAAATCAATGCCTATGGTGTATGATGCGATATGTATTTCTGAAATCCGTTGCAAAATAGTCTGATATTTTAATAAATGAACAGAATCCCAATAATGATAATACTCAGCAAAAAGATTGTAAAAGAACATCATTCAGATATTTTGTTTTCCATAAAGCTTACAAAAATTTTGATAATTTTAAAATCAAATGACAGATCAGTTTTGTAGTTAAAAAAAGATTTAAATCAACATTATACTAGTATAACACAGCTGCATAAAGGAAAATACTTCGAACTATTTTAATCTATTTGATAAATTGATATGAGTGATATTAAGTATTAAAAATTATTTTATATTAATATATATTTAGAAATCAATTAACATATTTATCACATAAATGAATATCACATCACAAACCTTTGTAAAGTGTGAATACCTTTGGAAAAGGTGTTGACTAATATTGGTAGAGGCATTAACAATATAGAGAGGTTAATGATAAAGAAGTCAATGGAAGAGAACTTTCCAGCTCTTCTAACATGCATGCTTATTGACATTGAAAGATACAAAAATAAATCTGAAATGTGGCAGTTATCATTATCCAACATACATCCATGCTCTCAACCAAACAAAGATGGCCTTGGCCTTGGTGTAGCAATGCTAATCCTCCTCCACTAAAATCATAAGAAGATTACTCAAATGTTGACCGTCAAAACAAAATTATTTCTTTGAACTTTGGGGAAATTTCAACAGTTTTCTACAAGCCGCGACCAGCTTACAATAATATAATGGCGAGAAATATTTATATGTCAAATTATGCCATATGGTACCACGTATTAATACGCTGAGGAGTGCACCGGTTCTCCGATGAAAAAGATGAAAAAGTCCGTCATTGGAGTGTATTTATATGCCAAAAATAGTAGAGAGTTATAACATATCTCTTGACACTTCCTAGAAGTTAACAGGAACCAAAGGTGCTGACCCTACGTTCAGGAAAAGCTACAGGTAAGAATCATTAATATACTTGCTTGCATGAATCATCATGAATGACTAATGTGGTATTGAAATATATTGTTTTTATTTTAATGGTTTTTAAATATTTTTTATACAAATGCCAACAGGGAAATATCAAAAGATGTTCAAAAATTCAAGAACGATTATCACAATCCAAGACCATAAGACCATGGGACAGTTCATTCATACTGAAGATATTAAAGAATAAATCAAAAATTAAAACAAATACTCTTGAGATCAAAAATAGCCGTACATACTAATTAGTATGCATATAAGCTTTCAGTCTCAAATGATGTGGGACAGACAAAAGAAAGTTTCGAAATTCATTACACTAGAAAAGGGTCAACATCCATCCACAAAGCCAACGCCATAGTCCATAAAACAAAAATTCACAATGGTCATTAGGAGAAAACTATGGCCTTATGGCTGGTTTAGATTCTTATTTCCCAACCACCAATGCCATAGACGAGATTCAGAGAGTTTCATTACTGTGTCCAAGACAGGCGAGCATGTGTCCAAGACATCATGTTTTATAACTCAATTACAACAGGAGCTATACATACACAGTCTCTCCTGTCTTTCCTGAAAATATGAACACACTTGGATTAGTATTTCCCAAGATATAGCGATTTCTTTGGGTTGCGTTTTTTGAACACCCTGTATAAATACACTAATAATGCACTTACAAAAAGGATGAGATGATATGCATAAATGTTCAAGTTCATTAGAACCGAAGACAGGACCACTTATTGAATCTTTCCTGATAACCTTAAAGATAGAAAGATTATTCTGAAAGGAAGTCAGAAATTTTGCACTTTTTAGAAGAAGACATGAAACAATGATGAGCGCAAAAATATGTTAGTGTGGCAATTCTTTCTCAACCTATATTGTATACTTTTATAGCTTTAAAAGTTGAAAGTTTCAAAAAGCATTCCTTAGAACATTATACTTGACAATTATAACTGTATTATTTTCAATTGTTTCTGATTGCAATTAATTTCTCAGTCTACCTATACTTTTTGCTCTACCCTATTTTACCTAAATATTGTCTTTAACATTCCAAGTTTAATTAAAGTTTATGTTGGCTTTCATGTAGTAGAACATGTCTTAGTGAACACTTCTCTCTAGTGAACACATGTGCCTAGTGAACACCTCTTCTCAGCACATGCTCCACTGAGTTCTGTAGTGATCACCTACCTATAGTGAACACATTTTGTGGCTCCTAGGTATTCACTGTAAAACTCGTATTTGAATATATTAACATAATTCAATGAAATTACAACAATACTGAGACTTTTTCTTACCTTAATTATTCTGTTGTTTAGTCACATTGATTCGATCAAATATCTAAAGAATATAGGAATGAAAAAATCATCAAAATCTATCTATAGCACAGTAGTTTTGAGAATGAGCCATTTTAATGAGGAGATTGATTCAATGTTTTCAGGAAAGCGAATAAGATGAAACTGCTCATATTAGTGTGTCTGCTGATCCTGATTGACATTGGCATGTGCAGTCCTGGAAAAGGAAAAGGAAAAGGAAAAGGAAGATATAGAGAAAAGGGAAAAGTAAATGGTAAGTTCTTCATGATGAGATTATTTCTTATGTTGGATGGATACACTAACATAAATTAAATAAACATTAAAAACGGAGGTTCAATTTTGTAGAATGCCTTTTATTTCATTAACAAGGTACTTTTTTAAAATCAACCAAACTTTCCTTTGTACAATTACAATATTGAGAGACCTAAAACGTTGTGTTTTTGTCGCTTTGTTCCAATGAGGTTCAGATAAATGTTTAATTTCATTCCGAACATATGATACCAATAATAACTAGACATGTAAATTGAACAAGTTCAATTTAAGACTCCAGATTTCAGACTTTTTTTAAGCTGAGTCATCCAAATACTTGTAAGCTGAGTCATTTAGAATAAGCTGAGTCAGCTAGAATATAGACATTTAGACAACTCTTAAGAATGTTATCTTCGACTCCATTGGCTTAACATGGGGATATCATCATATTGACTTTTCGAGACTTAAAACCGCTATAACTATCTAATCAGAAGTTAGATCGAAATTTGGTTTAAAGATTCTGATTCCTGAGAAAATTCTACTCTTAATTCATAACTCATACGTTAAATTTGGAGAACTTTTAATTTTGACCTACTTTTCAGACACCATATCTCAAAAGTGGGTCAAAATACTTTCTGACGGCAGAAGGCTTACACTATAAGCACACTCTTTGCTACCTGTATACAAAATTTCGAAGCAAATCATTAGAGTGTAATGTCAGAATCGCAAAAATAACGAAAAACTATGAATTTGACCTAGATTTTGACCTAGGCATTTTGGTGTCCAAATTTTAAAGCTAGATAGCCTTCGAGGTCCCCTTCTTTTATAGGCTTTCAGAATGTTAAGCTGTACTCAGTTTATATCTGGTATTTTACACTTCAAAAAAATCTTTTTTCTCATTGACATAACATGGGGCACCAAATTTAGCGATTTTTGAGCTTTCAAAACGACGTAACTTCCGAACCGAAAGTCGGATTGAAATTTGGTTTGCAGATTCGGATTCCTGGGAAAATTTTACCCTTAATCCATAGCTCATATGTTAAATTTGGAGAACTTTTTATTTTGACCTACTTTTTGGACACCATATCTCAAAAGTGGGTCAAAATACTTTCTGACGGCAAAAGACTAACACTATTAGCACACTCTTTGCTACCTGTATACAAAATTTCGAAGCAAATCATTAAAGTGTAATGTCAGAATCGCAAAAATAAGAAAAAACTATGAATTTGACCTAGATTTTGACCTAGGCATTTTGGTGTCCAAATTTTAAAGCTAGATAGCCTTCGAGGTCCCCTTCTTTTATAGGCTTTCAGAATGTTAAGCTGTTCTCAGTTTATATCTGGTATTTTACACTTGGAAAAAGTCATTTTTCCCATTGACTTTACATAGGCACCAAATTTAGCGATTTTTGAGCTTTCAAAACGCCATAACTTCCGAACCGGAAGTCTGATCTAAATTTGGTTTGCAGATTCGGATTCCTGAGATCATTCTATACTTATTTCATAACTCACATGTTGAATTTGGAGAACTTTTTGTTCTTACCTACTTTCCGGACGCCATATCTCAAAATCAGTAAAAGTAATCAAAATTCTGATGTCATATCTTTGATTCGCCTTTTTCTAAGCTACATGATGAATAAAAGAGAAAGGAGTTACGATGAATATTGACGAAGATATGATGAAGAATGTTGAAAATGTAAGATTTGACCTAGTTCTTGACCTTTGACCTAGATAAAAATTTGACCTAATTTCCCAGAAAGCCAGAAACATTCCTTAGATAACCATGTAAGTTGGTTTAAGTAAGATGTTATAGTTGTAGAGAAAATGTGTTAGGAGGAAGAAGAAAGAAAAAGAGGAATAACTAGACTTTGGAAATTGAACGAAGTTCAATTTCAGACTCCAGATCTAGACTTTTTTAAGCCCAGTCATCTAAAATAAGCCGAGTCATCCAGAATAAGCTGAGTCATCCAGAATAAGATGGATGGATAAAATAGGAAGGTAGGATAGGATAGAATGGGGAGGAACGATAGGATAGAATAAGAAAGAAGAATAGGATAGAACAGAATATGAAGAAAGGATATGATAGGAGAGGATAGGAAGGATAGGAAGGAAAGGATATGAAGGAAAGATAGATAGGAAGGATAGGATCAGATAGGAAGGATGGATGAATTTTTCAATATTTTCTTCTCTACTCTTGACTTTCTATCAGGATACCATCAGATCGATTTTCCGAAATTTCAAAACGCCATAACTTCCGAACCGAAAGTGGGATCTAAATTTGATTTAAAGTTTCGGATTCCTGACAAAATTCTACCCCTAATTCATAACTCATACGTTAAATTTGGCGAATTTTTATTTTGACCTACTTTTTGGACACGCCATTACTTCGGAACCGGAAGTCAGATCGAAATTTGGTTTGCAGACCCGAATTCCTGAGAAAATTCTACCCTTAATTCATAACTCATATGTTAAATTTGGAGAACTTTTTTTTTTGACCTACTTTTCGGACACCATATCTTAAAAGTGGGTCGAAATACTTTCTGACGGCAAAAGGCTAACACTATGAGCACACTCTTTCCTACCTGTATACAAAATTTTGAAGCAAATCATTTAAATATAGTGTCAGAATCGCAAAAATAAGGAAAAACTATGAATTTGACCTAGATTTTGACCTAGGGATTTTGGTGTCCAAATTTTGAAGTTGGGTAGCCTTCGAGGTCCCCTTCTTTCATAGGCTTTCATTATTTTAAGCTGTACTTAGTCTATATCTCGTATTTTACACTTCAAAAAAATCTTTTATCCCATTGACATAACATGGGGCACCAAATTTAGCGATTTTTGAGCTTTCAAAATGTCATTACTTCCGAACCGGAAGTCGGATCGAAATTTGGTTTGCAGATTCGGATTCCTGAGAAAATTCTATACTTAATTCATAACTCAAACGTTAAATTTGGAGAATTTTTTATTTTGACCTACTTTTCGGACACCATATCTCAAAAGTGGGTCAAAATACTTTCTGACGGCAAAAGGCTAACACTATTAACACACTCTTGGCTACATGTATACAAAATTTAGAAGAATATAATTAATCTGTAGTGTCAGAATCGCAAAAATAAGGAAAAACTTTGAATTTGACCTAGATTTTGACCTAGGCATTTTGGTGTCCAAATTTTTATGAAAAGAAGGTTTTGAGGTCCCTTTCTTCTATGGGCTTCCATTATGTTTAGCTGTGCTTAGTCTATATCTCGTATTTTACACTTCAAAAAAATATTTTTTCCCATTGAATTAACATGGAGCACCAAATTTAGCGATTTTTGAATTTTCAAAACGCCATAACTTCTGAACCGGAAGTCAGATCGAAATTTGGTTTTCAGATTCGGTATCCTGAGAAAATTTCCTATAAGACTGATATCCTGGACATTGGATTCGGAGAACTTTTTTTTGGACCTCGTTTTCGGACACTGATATCTCGAAATCGGTTTGAGATACCAAAAAACTAAATCGACCCTAGATTTTCTACTTTTTTATGAGGAACACAATGAAAAAAACCCGGATCCAAAATATTGAAGGACGACCGAGAAAATCGAAAAAAGTGACAAAGTACTGGATTTGACCTAGTTCTTGACCTTTGACCTAGATAAAAAATTGACCCAATTTCCCACCAACTAGATACTGAACCTAAATAAACTGTATTATGGTCCTTACTGGATACCTCATAGTTATTGAAAAAACTCCTAAAGAATAATAAGAACTAGACTTTGGAAATTGAACGAAGTTCAATTTCAGACTCCAGATCTAGACTTTTTTTTAAGCCCAGTCATCTAAAATAAGCCGAGTCATCTAGAATAAGCTGAGTCATCCAGAATAAGATGGATGTTTAAAATAGGAAGGTAGGATAGGATAGAATGGGAAGGAACGATAGGATAGAATGAGAAAGAAGGATAGGATAGAACAGAATAGGAAGAAAGGATATGATAGGAAAGGATAGGAAGGAAAGGATACAAAGGAAGGATAGATAGGAAGGATAGGATAGGATCAGATAGGAAGGATGGATGAATTTTTCAATATTTTCTTCTCTACTCTTGACTTTCTATCAGGATACCATCAGATCGATTTTCCGAAATTTCAAAACGCCATAACTTCCGAACCGGAAGTCGGATCTAAATTTGATTTAAAGATTTGGATTCCTGACAAAATTCTACCCCTTATTCATAAATCATACGTTAAATTTGGCGAATTTTTATTTTGACCTACTTTTTGGACACGCCATAACTTCGGAACCGGAAGTCGGATCGAAATTTGGTTTGCAGATTCGGATTTCTGAGAAAATTCTATTCTTAATTCATAACTCAAACATTAAATTTGGAGAACCTTTTATTTTGACCTACTTTTCGGACACCATATCTCAAAACTGGGGCAAAATACTTTCTGACGGCAAAAGGCTAACACTATTAGCACACTCTTGGCTACATGTATACAAAATTTCGAAGAATATAATTAATTTGTAGTGTCAGAATCGCAAAAATAAGGAAAAAGTTTGAATTTGACCTAGATTTTGACCTAGGCATTTTGTTGTCCAAATTTTAAAGCTAGATGGCTTTTGAGGTCCCATTCTTTTAAAAGCTTTCATTATATTTAGCTGAACTCAGTCTATATTTCGTATTTTTGACTTCAAAAAAATCTTTTTTTCCCATTGACTTAACATGGGCACCAAATTTAGCAATTTTTGAGCTTTCAAAACGCCATAACTTCCGAACCGGAAGTCCGATCCAAATTTGATTTGCAGATTCGGATTCCTGAGATCATTCTACACTTATTTCATAACTCACATGTTGAATTAGGAGAACTTTTTGTTCTGACCTACTTTCCGGACGCCATATCTCAAAATCGGTAACAGTAATCAAAAATCTGATGGCACACTTATGAAAGGGCTGTTTCTAAGCTACATGATGAAAAAAAGACAAAGTTGTTTTGATAAATAACGACGAAGATAATAGACAGAAGG